ATCAAGAGTTGTTTGTTCATGACTTATAATTTGTTTTTTTTTTGCAGGTGTAGGTTTGTTGAGTTCTGTAGTTAATGAATGGAGTTGTGCAATGTTGTCTTTTACTAGTTCATTTCAATAATTTAGGTTAGCTCATATTGTAGTGTTTGTGTATTTACTGTCTGATATTTTTACTTCAAGAAGTGTTCAATGTTCCAATTTTCATTTTTCTTTACAGAGTATTAATTTAGAAATAAAATAAATTGAAAGGCCTTCCTTCAAAAATCAACTTTCAATAAACAACTGCGCGAAAATCCGGTTGTTTTGTCCACAATGGACAATCCACAATTCTAGTGGTACAAGTGCAACTCCAAAATATCAACACTCAATTTGAAAAATCCATTTTAATTCACAAAGATGACAATTTCTTAACTCATTATCCGACAGCCCCACCAACAACCAAACAACATCCACCACATACAAGTTATAATTAGAGGGGCACTTTTGTTTGAAATGTTTGGCAACAAAGGTTGTTTCCCACAATTAACCCGAACCACCCCAACACTTGAAAATCCAACTGCATGTTTGGTTTGAATCTGTTGGGAGGAATGCACTAGTAAACTGATTATGCTTTACATGGGGTCTGGTTGGACTTGAGCTTTGAACTTGTGTTTACAACTGTTTGGATTGGAACTTTTACTACCTGTTGGATACGTAATAATGTTGACTGTTGTGAATGGCCATGGAAAGGAAGTAAACGTTGACGGTAAACCTAAATATTTGTTTTATAAAATATTCATAAATACCTGACAGTTTAGCCATTCCTATTGGCCGAGAGCCCGTCACGTGGCCGGTCTTAAACGGATGATAAAGACATGGCTAGCTGGTCTTAAACACTTTTCCAGTGTCACAATAAAATGTGGACTCTTAAAAATCCGGTGCCTCTTACCGTTTTATTGGTTGAACGTTCACAATCTTAACGTACATGTAGGCATGCGCAACACTACCAGCGAGTCATAATTTTATAGTTCTAAATTTAACACGCAACGCCCCAGGTGCGTTCTGCGCGACATCGCACAGGACATGCTACGCGCGCGTCAATCTCCATAAAAAGGGTTGTTTACATCTTACTCGCCAGCTGAACACTCCATTATTTTGCTAGAGGGATGTTTCAAAAAGCATGAAGTGAACTTGTTGAACAAAATCAGGATTTTTTTAACAAATTATCTGATTTTTTTTACCAAAAAGGTATTTATGAATGGGAATAAATATGTGCTCTGTCGGTATTTATCACTCTGTTTAAGACCGCTTAGAGTCTGGGTGCTGATAATTACCCTCGCCTCCGGCTCGGGTAATTATCAGCACCCAGACTCTAAGCGGTCTTAAACAGAGTGATAAAAACCTCTCGAGCACACATTTATTCCCTTATTCAATGACAAGGATCTATATGGGTGTTTTATAAAACAAATAATGAATTCTTTTTAATTTGTGCTATGGAAGGAATATATTCATTCTGTGAAAAATTGACTGTTCCATTCAACCAGGTCAATATTTCACCTCAAGAAAATATTCCCTCCATTGCACTCACTAACATTAATTATGTGTATACCATCACGCTACAGAGATGGGTTCAACCATTTCACGAAGGGGTAGTTCGGCAAAGTGCAAGGATATTTTTGAAGTAATTTCAAACTGGAATAGAAGGACATTTTAATTGGATTCTGGTAACAAATTAATAACTTATCTCTTAAATCAAGCAAAATCTGTTGGTGATGAGGCCTTATAATACATATATTAACCATTTAACTCAATACATGTATTTTTTATCCCAGTCAATTTCAACAAATTGACCCTCAATTTCAACAAATGAGTATTTCTTGTTTATAGAACACTGTTACATTTCACTCCATGATCCACTGTGTATATGAAGCTTGAAAAATGTATTTGCATGTACAGTAAACTCCGGCTAAACCAACATCGTACAACTCGTCAAATTGCTCAAGTCGGCCGTCTGACTAAAGTCCCGATTGTCCATAATGCATTTCCATTGAATTTTTTATTTCTAAGTCGGCTTTTATAAGTCGCCATTTCGCTCAAGTCGTCGTGTTACTCTCGGTCCCCTTTCCATAAAAAGCAATACAAAATCCTTTGTGTAAGTCAGCATTCAACACATCACGCATTGGCATCGACTTCCTGTACTGTGGTTGGCAAAGTGTCCAGTGAAAGTGGTTTCGCACGGCCCGTGATCGCTGCATGCATCGGTGTCGAAAAAGGATGTCTACTTGCATACATCGCATATGCGTTGTGAGCATATCAATACCAGTACCCCCTCTCGGCTGTACGCATGAGCTCTGTCAATTTTGGGGGGTCGTCTTATTGAATACGTCTAGTGCTGCAGTCAACGCGTGCGTGGTATATATCGGACCACGCACGCATTTAATTTGTTACTGTGCACGTACATATGTATCGTGGTCTCCACTGTCAATACCCCAAATGTGATGATACAATTCGAGGATTAATTTGCTGGATTCAACTCAAGCATTAAGGAGATAAACCCAGGGTAAATTGAAGCCAATTAGTGCAATGAATCATGTGTGCAAAAGACCATTCATGTAAGTCAGCAAAATGGCGACTTTACAGCAGATGTCGGCATTCGCGTAAGTCGTCACAAATTCTCGGGTCCCGAGAGTGTCGACTTAGCCGGAGTTTACTGTATGTTGTAATTGTGTTGTAACAAACTCTACTTGCAGTGGAACAGAATTCTGACAAACCAACCTATGATTTTGTTCAAAACTACTCTAGTATATAACCATAGGATGATTCCACATCCTGGCTATACTAATTAGGATTACTTGATTAATTCCTTAAGGAAGTAGAAAGGCCAAAGCCTTTATGGAAAATACATTCCTTATTTTGCCCCTTGTAGCTTCTTATCAGAATGTACAGAAAATATAGTGAACAAGTCAGGTGTGTTTACAAACACAAATGCCCCGCAACGGTGACAGTTCCCATGACATAACACCACTCTTTTAACATCAACTTACATGTACCTTGGTCACATGGAACATTCATTGACAGCATTAGTGTCTTCTGTAGGTTTTATATGAATTAATCCCTAATCCCTATAATCTCAGAATAAATACATGATTTCTATTGTTTTAGCCACTGTGAACTTGACCCTTGACCTTTTGGCCCCAAATTCAATAGGCTTCTTAGGATTACCAAGAACAATCCACAAACCAAATTTGTAGCTCACATGTAAAGTATTTCTCAAGTTATCGCGCTGACAAGATTTCTATTGTTTTAGCCACTGTGAACTTGACCCTTGACCTTTTGGCCCCAAATGCAATAGGCTTCTTAGGATTGCCAAGAACAATCCACAAACCAAATTTGAAGTTCAGATGTTAATTATGTCTCAAGTTATCGCGCTGACAAGATTTCTATTGTTTTAGCCAGTGTGAACTTGACCTTTGGCCTTTTGGCCCCAAATGCAAAAGGCTTCTTAGGATTACCAAGAACAATCCACAAACCAAATTTGAAGTTCATATGTTAAGTATTTCTCAAGTTATCGCGCTGACAAGATTTCTATTGTTTTAGCCAGTGTGAACTTGACCTTTGGCCTTTTGGCCCCAAATGCAAAAGGCTTCTTAGGATTACCAAGAACAATCCACAAACCAAATTTGAAGTTCATATGTTAAGTATTTCTCAAGTTATCGCGCTGACAAGATTTATATTGTTTTAGCCACTGTGAACTTGACCTTTGGCCTTTTGGCCCCAAATGCAAAAGGCTTCTTAGGATTACCAAGAACAATCCACAAACCAAATTTGAAGTTCATATGTTAATTATTTCTCAAGTTATCGCGCTGACAAGATTTCTATTGTTTTAGCCACTGTGAACTTGACCTTTGGCCTTTGGCCCCAAATGCAAAAGGCTTCTTAGGATTACCAAGAACAATCCACAAACCAAATTTGAAGTTCATATGTTAAGTATTTCTCAAGTTATCGCGCTGACAAGATTTCTATTGTTTTAGCCAGTGTGAACTTGACCTTTGGCCTTTTGGCCCCAAATGCAAAAGGCTTCTTAGGATTACCAAGAACAATCCACAAACCAAATTTGAAGTTCATATGTTAAGTATTTCTCAAGTTATCGCGCTGACAAGATTTCTATTGTTTTAGCCAGTGTGAACTTGACCTTTGGCCTTTTGGCCCCAAATGCAAAAGGCTTCTTAGGATTACCAAGAACAATCCACAAACCAAATTTGAAGTTCATATGTTAGGTATTTCTCAAGTTATCGCGCTGACAAGATTTCTATTGTTTTAGCCAGTGTGAACTTGACCTTTGGCCTTTTGGCCCCAAATGCAAAAGGCTTCTTAGGATTACCAAGAACAATCCACAAACCAAATTTGAAGTTCATATGTTAAGTATTTCTCAAGTTATCGCGCTGACAAGATTTCTATTGTTTTAGCCACTGTGAACTTGACCTTTGGCCTTTTGGCCCCAAATGCAAAAGGCTTCTTAGGATTGCCAAGAAAAATCCACAAACCAAATTTGAAGTTCATATGTTAAGTATTTCTCAAGTTATCGCGCTGACAAGATTTGTCCGGACACACACACACACCCACCCACCCACCCACCCATACTTGTTTCACATGACTAGTGTGGACTTTCCATTGCTTTCGTGTAGTTAAGAAAAACCAGTGAAAAAACTCATTTTTCTCAAACTGTGAAAACTCTTTCAACCCAATTTTTTTTCTATGATTCCCTTTAGTGTTTCTCTTCATTCTGCTACAGATAAACCTAACCCAAAAATGCCTCTAAACCTGTTTTCCAGAAATGGGGAAACACTGTGTGGACGTGGGGTAAGTCCACACAACGTCGGTGCTACCTACATTATGTGGACGTCTTTTGTTCGGAAGTCCACACTGCGTATGTAAGACAAACTCACCCACCCACCCACCCACACACACACACACCCACCCACCCACCCACGGAAGGACGAGGCGGAAACAGTGCCACAAAATGCCACTGCGTGTATCTCATGAAATGATTAAAAACTAAATGTTGCATGGCATCGTTGTATTCATTAGTTCTTAGCTGACTTGGCTAGCTTGACTTTCTTCTTCTTCTTCTTGCCTTTTGTTGACTCCGCATCCTGGCTATCCACTTTCTGTTTCTTTGTCTGTGGACCTTCCTTATCACTGCTGTAAAAAGAGACAATCTTATACTCATTAGGATTAATTGGTTAATTATTCAGGGAAGGCCCCAGCCTTATGGAAAAGCACACCGTCAGGAAAGTTTCAACGAAGTTGTGTGCCTACATTTTTGTTCCTCGTAACTAATGAACAACAATGTGTGTCTGCAACTCTAATAGAAGAATGTGTTATGTTGATGTCCTCACTCGACTACCGAGGCACACAGCAAGGACAGCGTACACTTCTGCTGTTGCACAACACCTTGTTTAACCCTGCGCGGAGTGACCTGCGTGCCCGGGGTACGCTGGTGACCGAATTTAAAAAAAAAAATAAAAAAAATTGTGGGCCAATGACGTTCACCTTCCATCTAATACTCATTCAACCCATGCCAAATCAGCTGGTTCAATGAACTTTGCAGCCAGGGTTTCACCCGAGCGGTGTCAACAACCTTGGGACCAGGCCTCCTGCCAAGTCTCATTGAAACATATACAAACACCTGTAACTTGACACAGCCATCTCTCTTCATAGCCCGAAACCGCAGCCACCAGTCAATTATCTTTTAAGTGCCCTGTCTGGCAAATGCCTGGACACTGTCTGGCACATGGCTTTTTGTTGTTTTGACATGGATAGGGTCTTGCGTAGTGGGGGAAGTACCTGCGTCCCAAAGGTACGCAGTTGGCGACTTCGGATAATTTCTTGTAAACGCTGCGCAGGGTTAACATACAGGACCTATACAGCATAGTCAAAGTCAAGTATGAAATGCAGCTTGAGCCTTGTGGTAGCAGATCCTCATTTAAGATAAAGGATTGTTTTCTTTATACACAGTTTTTTTTTATTTGAAGCAACAAAATTGCTCAAACTCTTAAGTAGGGTGCACAACAACAAACCTGTGAAAGTTTTAGCTCAGGGACTACTATACATTTGGAGAAAAGAGACAAAATATTGGCACAATTTTTTCGGTTTTGTAACTGAATTCCAGTTTGAAAAACAACCCAGGCGAACAGGGTAGTTGGTACCAAGCCTTCTTTTTAACCATTTCGCGCTGGATAACGTGTATACGGTCCGCAAAGGTTTTCCGGTATTCGGAATGGATGACGGATAAACACGCAGAGAGCGAGGCCGGAAATATGAGTGTGCTGCCCGAGGGTGATGGCTTCAACCCGCCTGGCTTGAGGTCGAGTGAAAAGTAATCGCGCACCTCATTCCGTTCTTGTCACAATAATCCCGGCATGAGCTGGTTAAGCAAGGTTTTCTCATTAAATCGGTAAGTCTGTTTCTGGGTAATTACAAATGTTCCTACATGCCTTTAAAAACAGCAGAGAAAAGAAGATGGGTGTGACGTATTCTTGTATCATAGAGCAAGGACCCAAGGAATTCGTACTCCAAGACTTCAAAAGTAAAATGATGGTCGCCGCGCTGGAAAGCTACAATAGAAAGCACCTGGCGCCAGCTTGCTCAGTTGCTCACCACGCTAATCTCGACACAATAGAGATCCGCGCTCACTAATGCCAAAAAAAGGAGTTTGCATGGCTTCGTAGACAGTACCATGGTAAATACGCATGTGCAGTTGTCATACATCGCTAAAAATGAATGATTTTGAAGTGTTTGTTCGCAGTTGGATGATACTGTATATAAATGTGGTCAACATCACTGGAACAATCATTTCATGAAAAACAAAATGCTCTGTACCTTAAGTGTGAAAACTTGTGAAATTTTCCAAAAAGAACACATTTCATCAATGATATATTGCCAATTAAAATGTCTGAAAATACATGAAAACTTATCTGAAAGAAATCCAATTTATCTCCAAATTACAGGGACAGATAACGCTTTTAAGCACCAACAACTGCACATTGCTAACTTTAGTTCATAACTCACATCTAACAACTGCGCAGTTGTAAAAACCTTGTCGTACAATATATTTTTCAAAAAAGAGCAGCGACGTGACATGACTTATTATGCAGCATATAGGGAGGTTGTCGGTAATACCAACTAAAAAGGCGGCGACGATCATCGTGTTCAAAGGCCGCTGGCATTCACGCTTTGAAAGGTCGAGGCTTGCAGTCACAGTGCTGTAGCTATAGACATTCCCGAGGGATTGGTATGTTAATGGTCAAAATGTAAATCGCCCAAGAGTTCTGACTCCTTGGGTCCTTGCACTATGCTTGTATCAACAATAAGATACATGCTTACCTAGGAATGCTAATCATGCTCTTTGCCTTGCCAGACTGTAATGCTTTCTTCCATTCGTCTTCCTGTCCTTTGATGGCATACTGACTCATATCCAGAAGCTTCAATCGTTCCAATTCCTTCTTCTGCTTAGCTTTAATCTCGCTGGCTGCTTCCTCCTGTTCCAGTGTAATAAACAAATACTCCAATTAAACGGTGCTGACAAATTAGCTGCTCAAAATAGAAGCTGCAATGAAAGTTCTGCATCACCTGTCTGTCAGAAGGACAGGTTTCTCTATAATAACATTTAATCTGTTTGAAGCTGCAATTATACTGGAATGTTTGAAATGAAAACATTTTGTAGTATCATTGCAGTTTCAGTAGTTTAAACACACAAGGAAACATTTAGCAAAGTGTAGTGTTAAGATATTCATAAATACCTCAGACAGTTTACCCATTCCTATTGGTCGAGAGCCCGTCACGTGGCCGGTCTTAAACGGATGATAAATACATGGCTAGCTGGTCTTAAACACTTTTCCAGTGTAACATAAAATGTGGACTCCTAAAAATCCAGTGCCTCTTACCGTTTTATAGGTTGAAAGTTCACAGTCCTCACCTAGGCATGCGCAACACTACCAGTGAGTCAGAATTTTATAGTTCTAAATTCAAAACGCAATGCCCCAGGTGCGTTCTGCGTGAAATCGTACAGAACGTGCCACGTGCACGTCAATCTCCATAAAAGGGTTGTTTACATCTTAATCGCCAGCTGAACACTCCATTATTTAGCTAGAGGGATGTTTCAAAAAGCATGAAGTGAACTTGTTGAACAAAATCGGGATTTTTTTGACCGAAATATTATATTTTTTGACCGAAAAGGTATTTATGAATGGGAATAAATATGTGCTCGGTCGGTATTTATCACTCTGTTTAAGACCGCTTAGAGTCTGGGTGCTGATAATTACCCTCGCCTCCGGCTCGGGTAATTATCAGCAGCCAGACTCTAAGCGGTCTTAAACGGAGTGATTAAAACCTCTCGAGAACACATTTATTCCCTTAATAGTGTGATGGAGTATTTATAAACATGTGGTTTAAATCCAGTTAGAGGCCTAGCCACCATTCAGCTTGGACCACTGTCGGCGTTCAGGCCAAGCACATATTTATTCCCATACAGAAATACCTTTTCAATCACAAATCAAAACTTCAAAGTCAAAATCATAAAGTTCCAATGATTTTGTTCAACAGTTTTACTTCATGTTTTTCGAAACACGCCTCTAGCTATGTTATGGTATGGCCCTCGTGAGTAGTCGTAAACAAGTCCTTATATGGAGATGTGGCGCAGAATGCAGTTTTGCCAGTGTAGTGTGAATTCAGGACAATGACCCACCGACCCACTTTAGTATTGCGCATGCCTACGTAAGGATTGTGTGAACGTTCAACCAAAAAAAAAGTAAAAGGCACCAGATTTCATAGGAGTCCAAATTTCATGTGACACTGGAAAAGTGTTTAAGACCAGTCAGCCATGTCTTTATCAACCGTTTAAAAACGGCCATGTGACAGGCTTTCGACCAATAGGAATGGGTAAACTGTCTTAGTTATATATAAATGGTGGTTTAAACCACCGACTTGACAGGCTTTCGACCAATATGAATCAATAGGAATAGGTAATAATAATAATAATTTATTTCTAAGGGAATAAATGTGTGCTTGGGAGGTGTTTAAACACTATGTTTAAGACTGGTTTGAGTCTGGAATGCAGATAATTACCCGAGGCGAGGCCGAGGGTAATTATTGGCATTCCAGACTCCAACCAGTCTTAAACATAGTGTTTAATACCGACCAAGCAAATATTTATTCCCATTCATAAATACCTTTTTTCATTAAAAAAAAATCAAAACCTTTTGGTCCAGAAGTCAAAACGAGTCAAATTTAAAACTTTCCAACGATTTTTGTTCAACAACTTCACTTTCTGTTTTTTGAAACACCCCTCTAGCTAATATAATGGAGTGTCCAGCTCGCGAGTAAGACATAAACAACTTTTATGGAGATTGGCGCGCACGTGTACTGCGCGATGATGCGCATATGCAGCTGTGGTGAGTGTGTTGTGAATTTAGGACTATGAAATACTGACTCACTCGTAGTATTGCGCATGCCTACGTGAGGAAAGTGAACGTTCAACCAATAAAATGGTAAAAGGCACTGGATTTCATAGGAGTCCAAATTTCATGTGACACTGGAAAAGTGCTTAAGACCAGCCGGCCATGTCTTTATCATCCGTTTAAAGAGGTTGTGGAAAGCTCGAAGACATTTCCGTCATTTTTCGGGTATATGTAGCCTAAGGTGTGATGAAATAAAAACCACTATTGTTTCTGTCATGAAATGAGTACAAAAGGTACTTTTGAGAGCTGTTTTTCAGGTCCAGTTTCGACCCGAACGTGCAACTGTGTAAAAGTCGTTGTTGCGGGCAGCAAACAAAACACAGTAAATCGTGACTAATAAACAGGACTCCCGATGCACAGTAGCATACACGAGTCCTGTTTATTACGTCACGATTTACTGTGTTTTGTTTGCTCCCCGCAACGACGACTTTTACACAGTTGCACGTTCGGGTCGAAACTGGACCTGAAAAACAGCTCTCAAAAGTACCTTTTGTACTCATTTCATGACAGAAACAATAGTCGTTTTTATTTCATCACACCTTAGGCTACATATACCCGAAAAATGACGGAAATGTCTTTGAGCATTCCACAACCTCTTTAAGACCGACCACGATCAATGGGATCACCGGCTCTCAATCAATGGGAATGGGTAAACTGTCTTAGGAATTTATTACTGCATGTTTAAACCCTAACATATTCAGGAATTTTCAGCTTAAAGCTATAGTCCATCATTTGTAATTTGTGCATTTTGTTCGTTTGAAGCAACAAAAGTGTTCAAAATCTAATGAAGGATACTGAGCAACTAACCTGATGAAGTTTCAGCTAAGCTTCAGCTGTATATTCCGAGAAAAACAGCATTCTAAGATCTCAATTTCAAATCAAAAGTTACTGAATCATGTTTTGAATTGTTTTGAATTGCAGCTATACGCGACGTAGCGCACTGATCCGACTAATTATAACAACCGCGCGCGCGTCGTTCCAAACCTTGTGCGCGCTGCGCTGAATAACAAAACGAACTATTAATTTAAATTTTCCTACGGTGCTTCTTAAGAATCACCGTTGGAAATGCCTTCTTTTGTTGATTACTTCAAAATGACAGCTTCCCAGAAAGTATAATTTCACAGGGAGTTTAGTTCCCTTACTATCTTTCAACCAAGTTTGTTTTTCAACAATAATTACGCCAGTTACTTTTCGGATGGCCGCAAATGATGGACTATAGCTTTAGCAGATATTGTAACTGTTAAGAATCAAGTCAACCTCAACGCTTCCTAGTATGTTTAAACATAATATGTGTGTATCCAACATCCTACAATTCACATCCCAGAAAACAAAAATTAAGTTCTACAAAGAAATTTGGGTCGAGTGGGGTTTAATCCTCCACCAAGCTACGCAGCCATATGCTGCAGGTCTCCCAAATTGCCAATGTCTTTATTATACAATTCGATACATTTATTTCGATGCTGCATAAGGATGATACATAATACATAATGTTATATATTCAAATTGACAATACATACTAGATATATTTACAATAGTGAACATTAACTAGATGGCAACATCTAGGTCCAGGGTGAAGCATCAGCTTTTGTTCCCCAGCCTATGGACAGACAGACAAGTGACAGACATACATGGAAAGACAGAGCACAGACACAGGTGTAAGACAGTAATCAAGGCCGTTATTATCCCTATTACATTTTTTAGTATGCAATTAAGAAATGAGTTTTTAGTTTTCTAGCAAAAATAGAGAGAGTGGGTGATGATTTAACCCTTACTCTCTGAGGGTAGTTTACTGCATGTCAGTTGGTTATGCCAATGCCCTCCAGCTGCAGTTTATTGGCAGATAGTTTGTCTTAACAGTGAAGGCTCCAATTGGCAGGAGTTGGAGGCCCTGGAGGGTGCCTGATACTGACCAGCTGGGGGCACTCACTTTGTTATCAGAGGACTCTCATTGTTCTCTGTGGCATGTATTGGAGTGCCTGTCCAGTTACCCTTGAAATGACATGGCAGATATTGGAGGGCCATGCAAAAAACATAGGAGATTTTCTTGAGGCACATATTGGCATGCGTTGGAGGGTCTAGTAGGGTAAGGGTTAAAAGAGTCATCAAGACTATTCCAATATACATGTAGAGTGCCACGTTGGACAACACTGTTTTTGGACAATGAAGTTCTACTATAATTAACATACAGATTTTTCCTAATGGCACCGTGGGTATTATATGAATGAACGTTTGAAGTAAGTGTAAAACAGATCTGGCTGAGGTTAGGTTGGCCTTACCAAATCCTGGGCCATTGTTTGCCTGGTTGGCTCCATCACCACCTCTTTGTCTGATGCTGTCATGATCGTACTCTCAACCTCTCTCTCTAAGGTCCCAGTGAACTCTTGAACAACTTTCCTGATGATACGGTTGAAGAGCGCCAAGATCTGACTGGATGGCAGGTCCAAGTCTTTGGCAAGGCAGTCTACCGTCTTGTGCTGGATTCCTAACCCAACCAGGATTGCCTTCAAAAGAAAATACAAAGTCAAGTAACTAGCCTGCCGAAATGAAGAGTGTTCCTGGAAATCTGATAGATATGGAGATATCAAATGTTTACAGGTGTAATTATGTGTCTGGACCAATACGGTTGTTTCACAATAGTGCGCCTCCAAGAGTTTGCAACGCGTTGGCCAATCACAATGCGCGAAATCTGTCGACCCAATGTGCGTTTGGAAAAGGTCGACAGATTTCGTGCATTGTGATTGGCCAACGTGTTGCAAACTCTTGGAGGCGCACTATTGTGAATCGCCCGTATTGTTGTGGTGTTTGACTGGTTACGGTGTACGTGGAACATGGGTTTAATCCTGACCGGGGAACATGGTGCTTGTGTGCTTGGGCAAGACACTTTACTACAATTGCCTCTCTCCATCCAGGAGTATAAATGGGTACCTGTGAGGGTAGGGACCAGAATGCGCTGATCTCGAGCTGCTGCAGAAAAAAGCTCCCATGGCCTGATGAACAGGGGGAATAATTGTGAAATGCTTTGAGACCTTTGGTATAAAGCGCTATACAGTCACACCCTGATAAAAGGGCACTGTTAATACATGGTACTGCTTATAACAAGCAAAACTTTAGGTCCCAAGCCTTTGTTTTCCGCTACTGTTAACAAGGTACCTGCTATAACAAGGTAATTTGTAAAGTCCCAAGGACCTTGTTATAAAGGCGTTTGACTGAATACGAGGGGTGATTGATAAGTTCGTGGCCTAAGGTAGAAGGAGATGAGCTATACAGTTTTGACTTTTTTTTGTGACAGATAGTTTGAACTTATGATCTGTTCTTGTTTTTCTGTTAAAGAAAATTAAACCTTGACAGTCCCGGTTCCTGAGATACTGAATCAAACAATGAGGCGGGGGAAGCTGACAAGGGGGTGCTCTTCATCTTATGGAAGAGGTAGTAGTCAGAGGGTGCCAAATCATAGGGTGTGTGTTCGACCAGTTCAAATCCACATTGCTGGATGGCAGCCATGGCCACTGGGGACTTGTGGACGAAAGCATTGTCATGGTGAAAGAGCACCCCCTTGTCAGCTTCCCCCCCCCTGAACATTAAAGCAGGACATTTAGGACTGTCTTTAAAGTATGTTTTAAGATGATTACCTATGTAGAACCACAGTACTTGATTCACATGAGCATCATACATACTTGTTCTGCTTCTAACTAAAGGAATTTCATTAACCCTCACTCCTTAGACAATCCTGCAAAATCCTCCATTATGTCTTGAATGTGGTCCTTGGAGGGGTGACCACTGCCTCAATCCTGCAAAATCCTCCGGCAGTCACTGTCAATATGTTGAGGCAGAGCATCCTGGAGCAGTGCGGAGGATTTCAAGTACAATATAGGCCTAAATTTATGCACAGCTGAGCAGAAACAACACAAGGTCCGGCCCAAGACCTTGGCACAGTGCATCCTCCAAATCTGCCACTCATTTTTGCCATATAGCCTCCATTTTGCAAAGAGGATTTTGGAGGATTTGGGAAGGTTAGGGTTAAGGCAAAGTGAACTGCTCAAGGACAAAACCACCAGAATACCCCGACTGGGTTTGGATCCACTACTATCACAATGCTCTTGCTGGACATATTAAACTATATCCCTTTACTCGCACACTATACGCTAGCCTCACCCTCAAGTTCGATGGTCCACGTCTATGGAACTCCATTCCCGATGACATCAGGGCAATGCCGTCCGTGGGTCGATTCAAATCCTCCAATAAAAGATTTCTTCTCTCCCAGTATGTAACATAGCCTTTCCTTCTTTACAGTGTATTTGTTTTTTGTTTTTTCCTTTCAATATTCAATATTTAGGCTTTCCTTCGTATTCATTGTTATCATTGTGCATTGTTGTTCTTTTATCTTGCATCAGCCTGGTTTATAATATGACTTACGTTGGTTTTGTTTGTCATTTGTTTGTGTGTCCGATCGTGTCTGTCTTTTTGTGTTTTTGTGTGATTACGTTGTATAGTCTGTCCAGGCTGTTCCACCTACAAGCCTTGGCTTATGTGAACAGCCTTGTATTCTCCTATCCTATTCTACTCTTTTTCAACTTCGCTTGCTATTAATCTTAATTTAAATAATTAGATTCAATTTAAGCATTTTTTGTTCTGGTGGTAATTACCTTCACATTTGTAATCACTTGTTTAAAGCTATAGTCCATCATTTGTAATTAGTGCATTTTGTTCGTTTGAAGCAACAAACGTGTTCAAAATCTAATGAAGGATACTGAACAACTTACTTGATGAAGTTTCAGCTCAGCTTCAGCTGTATATTCCGAGAAAAACAGCATTCTAAGATCTCAATTTCAAATCAAAAGTTACTGAATCATGTTTTGAATTGTTTTGAATTGCAGCTATACGCGACGTCGCGCACTGATCTGATGAATTATAACAACCGCGTGCGCATGTGCGTCGTTCCAATACTTGTGCGCGCTGCGCTGAATAACAAAACGAACTACTAATTTAAATTTTCCTACGGTGCTTCTTAAGAATCACCGTTGGAAATGCCTTCTTTCGTTGATTACTTCAAAATGACAGCTTCCCAGAAAGAATAATTTCACAGGGAGTTTAGTCCCCTTACTATCTTTCGACCAAGTTTGTTTTTCAACAATAATTACGCCAGTTACTTTTCGGATGGCTGCAAATGATGGACTATAGCTTTAAATATAACTGTATTGTACTTACATTATCCAACTTTGTATTGGTTTATTGGAGAGTGCTAAATAAATGTCAACTGAATTGAATTGAATTGAATTGATATCCTTGTTGCGTCTGACTTACTGACTGCACTGCTGATAGGTGTGCCTGTATCCTATGCAGAGAATGCAGCTTGGCAATAGAAGGCACTAGATCCATTATCAGGTGGTAATCAGCCATGTTACGCGAGTACAACTCCAGTCGTTGTAGATCATACTTGCTGCAGTAAGAACTCAGCTCATCCGCTTGGAGTGCTGTTAGCAACAGAAAGCATGGATTCAGGGGCAAATTTCAAGGAGCTGCTTAAGCACAAAATTTGCTTAAGCACAAAAACGTCTTGCTTAATAAAATCAGGCTACTGGCCAAAACTCCATGTGATTGTTATGCTAAGTAAACAACAGCTAAATACCAGTCACAAGCAATGTACATCACATGAAGTTTTGGCCGGTAACCTAATTTTACTAAGCAATGTTTTTTCGTGCTTAAGCAAATTTTCTGCTTAAGCAGCTCTATGGAATTGGGCCCTGCCAGATGAATTAAAAGTTCCAGCTTACAGTTTTGTATATTCTTCATCGTACAGACTTCAATCATACATTCAGTAATCACGCCTTTTTTGCCCATTGTTTATGGTCACATTAACACCCTTTTTCTCACAATCTGTTATACTTGCTTGTTGTTTTAAGTACATTGTGCTTGGAGAAAGGTTGAGTGGAGCTCAGCTTGCACAATTCGGGCGATTCACAATGCAGTGCGCCACCAAGAGTTTGCCATGGAGAATTCATTTTTCAAGTTTACGGTCAACAAAACATGGCCCATTTGGACGAGTGTCAGTAGAAAACTTGAGCTAATTTGTTATAGATTGGGGCAAAGCATTCTGCCACCTTACAAAAAACTCCATATCGATAAAACAAAAACAAAAGGGTAAACAGATACTCGAATCATACGCTTACGAACTTTCTGGCCGTAAAACGTAAAACTAACAATTTCAAATGTCCCGCGCTGCGAATTTGTCGACCATCTCCCACAATGCACTGGGAAAAATTAACTCTCTGTGGCCAACTCTTGGTGGCGCACTGCATTGTGAATCGCCCGAATTAAATCATGAATTGACAATGTTCACATTGAAATAAACAACAGCAGATAGTTGTGCACCTGTCTGTCAGGGTCATGGTAACTCACCCTGCAATCTCCGATTTTCAGGCAATTAAAATGTAGACAGAAGTATCATTCCAACGTAAGTTGGCAAATAAGATCGACTTCTGTACCAACGTCGGAACAAGAACTGCCTTCAATATTATTGTGACCTTCTATGATTTGCACTCAAAGTAAACATTCAAATTATAGGTTTTGCCCTTCACCGACATTTAAACACTGTATACTCAGTGTGTTACCTCCCGAGTGAAAGTTGGAAAAAATCACTCGGGTGGGACTCGAACCCACGACCTCCTGCTTTCTAGTGCAGATGTCTTACCACTCGACCACCGAGCTAACGGGATCTATTGGCTGGTTCAAATCTGATGTACATAGCAGCGCCGGTACCGCATAAACTATCATAAGACGGAATTTTGCATTGGGGTGATATAAATCAAATTATAGGTTTTGCCCTTCACCGACGTTTAAACACTGTATACTCAGTGTGTTACCTCCCGAGTGAAAGTTGGAAAAAAATCACTCGGGTGGGACTCGAACCCACGACCTCCTGCTTTCTAGTGCAGATGTCTTACCACTCGACCACCGAGCTAACGGGATCGGTTGGCTGGTCGATTGAAGGGCAAAACCTATAATTTGATCTATATCACCCCGACGCAAAATTCCATCTTATCAAAGTAAACATTGTTCAATCATTATGCGCACACGCGTAACTGGAATGTGAATTGATTTCTTCAAACTTACGCGGAGTCTGTGGCTTGTAATCTTTGTGATGCAGTATACTCAGTGCCATAGAGGGTTGAAAACTGCGGAACTGATAGGAACACAACGACACAAACCGTCTCCTGAAATCTGACAAACAAACAACAATACTATCACTGTCATGATTTGGAATAATGCATTAGATTTTACATTCTATATGATATCTCCATATTAGTCAGAGTTGTAATGACTCGAGTCAATGACTCGACTTGAGTCCGACTCGAGTCACAATTTTTGATGACTCGACTCGACTCGAGTCCCTAAGGGCAGATGACTCGACTTGACTCGAGTCCCTCATCAGAAGACTCGACTCGACTCGAGCGAAGGCTAATAAGACTCGAGTCCCAAAAATAAAAACAAAACTTTGCGAAAAGTATTTGCAATGACTTACGATGCAAAATTTATGCTCACTTCGCTTTGTGAATAGCAGTCATGTATAAATATACAGCGTGTCACAGACTCCCACCTCATGGTTCTAGAACGCACAAAATACTATCCAGGAACCAGATTTTTAAACACATTTTCTAATTTGCTGTTTCATCATTGGTTTTGGGCGATTTCTTATAAAGCTCTTGGATTCGAACGCTGGCTAAACTTATGGCCGACTTTTATAAATTTTGGTATATTGTTCAAATATTCGTGACTCGAATTGACTCGAGCTAAATATTTGACTCGACTCGACTCGACTCGACCTTTTGACCTAGTGACTCGACTCGAGTCACTTCTTTAAAATGACTCGACTCGACTCGAGTCACTTCTTTAAAATGACTCGACTCGAGTCACTTCTTTAAAATGACTCGACTCGACTTGAGTCACAAAAATCAGTGACTCGTTACAACTCTGATATTAGTTTCCACTATTAACAGATACAATTTCTAAATTTATTTGAGTTCCAATCTCATCGAATGATTCTCCAAAAGTGAATGCCTGTTTATGGGCCCCATGGGTGAACTTTTGAGTGGTCTACTCATGAAAATCACATAATAAACTTTGTGTATTAAAGAGGTTGTGGAATGCTCAAAAACATTTCCGTCATTTTTTGGGTATATGTAGTCTAAGGTGTGATGAAATAAAAACAACTATTGTGTCTGTCATGAAATGAGTACAAAAGGTATTTTTGAGAGCTGTTTTTCAAGTCCTGTCATGCCTGTTTCGACCCGAACGTGCAATTTGTGTAAAAGTCGTCGTTGCGGGCAGCAAACAAAACACATTAAATCGTGACGTAATAAACAGGACTCCCGATGCAGAGTAGCATAAACCAGTCCTGTTTATTACGTCACGATTTACTGTGTTTTGTTTGCTGCCCGCAACGACGACTTTTACACAAATTGCGCGTTCGGGTCGAAACAGGACCTGAAGAATAGCTCTCAAAAGTACCCTTTGTACTCATTTCATGACAGAAACAATAGCCGTTTTTATTTCATCACACCTTAGGCTACATATACCCAAAAAATGACGGAAATGTCTTCGAGCATTCCACACCCTCTTTAAATTCAAAGGTAAGAATGTGAATTTCAAAGTTGCATGAGACTTTCATAACATCTACAGGGTAAACCATCATGTGCAAGGCTTCTTGATTGTACCAACCTGTAGAGAAGGCCATTAGCCATGACTCAGTGTCTGGCTGACGAGTCATCTCTTCATTTATGGTCTTCAGCATAATACAGGAATGCTCACCGGTCAGGTCATTCTACGACACAGGAAGAAATACTCGCTTGATTATCAATGGTTTATACCTCTCTTATCAAACATCCGACCAGCTGATTCGGCACTGCTTTTACCATGCCATGTGTTGACATGTGTGACCTGTTCTGTCAAAAGCAGACGCTTCTGGGCAGAGGTTGAAATGAAGATAAGGCCAAAAAATGCTGTGGGGGTGATTTTTTTCGATTTTCAAATTTTTGCATATTTGTAATCCTGAACATGTCCAAAATATACTATAAGCGTTTGAAACCCTACTTTGAGCTCTAAATATAGTATTTTTGATGATTTGTTAAGGTGTATCAGTTAAAGATATTACTGCTTTGTGACGTTCGTGGCCATTTTCTCAGTTTTCTACTTTTCAACACAATAAACTTCAAAATAGCATAACTCTGCCCAGGAATGACTGGTTTCAAAAATTAAACAACCTTTTAAAAGGAAACAGAACATATTTTAACAATATGCAAAAATCTCATTTTTGACCTTATGCCCAGAAGAGTCTGATTTTGACATGTGTGCTTTATTCCAAGCAAAACTCTACAGTACTTTATTCTAAAAAATGATCAAACAAAGTATGGTCTGCTGATTTCAAAACTGTTATACTCTCTTTGAATAAAACTGTTGTCAGTTCGGTTTGGCACCTTTAACCAAACCTCAATCATTTTGCTTCAGGCTTTTAACAGGTATTCATAAATATTCCTATTGGTTTAGGGCCCGTCACGTGGCCGGTCTTAAACAGATGATAAAGACATGGCTAGCTGGTCTTAAACACTTTTCCAGTGTCACATGAAATTTGGACTCCCATGAAATCCGGTGCCTTTTAACGTTTCATTGGTTGAACGTTCACATTCCTCACGTAGGCATGCCCAATACTACCAGTGAATCAGTATTTCATAGTCCTAAATCCACTCTACACCAGCCCAGCTGCGTTTTGCGCGACATCGCTCAGTACACGCGACGCGCACGCCAATCTCCTGATAAGGTAAGGAGTTGTAGAGGGACATTCCATATTATAGTCAGAGGGGTGTTTCATAAAACATGAAGTAAACTTGTTGAACAAAATGGTTGGCAACGTCTAGTTTTTGACTTGTTTTGATTTTTTGACCGAAAAGATTTTTTTTTTTGACCGAAAAGTATTTATGAATGGGAATTTTTTTTGCTTGGTCGGTATTAAACACTCTGTTTAAGACTGGTTGGAGTCTGGAGTGCTGATAATTACCCTTGTCTTCGCCTTGTGTAATTATCAGCACCCAGACTCCAACTGGTCTTAGACATAGTTTTTAATACCTTCCAAACACACATTTATTCCCTTAGTATTTCACTTCCCACTATTAGGAACTCCAGGGTAACCTCGGAGCACCATCATGATTTTGACACTTTGTCAGGGAATTTATCCTGTCCTTAAATGAACATTACTCACAGGTGTCTGCCTGAGATACACGGGCACAAAGCCAGCCTTCTTCCAAAATCTGACAAGGAAAAAAGATGAAAAGAAATTGCATTATGTCTTCAATTATAATGAAGAACCTGTCAACCGCAAATCAAGTTGCCCTGTCATCTACAAGATTGCAAATATTTACTTCGCAAATGTCAAAGTAATATACAACTGCAATTACCAGAAAACAACACTACCGACTCCACTTGGAGTTCAGAACGCCTTGAAAAATGATTACTTGATACCATGTAATTGTAACTTACTTGCAAATGAAGTTGTCAAAGATTGCTGAAAATGTCAAGTATTTATGGCTGTTGAATGGCAATGAAGCAAAGCTAAACCAGCACTTGAATAAGCATCATCATATTCAGTTTGTGACATTATCAATGAACATGTCATAGATCAAGTGCCATCAATGAAAACCATGCATTTAAGTGTCCATGGAGGTCATGTATAATAATTGAGAAATGTCTATGTGCACTTTCAAATTACGTACATTTTGCCCCAAACTTTTTTTCAGTCAAAATCACACATCATAAATGTGAACTTCTTGAGAAAATCTGAAATCCCTTTCCTAAAAATCAGCTCTTTATAGCTCATAGAGTACATTCATGATTCAGTCATAATTATATTTTAATACTTGTGATTTGTTATACATGTGATTTTTTTAAATGGCTTTGTGGAACTATGGATTGATCATACTGTCAATTTTTTAAGTCCTCAAAAGTCCCCTGTCATGAGTTGGGTGAAATTGACTGCAACAGTAGCTAATCCAACAGTAAGTTTTATGGTATCATCCCAACACTGCATAGAACATGTACACGCTAGTATGATAGTAGGACCTACCTGAGTAGCTGTGATGTGATTCCAAATGATACTCCTAGGTAGTCCAACTTCTCAGCAGGTCGTTCATTCAGCTTGGATAGCAGCGGAGGAAGGTTCCTCCTCGGTCCAATCACTTCCTCCATCAAATCAACCTCCTAAAGACATTCAAACAATATCAAGGACAATGCACAAGTACTGGGTTGTGCAATCCATCACTGCGGGGGACCATGCTGCTATGTAAGATTTCAACTGGTCAGCCTACCCCTGTAAGTTCAGTGAGTTATCATAATGAGTTATTACAGTGATGAGCAAGTGGATGGGTGGTAATCAGTAATAATAATAATAATCGGCAATTAAGAACACTCTTATTAGTAAACTAAATCACAGCGCTTACAGTTTTATTATTACCCCTGATCATTGGGCCAATTAAACATTCCAAATACCATCTCAGCTCCCTGGGGAGTATACAGCCTGATGCAGCCTGTTAGGCGCAAGGATCATTCAATCACAATAACCATCTCTGCCCTCACAGGTACCCATTTACTCCTGAGTGGAGAGAAGCAATGCGTGACAAAAGGCCTTGCTCAAGGGCACACGCACCATGACTCCGGCTGGACTCGAACCCACAACCTGCAGCTTTACCCACAGACCACGAATCCAGTGCCCTTAACCACGAGGCCACAGCACTCCACAATCAGTGGCAGGGGAAAGGTAGAAGCGACACCCACGACAAAGTCCCTACTTCCCCCCCCCCCCCTAAAAAACTCACAAATTTTACTCACTGAATACATATTTTATGGGTCATTTGGTGTTCAATACGTCGTTACATCTAACTTTCACGACAATGCACCTAAACCCATCAAAAAGTTCCGCAAATCCAAAATTGTCCAATTAATTTGATACAAGAAGTGGAATAGATGTGTGTCTATGACAACCATGTACCAACAAAGTGAGATGATTGAATGTACTCTGTGTATATTGCTTGAAACTGCATGTGCATGAATCAGCATGAGAATAGCACTCCGCACTAATGTAAAAAATAAAAGCAAGTACCCGGATCTCAGACAAGCATGCTGTACGGACTTCTTGTGTGAAGATACATGTACATGCACGCTTGCAGCACCGTTTCTAAGTGAATGTATGCGGCCAGGGTGTGCATACATGTGCGCGCGTGCTTGTTCAAAAGTTTGTCTGAAATGCGGGGTATACACGTGTACGGCGTGAAGCACAATTGACGTCATTAGTGCCGAGTGCTATTGCAAGACATTTCAACCAATTGCCAAACAGTCCATTCAATAGCAAGCGCCCAGTGTGCTACACATTAGAGTAGCTCAACATCTAGTAAACCAAGAAACTGAAAAAGGACTACATTGATACATGGACAGACTTTTTTATTTGCAAACACCATGTGCCTATTGTGTTTGTCACTAAATTTGTCAATACTTATATTCAAGTATCATATGTATGGCTCAAAAGTCAATTCTTTTTATGATAGACCACGGAAAAATGAACTATTTTGACCTATTATTAAACTTGTAAATAATTTTCACTAAACATTACCATTTAACTAGTTCAATGTCCACAGACCTTCATTAAGGTAAAACATGAATTGTCACATGAATGTTGCCAATTGACCAATCCTTCTAATTGGTCCATAGTGCTGTTTGCAAACAAATCAAATCCATTTTCAAAAGCTCCACCACATGAAACTGGCATCAAATTGAACTGTTAACAACTCTGGCTATACAGGTATTATTAGTTATCCCGCGAGCGCGAGTGGAACACGGAATAATGTAGTGCGTCTGTGACCCACATACCACGAGGCCGAAGGCCGAGTGGTATGTGGGACACAGACGCACTACATTATTCCGTGTTCCACGAGCGCGAGCGTGATAACAAATTTATCTTCAAGCAAACTCGACGCACAATAAAGATGAAACGCACGCTGTACACAAAGTGCTTATCCTATTACACGTGCGTGGTTTGTACGGAATGGCGCGCGCATCTTGGAATATTGCAAAACGCAGAGTGCGGTATGAACCGTGGCCGTGCTACATGGTTATATGTAGCACGGCTTGTTGCCATGGATCGACCAATCAGGATCGAGGATTCAAGTTTACTTGAAGATAATGCATGTTACGCAACCTACCTCACTCTCCACAGTATTCAATCCTGATGGCGTTGTACTAGTCTCTCCTAGATTAGGGAATTGACCCTCATAGTACCTCTGTAGTAACATCAAGGCCCTGGACCCATAACCCATCTAAATATAATCAGAAGATATCAAACATTACAATTCGGGCGATTCACAATGCAGTGCGCCACCAAGAGTTTGCAATGGAGAGTCAACTTTTCAAGTTTACGGTCGACAAAATATGGCCCATTTGAATGAGCGTCAGTAGACACTTGAGCTAATTTGTTATAGATTGGGGCATAGCGTTCTGCCGCCTTACCAAAAATCACCATATTGATACAAAGAAAAGAAAAGGGCAAACATATACTCGAATCATACGCTTACGAAACTACTGACCGGAAAAAACGAACAATTTCAAATGTCCCGAGCTGCGAATTTGTCGACCATCTCCCACAATGCACTGGAAAAAAATTAACTCTCCGAAAATACAAAGTGAAATAATGCTATGGCTGTGAAAAATACGCCAAACTTTTTCTACCAAAACCTACATGTATCATATTTATCTGAATTTAGTTCTTTACTAGAATTCAATGACAGATTAAGTTTGAAACACTGTGCTGACTTGGATGAATGAGGTTAGATCTGATGTTTAAAGCTATAGTCCATCATTTGCAGCCATCCGAAAAAGTAACTGGCGTATTATTGTTGAAAAACATACTTGGTTGAAAGATAGTAAGTGGACTAAACTCCCTGTGAAATTAATCTTTCTGGCTAGCTATCATTTTGAAGTAATCAACGAAAGAAGGCCATTCCAACGGTGCGTCTTAAGACACACCGTAGGAAAATTTAAATTAGTAGTTTCTTTTGTTATTCGGCGCAGCGCGCGCAAGCATTGGCACGACGCACAGGCGCGCGCGGTTGCTATAATTCGTCGGATCAGTGCACGACATGGCGTATAGCTGCAATTCAAAACATGATTCAGCAACTTTTGATTGGAAATTGAGATCCTAGAATGCTGTTTTTCTCGGAATATACAGCTGGAGCTGAGCTAAAACTTCATCTGGGGCCAATTTCATAGAGCTGCTTACGCACAAAAATTTGCTTAAGCACAAAAACGTCTTGCTGAATAAAATCAGGTTTCCGGCCAAAACTCCACTCGATTATTATGTCAAGTAAACAACAGCTATATACCAGTCACAAGCAATGCACCTTACATGGCGTTTTGGCCGGTAACCTAATTTTACTAAGAAATGCTTTTTCGTGCTTCAGCAAATTTTGTGCTTAAGCAGCTCTATGAAATTGGGCCCAGGTTAGTTGTTCAGTACCCTTCTTTAGATTTTGAACACTTTTGTTGCTTCAAACGAACAAAATGCAGAAATTACAAATGATGGACTATATCTTTCATTGATTGAGCCTGGTGAGATCTAGTGCTCACTTCAGACGACCATCAAACAACATATGTTTCATGAATAGGAAACTATGCAATGCCATTAAATTTCATTTTAGCATAGTAGCCAACAAGCTGACATTTGAACAGGTACATTCTAACAGATCATGAAATGTGTTCTATAAATTGAAAAGAAAACTTTAAAAAAATAATGGAAATTTTTCAACTGGGCTTCAAAATGTCTGCTAAAAACTGAAATGTATACGGCAGTAAATATAGTAGTGATGACAGAACACGTCATGACAAGCTAGCCTGAATGACATATGTATATTAATGATGTACCCTAACGTGGCCCGGCCCCCAACATGGCGCACTCTGATATTTCGCCTGTAGCGCCTAGCTAGAGCAAAAGTTTTAACTGAAATTTCACAAAAAGTAAAATTTTATCAAGTTCTAAACACTTCCGTTTGTAAATCACCAGTTTATCTTCCCGTTAGAAAGTTAGAAGAAAAAAATATTTCATTGTGAATTTCCGATTTATTTCGAAGTGCACAGTGAACCCTTTGAAAATGTCCCCCCCAAAAATAAAAAAAATAATTTGCTGACAAACTTCTAGTTGAGTTTGTAAGAAGAAATAATAATTGTTTATCAGAATTTATCAACTTTACAGAAATTCTTAAATGTTAATTTGGTATTTTTCGCGATTTATTCAAGTGCGCCGCGTTGGGGAACACTCAGCCAATTTGTGCCCAATTTCCGGACGCCACCGTTTTAGAATTTCGGATTATATTTCATGAAACCGAAATTGTTCACAGAGGTTAAATAGTAAGCATTAATAAGGTAAATGTACCAGTATTTTGACTGAATGAATTTGAAGTTTGTCAACAAAGAAGTGTGGCAACACTTATGTTGAAAGTCTGGGTAATTGTCGAAGTGCGCCACGTTAGGGAACACCACTATACAGGTATCACAAGTCCTAAGTTCCCCCCAACATTATTCTTAATTAATGAAATAGAAATGCACGATTTCAACAATATCCCAAATGCAAATGACAGAGGACACTCTTCTGCCCATCTTGTGAGAAAATGATAGAAATCCAATCATGCATACCAACACGAAGCTCATTTGAATGAAAAAAGTGCAAAAAAAAAGTTGCAGTAAATAGCATTGCTCCAATGTACTGGTTTGAGTGATCCTGCAAGGCAGGGTAGACTTTCATTAAATAATAACTTTACCTTACAAAAGTGTCCTTATTTAAAAGGATGTTTAACTAAAACAAGACGCAATCTTGGTAATCTAACAGATAATTATAGACCTTTTAATGCAAAGATGACAAAGAAAATGCAAATTAAATGTAACATTTTTAAATGTCCCATGTAAAAACAGGAGTCTCTACTTGAAAGAGGAAGAACAAGAAAACCAATTTCAAAAATGTTACATTTAAGTTGCATTTTCTTTGTCATCTTTGCATTAAAAGGTCTATAATTATCTGTTAGATTACCAAGATTGTGTCTTGTGTTAGTTAAACATCCTTTTAAACAAGGAAACTTTTGTACTTAAGGTAAAGTTATTAATTAATGAAAGTCTACCCTGCCTTGCAGGATCACTCAAACCAGTACATTGGAGCAATGCTATTTACTGCAACTTTTTTTATTGGCACTTTTTTCATTCAAATGAGCTTCGTGTTGGTATGCGTGATTGGGTTTCTATCATTTTTTTTCACAAAATGGGCAGAAGAGTGTCCTCTGTCATTTGCATTTGGGATATTGTTGAACTCGTGCATTTCTATTTCATTAATTAAGAATAATGTTGGGGGGAACGTAGGACTTGTGATACCTGTATATTATTGAACTCAATATAGATGATGTGGGTTTCCTGAACAAGAATGTGAGAGTGTGCTTACCCCTTGGTAGTCAGGATGTGTGGCTATCCGCACAACCCGAGCACCGGATAAACTGGGAAAATCATTGTCTTGAAACTAAAAGAAAAAGAGCAAAAGTTATAAATAACCAGATATGACCTCTCATTGGTTTGTGGTGTCAGTGTCGCGTCATTTCAGGATGATGAGATCAGGTAATGAAGCCTTTATCCTGCAGCAAAAGGACATCTGAGTGTTTAAATACTTTGTTGACGATCTCATTAGTCTGTTACTTCAATCATTATTATTTTATCAATTAAAATCGCAGAGTACATTAAAAATGCTGCTGTAGTTATCACAGAATGCATGCTGCAAAGAAGTTTCATCTTTGCTAACTTCTTCAAATTATTTGCAACATTTATAGCATACTAGAAGCCCAGACAGCATAAACCAGACAACATACAGCAGGTACTAGATATCATGATTTCTGTTGTGAAAATGAGAAATGAGCTTTCTGGATTCAGGTTTCTTATATGCGACTGGTGTTATTATACAGAGGTGGCAGCAAGTCATTGTTTGCAAGTCCAAGTCAAGTCACAAGTCATTAGGTCCAGTCACAAGTCAAGTCACAAGTCATTTGGTCTAAACACAAGTCAAGTCACAAGTATCTTTGTCCTAGAACACGTCAAGTTGCACATTATTTTGTCCAGCTGTAATAAGCTAAAAGAATTAACCTGGCGTGAACTTACGAGTTATTTTGAACATGCCTCCTTAATTCCCCTTTTTCAATGTGTTGCAATTACTATTCTTGTGGTTTATCACATATCTGTCGGATATTAGCCCTTTGTATACTTTAATAAATTTACTTTACATTGTAGAAATAAATGTTGAGATAACCGTGAAAAAAAGACTTCACTCACTCGATTACATGTAGTATACTAACACTTTATTGTTCAATATTCATGTATACTAAACGCCTACCAATGGGTTAGGCTATCCGGTATTTTAAATGCAATTGAAAAAGGCCTGCTTTCTTTTCATGAAAGGTTCCTTTCAAAGTTTGTTCAACCAATACATTAAGCAAGAGACAATTGGTCATTGAAAACTGTAGTTTGTTGTGACAGTCTTATTGAAAACTTTTGAAACAAGTGGGAACTATTCATTTTACTGGATTCAGTCACTGAGGTCTATTTTCTGGAATGAAAAGCTAATTAAAAGTATAATAGCTTAATTAAAGTGTATTGGGTCGCTCCAGTAGCGTCTGACTTGGGTTGGTAACAAGTCATTTTTTGCAATCCCAAGTCAAGTCACAAGTCATTGTTTGCAAGTCCAAGTCAAGTCAAAGCTGGTATTTACAAGTCAAGTCACAAAAATAGCGACTCAAGTCCAAGACACATGACTCGAGTCAGCAACTCTGGTGTTATACATATGTAGGGTGTTACCTGTTGTAAGATGGTCCATGGAATGAGATCTCCCGAAGCCCTCTTGCCTCGGGATAAGCTAGACAGGATAGTCTGCTTGGAGATCTGGCCTTCTAAGCACACCTGATGAACAAACATTATCAGACATCAGGATTGCAACCAAAATACAAGGACACTCTTACAGCAATTTTAATGACAGGGGGTCTCTTAAAATCACATTATTATTGCCTGTGAAGTTTTGTTTCATGGTTCATGGATTATGATTGGAGGATCTGGAGTTCTATCCTGCTGCTGGCTGTGTGCATGGCCTTGGGCAAACAAATAGCAAGGGCTTTATACAAATATTTGTATTACATTTCCAGCACCCGATTTCACGAAGCGCTGCGACGCGTCGCAACTCAAGTTACGACGTGTAACACGTCGCAACTCGCGACGCGTCGTATCATCCATTTCACGAAAGTTGCAATGTGTTGAACGCGTCGTAAGTTCCTTGACAACGGCTTAAAACACGTCGTAACTTACGACGTGTCTAGTGGTCATCGCAAAATACGAAGAGTCCCTTTCTAAGCCAATTTAATGCCATAAACATGACAAAAACGAGATTATAATACCGAAGCAATGTGTGTAAAGTTGTAAATAAAAATATTAATTGAATAATTATGAATTAGACTGGAATATTGCAGTTGAAATTTCAAAGTAGCTACATGTATACAGTCCACTGAGAGTTTGTTTTCCTTCAAAATTGCATCGCACAGCCACCATTTTGTTTTACATTTTAACAGATTTCGAGCTGAGATCCGACGACTCTTTGTTGAATATCAGACAACTATTTACTGTCAATGACTATATACATAAAACAGTCATCAAGTTGTGCTATAAATACACCTACGACACGTCGCACTTACGACGTGTTTCGTGAAATGGATCGCAGGACGCGTCGCAGCTGCGACGCATCGTAGAGATACGACGCGTCGCATCGCTACGATGCATCATAAGTTACGAAGAGTTTGATGAAATCGGGTGCAGGCCGTGGAAACTGCGGATGAGAACAAGCATGGCTGAGGAGCCTTTTCAGCTCAAGACAATCCTAAAATGGAAATTATCAAATCAGAAAGAGAGAATTTTTTGGACCCCCCCAATTTTTTTTTAATAGGGTTACTTTTTGGAAAAATGAAGGCCACAAGACCCTTATTTACAAAAATCTCAAATTAAATCAATACACGTTTTAGTTTTAAACTACATATTGTTTAAGCTTCAAATCTATCATAAGAGTCTTGGCTAAAAGTTTTACTTTAAGCCTGTTATCACAAAATTACATGCGAATGGTAAGCCTTTGTAAGGCTATGTCTGAATGGCTTGCCTGCGGCTTGACATAGCACACGGGAGCAGCCACATCCACTTGCCATAGACCAGTATGATGTAGCTTAGCATTGATCAAACAAACATATTTACTTGATAGCATTATTTGTGGTCTCTAATTTATGAAAAGAGAGATACCTGGGTCAGGCAGCCACAGCACTGGGCCTTGCGAAAACACATAACCCCCAAAAGGCAATCTTATATAATATGTGAGGTTAAAGAGGTTGTGGAATGCTCGAAGACATTTCCGTTATTTTTCGGGTATATGTAGCCTAAGGTGTGATGAAATAAAAACGACTATTGTGTCTCGTTTATACTACGCTGCAGGACTACGCAGGACTCGGGAGTCCTGTTTATTACGTCACGATTTACTATGTTTTGTTTGCTACCCCCAACGACGACTTTTACACAAATTGCACGTTCGGGTCGAAACAGGACCTGAAAAACAGCTCTCAACAGTACCTTTTGTACTCGTTTCATGACAGACACAATAGTCGTTTTTATTTCATTACACCTTAGGCTACATATAACCGAAAAATGACGGAAATGTCTTCGAGCATTCCACAACCTCTTTAAAACCAATTGACTTGGGCAAAAAAGAAACAAAGTGCAAACTTATTCTTGCACGTGACATACCTGTAGTACACAAAGTATTTCAGGTAGACTATTTTGTGTAGGATCTACTGGTCCCAGTAGGCAAAAGACATGATGTGCTGGAGCATCAGATAGAAGCTGCAAATCATTGGGTGTATTCTGCAACACACAAATCAATCCACATAGGTTAACCATCTACAGTCGACTCTCGTTAGTACAAACTCTGTTAATACAAAATTCTGGTTATAACAAACATAAAGCCTTGGTCCGGACTGTGCATTTATGTGCACAATGAATTGGACTGAGGTCCTTTTAATACAAAATTCTGATATAACAAACAATTTGGCTAAGTCTGAATGAGTTTGTTATAACCAGAGTCGACTGTACATGTACAATCACATTGGAATCTCCCAGCGACTTTTTTCCCCAAGCTAACGATGTACCAGCTACACTATCAAGGCAAGAATTATACTCGGGTTGCAAGTAATGATTCAATACAATTAATGAAAAAGGGTTAAAATATCCTCAGTTGTGTCTTGTTTAAGGAAGGGTGAAACTTTCTGAAGTGATAATTAAGCTAGTGCAAAATGACCAGCAAGTTTACAGGCTGACATTCAATGTCTACTTTTTAAGACATACAGGTAATCTTTGATCGTAAAATAAATAAAACCCAAGTAGTTTGAAAAGTACATTCTCGGGGATTTCATGTCACAGTTCAAAGACTGTAAGATTGGTTCAGTGGGCAGTGTTGGAGTTTGAGAATTAAGAAGGTTTCTGGTTAAAAAAAAAACGCTGCCAAAAGAAAAAGGGATAACAATTAAATGCTTACAATGAATTTTACCACAAATTTAATATCGACTATTCTTAATTCAATATTAGGTTTTGCCTTTCCGATATTTTGATAAGGTATCTATGCATCTTATGAATACTTTAATTGCGGTACCCAATGTTACATCAGATTCGAACCAGCCAGCCGATCCCGCAAGCTTGGTGGTCGAGTGGTAAGACGTCTCCACTAGAAAGCAGGAGGTCATGGGTTCGAGTCCCACCCGAGTGATTTTTTCCAACTTTCACTCGAAAGGCAACACACTGCGTATGCAGTGTTTATATGTCGGTGAAGGGCTAAACCTAATATTGAATTTACACCACCCCGACACAAATTCCATTTTATGAATAGTCTATTCTTAAAATAATAATCTTCGGAGTTAATTACATATTTTTTCCTAAAAAATAATTTGGGAAATACGTGTTGAAAAATGAGAGTAGGTGATTTCTTGCTACCTTGTAGTGAGCTGCTACATATATGGACATCAGACGCTGCAGAAATACTTCAGAAGCCTTGTGAAAACTGAACAATGTATCTCGGTTGATGTAGTATGTGTGCATTGGTCAGGAAATAATAACAATTTGGGAATATTAACCCTAAGCCCTAGACCTTTTTGCTAGGAACCATCCTCAATCCTCCAAAATTTTACAACAGCGCCTACATTCTTCAAATTTTCAGACAGTCCTGCCTCAAAATGCATTCATCCTCAATCCTCCAAAATCCTCCTCATCCAAAAATGTTGCACTTATGTTGAAATGAAGGGTACCCAGCCCCTCAATCCTTCAAAACCATCAGACAGTCCTGCCTCAAAATACCATTCAGCCTCAATCCTCCAAAATCCTTTTCTGAAAAAAAAAATACCATTTAGCCTCAATCCTCCAAAATCCTTTTCTGAAAAATACCATTCAGCCTCAATCCTCCAAAATCCTTTTCTGAAAAATACCATTCAGCATGTTCAGCCTCAATCCTCCAAAATCCTTTTCTGAAAAAAATACCATTCAGCCTCAATCCTCCAAAATCCTCCAAAACCACAAGGAGGATTTTGGAGGATTGAGGAGGGTTAAAGTTAATGAATACAGACGTGGCCAATGCATATGCTCTATGATGAAAATGTGAAAAGACCTAGAATATCATGGAATTGTTTACATTACAAAGGGTATGTTGGTTCAGTGTGTAGACACCAAATTATCAATGGTACAATGGTCTGTTATAAGTGTAGCCCTAGAGGTGCAAGCATCATCATTGTCAAGCTGGGTGTCTGATGAATCTACCATCTGATGGGAATCATAGAAACTAAGAGACTTTCCAAGAGGAATTTTCAGGAAAAAAAAAAAGTTCCAAAATTTCCAAGAGGAATTTTCAGAATTTGACTGAAACACAATCAGAGGTGATGAAAGCACCAAAAGACAAGGATTTGTTTGTAAGAACTTCCACAAAACTCACATTTAGGCCGCTACAAACAAACCATGCACAAACGAAGACCCAATGCACGTACGTAGAGTAAGGGACCGTGACCATTCAGCCCTGGTATGAAAAGGGCCCCCCAGTACCTCGTCCGGTCCAAAGCCAGTCCGGTCTTCAGCCCAGTCTCGTCCGGTACATGGTCCTGTCTGACCAGAAGTTTTGAAGTCAGTCAGGCGCATCCATTTATTGCCCTTCAGAGAACCTCCAGAGCAGAACAATAGCAGACTTACCAGATTAAAGATAAAATCCTTCCATAACGCCTTGGTAATTTACGATCCCATTGTGCGCGAAACCGCATGGCAGGGGTTTTGATCTGTGCGGACGAAAGTGTTCTATTGTTTCGCGCTGAGAGATGAAAACCACAAGCGGGTTTCTTCTGGGATATATTACATGTGTCAATACTTGCAAACAATAGAGCCCAGGATAGGGGAGTTCCTGATTAGCAACCGGACCAGCTCCTGGGCTGGTAGCTGGGACGGTACAAGAGGACTTCTTGGGAGGGGACGAGCTTACTGGGGGGCCCTTTTCATACCGGGGCTGAATGGTCACGGGCCCTAAGTGTCCTGTACAGTGATAAAGCGTATGTGGCATGCAGTAAGCCAACGTCAGGTTGATCTGTGATTTGCTTGTGCCGTGACAGAATTTTTGGACAAGGCATTCACCGGAAGTGTCCATGATGGTATTTGGCCGTTCTTTGCCAACTGACTTGCATATTGTAGCCACGTGAGGTCATTGTTCGAGCTTCGTTAAGTGCATAGCGCGCAGCTTGTGTTTATGTTTTTAGGGGCCAGATACCATCACGGACACTAACGCCGAGCGCTTCACGCGTGACCAAGGCTTGTTCCGTCGTGGCGTAAGCAAATCACAGGTCAAGCTGACAGGATGGCTGTACTGGGCAACTGGTTCCTGCTGCTATAAAGAAAACAACCAGGACAGACCGAGAACAGTTTAGGCCAAGTTCGCGCAAGGACTATAGTTGACCAATGGTTAACTAACGTTTGCCCGAACTCTGTCTAGTCGACGGTGGTTGACTACGCGAGTCGACTATTTGGAACCAGCCTACTGGGGTTGGTTGCTTCGCTGGTAACCAATAGCCGTGTGCATTCAGAACGCTAGCAGAGAGCCAGGATCCAGAAGTTTTGCGATGACATTTTGACCAGCTTTGACGAGAGACGTTCGCATGTTACTATCAGTGCGCAGGCTACCGCAATGGGTCTAGCTCAAATGGCCTTCCTGTTCAAGCTTCGACATCGTTAAAGATTATCATTGGAAAGATGATGAAAGACATTCCAAAGACTTGATCTCTTTTTTCTGTGTATTTCTTTTACATTTTTGTGTATGTATCTCAAATTTGTAGTGATACAACCTAGCGTTTTTGTATTTTTTTTGCTGCCAGTTCACCAACGTGATTGTTGGTACATGGCAGTCCACACATGCTGACACAATGCAATCAAAACCATGTAGGATGCTGTCTTCTCTTCTTTACTAACGTTATGTATTAAAGATATAGTCCATCATTTGTAATTTGTGCATTTTGTTTATTTGAAGCAACAAAAGTGTTCAAAATCTAATGACATGAATGAAGGATACTGAACAACTAACCTGATGAAGTTTCAGTTCAGCTTCAGCAGTATATTCCGAGAAAAACAGCATTCTAGGATCTCAATTTCAAATCAAAAGTTGCTGAATCATGTTTTGAATTGCAGCTATACGCGATGTCGCGCACTGATCCGACGAATTATAGCAACCGCGCGCGCCTGTGTGTCGTGCCAGTGCTTGCGCGCGCTGCGCCGAATAACAAAACAAACTACTAATTTAAATTTTCCTACGGTGCGTCTTAAGACGCACTGTTGGAAAGGCCTTCTTTCGTTGATTTCTTCAAAATGATAGCTTGCCAGAAGGATTAATTTCACAGGGAGTTTAGTTCCCTTACTATCTTTCAACCAAGTATGTTTTTCAACAATAATACACCAGTTACTTTTTCGGATGGCTGCAAATGATGGACTATAGCTTTAAATGTTGTGCATGATTTAGAATTCCCCATTTTGGTATATTTTCCTTGAATTAAAACAACTAGGTATTATTAAACACAATATGCGAAATATGTGAAATACATCGTGACTACATCTAATAAGTCACATAAGAAAATGGTGTTTTGTGAGTAAGAATTCAATGACAGATTCAAGCCTCAAGTCTTGATCAATTACAGAAACACAAAAACTGTATCTTTGTTCTGGAACCATTTGTAGATTTTCTTATTCCCATTTTGATATCTGTAAACCTTTAAGACAGAAATGGAATGTATCCATTAACCCTAACTCCCTAGGGGGTGTGCAAAATCGTATTGAAATTTGAGGATTCAGGACTGTTTGGGCTAAGCAATTACCCCAGTGGGATATAATAACGATTATTTTGATTTTAAATTTTTTTTTTTTTTTAAATATAGCCAAGGATATAAGTCACAGTCTTGTGGCACTGGGCATCCTGAAGATATGCGTGGTACACTAGCCACATCCAGGCACAGCAGACTATTCAACCACTGCTCTACTTCATCGCCCACACTGTAACGAATGGACTCCTCAAGACAAACCTCATGTAGAATACGACCTGTACAAACACGCCAACAAAGAATCAAATGATCACAATCAATCAATCATTATGTGGCCGATGTTTTTAGATATGTCACCCAAAGATAAAGTAGGGTTTGTGGTAATATCATGGACAGATGTCCATTTTGAAATACAGGTAGGTTGTGCTCCATGGACATTCTATTTTCCCTCGGCTTCGCCTCCGGAAAAATAGAATGTCCATGGATTACCTCGGGAGGCTAGTTTTACTACACCACGAGATAAAGCAATCAATATTTGTATATCAGACGTTCTACCGGAGATGGGCTGGGTGGAGAACGGGTGATACTCAGACTAAATGCAGAGTGCTATACTTCAATAATTGTGTAAAGCTATTTTTCGTCTATTGTGAACGCTCCGACTGTATTTTCATCAGGTGTTGTCATGATACATGATGAGTGTTTAAAGCATCTCCTACTCGGCCAACTGACTGATCTGACCTGTAGCTGATGACCCAGCCTCTATGCTAGTCCTAGCCTGTGTCTTGCCACTGCCACCAAATGATGCATTCTGCTGCCTCAGCTGCTGAATTAACTTCAATGACAGAGAGCGTCCTGTCCCCTCATATCTGAAACAAAATAGAGTTTATATCCAAGGAAACACGGTTAAACACATTGATGCATACCTCAGACAGTTTAGCCATTCCAGCTATTCCTATTGGTCGAGAGCCCGTCACATGGCCGGTCTTAAACGGATAATAAAGACATGGCTAGCTGGTCTTAAACACTTTTCCAGTTTCACAATAAAATGTGGACTCCTAAAAGTCCAGTGCCTTTTACTGTTTCATTGGTTGAACGTTCACAAATCTCACGTAGGCATGCGCAACACTACCAGCGAGTCAAAATTTTATAGTTCAAAATTCCAAACACAACGCCCCAGGTGCGTTCTGCGCGACATCGCGCAGAACAAGCCACGCGCGCGTCACTCTCCATAAAAGCGTTGTTTACATCTTACTCGCCAGCTGAAAACTCCATTATTTTGCCAGAGGGATGTTTCAAAAAGCATGAAGTGAACTTGTTGAACAAAATCGGGATTTTTTGAACAAATAATTTAATTATTTTTTTTACCATAAAGGTATTTACGAATGGGAATAAATATGTGCTCGGTCGGTATTTATCACTCTGTTTAACCCTTTCCTTACCATGGGCGACTTTTGTCGACAAGAAGAACCCCCTGCTGGTTCCCATGGGCGACTTTAGTCGACCAGGAAACCACACACAGAACACCCTCAACACACATTATTTACTACTTTTCAGAAAGGCGGCATGTTGATATGTTTGGCCGCCCATACATCAACCATATATTAGCTGAAAGAGTGTTTTCGGATCGTTCTAATGGTGTAGTTTATTCATAGCGTTACCATTACAAAAAAATGAGAAAAGTGCTTCAGAATAATCCACTCACAAATTGAGGTATGGAGTGCCATTTGGTCATGTGGTGAAATGGCTTGCAGTTTGATAAATGGGACCACATGAAGAAAAAGGCATAACTGTCTTATATTTGCACGTATGGACTTCATTTTTACATCACATAAAAGAGTAAGGTTCAAGGAACAAACTTTACACATAGCACCTATGATTTAAATCACTCCTTGGCAGTGAAAATCTGGGTTGAAAAAAGAGAGTTTTGGACTTGTGGTCGTTTGTTTCACGCTCTAGTGATTTCCGCATGACTGAGCAAACAATTTGGTCCTGGGGAGAGCCAAGTCAATAAACAATGTGGTAATGAAAGGGTTAAGACCGCTTAGAGTCTGGGTGCTGATAATTACCCTCGCCTCCGGCTCGGGTAATTATCAGCACCCAGACTCTAAGTGGTCTTAAACGGAGTGATAAAAACCTCCCGAGCACACATTTATTCCCTTTAATATTGACACACCATTTCTGTGGCAGTCTATATGCCACAATTTTATTGAATGTGGCGCATAAATTCTCACAGTAACTTTCATAACTTGACTACATGCGTGGTGGTCGAGTGGCAAGACGTCTGCACTAGTAAGCAGGAGGTTGTGGGTTCGAGTCTCACCCGAGTGATTTGTTTTCCTCACAATCACTCAGGGGCAACACGTTCAAATTATTGCATCAAAGTTTCATTATGTAATAAAAACAAAAGCAAAAGTGCTTTGATATAAAATAAAAGAAGAATCAAGCATTTACCCATTAACGGTTGATGACATGAATACAAGGTATGGTCCCAGTAGTTCCTTGACTAATGGTAGTGGGATAGCCGCTGCTTCGTCTATGATGACTAGCTCAGCTTGGCCTAGCTTGACTGCATCACCAGGATGGATGTACTATCAAACAAACACACATCAATACAACGACAATGGGTATCTTTACTAGAAAGTATCCTGAATCCGCCAAAACCCACCAATTATGTCACGTTAAAGGGAATATACATCATTTGCTTTTGCTGTAATTTTCAGAAATGGATGGAATTGGGGGGTTGGAAATATATAGAAAATATAGTTACACTGACTTTTTTGAGGTTTTGGGTTCGAAAATGCTATAAAAACCAAGAAAAACAATCATTTTCCTGTAGTCTGACTCCATATAAGAAGAAACAGAGCAGTTTACACACATTGGGGAATTGTAAGGTCAGGGAACAAGTCTAGCTGGCTTGTACCCGTTCATAGGTGTGTAATCGATTGCAAACAAGTGCGATGGTCAATTGGGGCCAGTTTTTGAAAAAAAGCCAGTTTTTTCCAACGCTGGTCAGCCGACCAGCGTTGGAAATTGATACAAAAATACCACTTTTCTTGAAAATGACAGTATACCAGGTGCCATGATTTTACAGGATGCTTTACACTGTCATTCACTAACAGTCCAGCAAGGTATTTCAAAATGATTTGGTAGTTTTATTTTTTGATGTTTGCAAATGTTGTATTTTCCCTTTAAAAATGTTGGAGTTGGTGACTACTCAATATGGAGGTATCCTGAATCCATTAAATCCTGCAGTACGCTAGGCTTACAATCCTGAGTCCATCAAAATCCCCCAGTTTTCAATATAGAGGTATCCAGAATTTGGCGAAAGTCTCCACAGGGGTATTGATATGGATGGATTCAGGAAGGTTGGGGTTAATGGTACTGTAACATTGGTAGAAGTGTTAAAAAGTGCCACAAAACATGCCACAAAAATTGCAACTATATGTTCTTGTAATTGCAAAAAATTGCCAATTTAACATCAAACAGGACTATTTGTAGTCTGGTAATCCAGCACTAAGAATTTATTGTGCAAATAGAAACATCACAAACTTGACATTGTTTTTTTTTCTCAAAAAGTACAACCATAAATATATTCCTCATTGCAAAATCAAACAACTTATATTAATAATAATAATAATAATAAACTGGTGATTTTTATAGCGCTTTTAGCAAGATCAAAGTGCTTTACGGAGAAGAAACAATCAATAAGAGCTAGTGGTATAGAACAAAGTGATAGGTTTGGAGAAGCTTCTTGAAAATGTGGATAGATTGGGAGTCTCTGATGTGTAATGGGATCTTGTTCCATTCTTTAGGACCTGCAATGGAGGCTTTGTTTCCTGTACTCTTGGTAGTGATGGTTGTCCGTAGGCGGGATTTATCAGATGAAGACCTGCACCCGATTTCATGAAACTCTTCGTAACTTACGATGCATCGCAGCGATGCGACGCGTCGTATCTCTATGATGCGTTGCAGCTGCGACGCGTCCTGCGATCCGTTTCACAAAACACGTCTTACGTGCGACGCGTCGTAGGTGTATTTATAGCACAACTCGGTGACTGTTTTATGTATTAAGTCAGCGTACAGTAAATAGTCGTCTGATATTCAACAAACAGTCGTCGGATCTCAGCTCAAAATTTGTTAAAACGTAAAACAAAATGGCGGCCGTGCGATGCAATTTTGAAGGAAAACAAGCTCTCATTGGACTGTATAGCTACTTTGAAATTTCAACTCTAATATTCTGGTCTGATGCATAATTTTTCAATGAAGTTTCTATTTACAACTTTACACACATTGCCTCGGTATTATAATCTCGTTAATGTAATGTTAATGGCATAAAACTGGCTTAGAAATTACTCTTCTTAGCAGCGCTTCGTGAAATCGGGTGCAGCACCTCCCTACCAGGTTCATGAAAGGAAAGAAGTTCAGCCAAGTAGGGGGGAGCTCTGCTGTGTTGTGACTTGTAGACATGCATGAGTAATTTGAAAAGGATGCGATGTTTGAGTGGTAACCAGTGTAGCTGCTGAATAAGACTGGAAGCACATTCAGATCGGCCAACGGAGAAAACAAGCCTGGCAGAACGATTTTGAAGTTCTTGTAGTCTGTCGATATCACCTTGTGGCTAATACCGTACAGTAAAGAATTACAATAGTCAAGGCAAGAAGTGATCGGACAGCGTACAGCATGATGAAAGGTGTGTTGATGGATGAATTAACGGATGCGATTTATGTTGCGGAGGTGAAAGTTCAAGGATTTACAAACATTTGTAACATGATGCGACATAGACATTGTAGAATCAAAAATACCCCCAAGATTTTTAATTGTGTGCGATGGTCAAATAATAGTTTCTCCAACTTGAAATGCGAGATCTGTCAATGAGTTGATGAGGTGATGCTGCAATGAAAAATTATGTTTTGGCATCATTGAGCTCCAGTTTGTTAGAGCCCACCCACTGTCTACTGTTCTGTATAATGGCGAAGTAAAGCTACATTTACATGTAGATTTAACACCAGACTCAATGTTACTGCATGGAGCGGCATACTTGGTTCTTGGTTGGTTCTTCTCCTTAATACTCCGCGTGGGAGTTTATACAGGAGGCCAGAAACACAGGGGCAAACCCCTTCTCTTAGCGATAAGTGTTTACTGGGTTCTTTTACGTGCATTTATGCAACACACGGGACCTACGGCTTAACGTCCCATCCGAAGGACGAAGCAATAATGGTTAAAGTGCCTTGCTTAAGAGCACAAGTGTCCGCCGGCGGGCTCGAACCCACGTCACTGTTGCCTCTGAAACACCAGAACATGAGTACGGTACTCTTAACCGCTAGGCCATGACACTCCAGACGATTTGTCATAAAGCGCCAGAAGATTAACAAGGAAATTCTTGCGGGGAGTATGACTTGGGTTGCAATTGGTAAAGGAACCACTGACTTGAATTACATCAATTTCAAAATGGAGCCTATTTTGAGCTGTCATCAGGCTGTCTGAATTTCTCATCTACAGCTGCTGTCTACATGTAGGTCCTAACTCATTACATCTACGTGAGAACAAGCTGACAATAGACTAAGCCACAGCCAGAACAAGCTGACAATAGACTAAGCCACAGCCAGAACAAGCTGACAATAGACTAAGCCACAGCCAGAACAAGCTGACAATAGACTAAGCCACAGCCAGAACAAGCTGACAATAGACTAAGCCACAGCCAGAACAAGCTGACAATAGACTAAGCCACAGCCAGAACAAGCTGACAATAGACTAAGCCACAGCCAGAACAAGCTGACAATAGACTTAGCCACAGCCAGAACGAGCTGACAATAGACTTAGCCACAGCCATAGCTATAGAAGCTGGCTTTTGCAAACAGCCATAGCCTTACCAACCTGTATTGTCTGCCTGTGTTCCCTGTATATGTTGACTCTAACAATAGCCTTGTTGAATTCTGGGTTGGTAGACTGGACTAACTCATAGTCAAGATGCTCCTACAAACAAATGATATATCAGACTTTGTTTAACAAAATCAATGTCGTAATAAGTTCCAAAATGATTACTTAGTTACTTGATTAAAGATATAGTCCATCATTTGTAATTTGTGCATTTTGTTCGTTTGAAGCAACAAAAGTGTTCAAAATCTAATGAAGGATACTGAACAACTAACCCGATGAAGTTTCAGCTCAGCTTCAGCTGTATATTCCGAGAAAAACAGCATTCTAGGATCGCATTTCAAATCAAAAGTTGCTGAATCATGTTTTGAATTGGACCTGAATTCAGCGTCCAAGACACGTTCTCACTGAGCCGATTGCAGCTATACGCGATGTCACGCACTGATCCGACGAATTACAGCAACCGCGCGCACGTGTGTGTCATGCCAATGCTTGCGCGCACTTCTCTAAATAACAAAACGAACTACTAATTTAAATTTTGGAAAGGCCTTCTTTCGTTGATTACTTCAAAATGACAGCTTGCCAGAAAGAATAATTTCACAGGGAGTTTCGTCCACTTACTATCTTTTAACCAAGTATGTTTTTTCAACAATAATTACGCCAGCTACTTTTCGGATTGCTGCAAATGATGGACTATAGCTTTAATCTATCAATTATTTGGTTCATTTCTTTGATTTGATCAATCAAAAGACACTCTCGGATAATGAGTTTTTCTTTCCAGAAAATTCAAAAGCACATGCTTGGATTCCGCAGGTAACTGTAGCTTAACTTGTATTTTAATGTTGGATTCTGTTGGATTACACACTCAGCAATATCAAAATGTGAACAGGATGACAAATTATGTGTCAACTAAATAGTTGATTAAATATTCATGCACCTACCTGATAGTCTAATGCATCAAATCCTTTGAAGACAAATTCAAAGAGAGTTCGTAGATTCTCAGGGCTGGGTGCAGTCACAAAGATGTTGGAATACCTGCCAATTGACAAAAGAACAATCACAACTTTACAGAAAAGTGTTTTTAATGATCAAAAAAGGGAAAATTGTTCGGAGAAAAATACCCTTGAAAGCAAGATTGATGTCCCATACAGTTAGAATGTCTTGGTGTTAAGTGTTCCTATAATAGTTTATGCGGTACCCGCTGCTATGTACATCAGATTCGCACCAGCCAACCGATCCCATTAGCTCGGTGGTCGAGTGATAAGACATCTGCACTAGAAAGCAGGAGGTCGTAGGTTCGAGTCCCACCCGAGTGATTTTGTCCAACTTTCACTCGGGAGGTGACACACACTGAGTATGTGTATATATACAGTGTTTAAACGTCGGTGAAGGGCAAAACCTAATTTGATTTATATCACCCCGACGCCAAAAAAACCCCAAAAAACAAAAAAAAAACCTTCCTATAATGGTGTTAAATGTGTCCATGTATGTAGACTTCAACTACTCGTCATTCACACTCATGAGTCATTACTACATGCACTCATTTTTTAGATTGATTTAGATGTTCAAGAGGCAGCTACGAGTGATATAAAGGGTGTATCAAAAAAATGTAATCCAAAAACAATGGGCTCATATGGGCAATTCCACAGTTACTCACGTTACATTTTTGATGTACTTTTGAGTTTCCTTGGGCTGTAATTACCTTACTGAAAAGGTTTAATAATTGTTATCCCCGTGGTAGATAGAGTAGACCTAGACCTACCTAAGCACCAAAGACGACATCCAGAAAAATGTGTTATGTATGATAAACAAGACGCACACGTTACTCACGTTACGAAAATGTGACGTGAGTAACCGATTTTCTGCATCTTGTTATCATACATAACACATTTTTCTGGAAGTCATCTTTGGTGCTTAGGTAGGTCGAGGTCTACTCTATCTACCATGGGGATAACAGTTATTAAACTTTTTCATTATGGTAATTACAGCCCAAGGAACCTCAAAAGTACATAAAAAATGTAACGTGAGTAACCGTGGAATTGCCCATATGTACAAGTTAGGAAATGTTACAATGTCAAAGTGGCTCCATCTTGAAGGGTAGTGCAGTAGCTTTTAATTGATACCTTAAAAGCATCTCTTCAGCCACTAATGATCGAGCATCATTGATGGCAAAACCAAGGCCATAAAAAGCTTGCTTCCAAGTTTGCTGAATAAGTGGTGAGTTAAGCTGTCTGAGGAATGCTCTGTCGCAGAGCTGTGGACCGTGTGCTAATAGGGGTATAGTCGTGTTCCCTAACGTGGCGCACTTCAAAGCTTACCCAACTTTCCTCGTGTAGTGTTGCCAAACCTCTTTGTTGATAAACCTCAAATTTATGCAGTGAAATACTGGTACTTTTACCTTTTTAATGCTTGCTATTTAACCTCTGTGAACAATTTCGGTTTCATAAAATTTAATCCGAAATGCAAAAACGGTCGCGTCCGGAAATTGGGCACAAATTGGCGGAGTGTTCCCTAACGTGGCGCACTTGAATAAATCTCACAAAATCCCAAATTAACATTTAAGAATTTCTGTAAACTTGATAAATTCTGATAAATCATTATTATCTTTACTTCCAAACCCAGCCAGATGTTAGTCAGAAAATTATTTTCTTATTTTTCGGGGCATTTTCAAAGGGTTCACTTTGCACTTGAAAATAAAATCGGAAAATCACGCCAAAATAATTTTTTCTTTTAACTTTGTAACGGGTAAATAAACTCGCGATTTATGAACAGGAGTGTTTAGAACTTGATGAAATTTCACTTTCTGTGAAATTTCAGTTAAAACTTTTGCTCTAGCTAGGCGCTACAGGCGAAAAATAAAAGTGTGCCACATTAGGGACCGCGCCACGTTAGGGTACATCAACAATATGTTAGAGGTGTTGTTGCGTAAAATGGTACCTTATGTTGCCCATACATAATTAATCATTATCAAGATTTCATTTTCACCTCAAACTAGCAATGAAGTTTTAAAAACTCTTTAAAACATAGCTTGCAATGGGCATAGCCAAAGCCATGCCAAGCTAAGTTTTGAGTACATTTTTGCATTAAAGGGAAAATACAACATTTGCAAACATCAAAAAATAAAACTACCAAATCGTTTTGAAATACCTTGCTGGACTGTTAGTGAATGACAGTGTAAAGCATCCTGTAAAATCATGGCACCTGGTATACTGTCATTTTCAAGAAAAGTGGTATTTTTGTATCAATTTCCAACGCTGATCGGCCGACCAGCGTTGGAAAAAACTGGTCTTTTTTTCAAACACTTGCCCTAATTGACCATCGCACTTGTTTGCAATCGATTACACACCTATGAACCGGTACAAGCCAGCTAGACTGGTTCCCTGACCTTACAATTCCCCAATGTATGTAAACTGCTCTGTTTATTTTTATATGGCGTCAGGGCACCAGACTACAGGAAAATGATTGTTTTTCTTGGTTTTTATAGCATTTTCGAACCCAAAACCTCAAAAAAGTCAGTGTAACTATATTTGCTACATATTTCCAACCCCCCAATTCCATCCATTTCTGAAAATTACAGCAAAAGCAAATGATGTATATTCCCTTTAAAGTAGTTTTTATTTTAATGAGTAAACACAAAATCTTTAAATGATTGAATTAATCATGAAACATGATACTTCAGTTTATGCTCAAACACTTTCAACATGTCTTTCTCCTCCCGACACAAAATCCACTGCGACTGCGCACTTTTTTGGACTGTTCAATTTGCCACTGAATCAGGTAAATTTGGAAATAGTAGGTGTTTGGCCGTGTGCTGATCAACAAAATGCCTGGCATGATCAATCATTCCATGGACATTATGTACCATTGTATGCGCCATCACCTCTTACATACCCCTTTTAACGCACATTCCACAGCTGCGACAGCGCATTCATCCGACAGCTTAACTCGCCACTTATTCAGCAAACTTGGAAACAGTGGTTTTTAGCCTTTGTTTTGAAATCAATGGTGCTCAGTCATCCGTGACTGAAGAGATGCAAATGAGATACCAATGAAAAGCTAATGAACTACCCTTTCACAACTTTTGCATATTAACCCATCATTTTTGGATTACCTTTTTTTTGATACACCCTGTACTACAGGAATAATCCTGATTACGCTGACATCATTCTACAGAGACCTAGGGTTCTTATCCAGTGTTTTGACCCATCAAGTATGGACGGAGCAGTACAGAGGAACTGAGGTCTATCACGCTGGAGAGGGACACATGGAGAAGAATGTCCTACTCCAACTCCAACAGATTCATGAAAATTGTGTCACTGAAGATTTTTTAGCATGAAATAATGGCTAAAAGCAATGAACAGCAATTCTAACAATATTGGTTCAAAAGTAATTTTAAAATGCGGAATTAATAATAATCCGCATTTAAGAACGCTCTTATTAGTAAACTAAATCACAGCGCTTACAATATTATTATTACCCCTGATCATTGGGCCAATTAAACATTCTAAATACCATCTCAGCTCCCTGGGGAGTATACACCTCAATGCTGCCTGTTAGGCGCAAACAAGCTTATTCAATCACAATAACCATCTCTGCCCTCACAGGTCCCCATTACCCCTGGGTGGAGAGAAGCAATGAGTGACAAAGTACCTTGCCCAAGGGCACACGCACCATGACCCCGCCAGGACTCGAACCCAAACCTGCAGCTTTACTCACAGACCATGAATCCAGTGCCCTTAACCACGAGGCCACAGCACAGAATTAAAAAAAAAATGAAGCCAGCAAGTGGAGCTACCTGTACCTACCCAAATGCCACAGCTGTAGCCATAGCGAGACCCAAAGCGGCTGACTTGCCTCTACCCCTAGCCGCTGTCATACACACAGTGCTACGCAGTGTCTTCTCTGAGATGGCTTCAACGAACTTGAGTAAAGCTTTGGCTTGATCCAGTGTCTTGGTACGGTTGACTAATGCACCGACAGGCTGTGTGTCTTGTAAGGACGCCTTCAAGTCTTTCAATTCAGCTTCAGTTGGGCTCAGAGTGTCAGCCTGACATCCCACAAATGAGAACACATTAGTCACGGTTAACTTCTATCAATGCTTTCCATTCTATGAAATACTCCACGGATTGTAAGTGGGTTTTCCTATGGGCTCCGTGCAAGAACACGAGAGGGCGCTTATTTGCCACTTTTGAGAGTCCCATGGACACACCTGGCTCTCTGTGCGTATAGCACGACTTATTTTATTTGGAAGCGTCATAAGCAGTGTGTCTGAAAACTCTGAATGTCTCTCCAAGAGGTTTCTCCCATCTCTCCTTTTCTTACCGTTGAGGGTACTTGTGCACGGAGCCCATAACTACATGAACAGGCTAGTATCTTACCCCTAACCCACCCAGATGCAACACAGTGCATCAGGTGGACAAGTCTGGTGTATTTTTAGGCATTCAGCTATTAACACCAGTGCATAAACGGCCAGTTCTGAGACAATGAGAGCTAGTCCCATTGAACGATGCCTCAGTTGTGTCCTGCTGCATTCGATGACAACAGACTCTGAGACTTTTGGCCTGATGAATCTAGCTACACTGGGCAGGCTTGTCATGCAGACAAGTGTTGCATGTTGCTGCGTTTGGCAGGGTTTCTAGCAAAAATGCCCTGGAGGGTTAGGGTTAACCCTAACTGCCCTGAATCCTCCAAAATCCTTTTTGCAAATTGGTGGAATTTGCAGGATTGGGGTTACATGTGTGACCAGTCGTGTTTTACAACAGACAGATCTCAGTAACATTTCTTTTATAATCAAGATGTATAGTAAATAGGCTGTACAACAGGATGAGCCATTATTTTGATAACATAATTAGCGCCCTCTGTAGTTACAGAAACTTTTTATTGCAACGCCCCTGCTTGGTTCCTTAACTTTCCTGCAATCACATTCTAGCATTGCTAGCTGCATTGATCAGAAACATTCCAACATACCTTGAATTCTAGAATATTGTTAAGTTTTTATGAGCTGCATTGCGTGCTGCATATAGCTTAGCTTTCGTGTAATGACAAGGCATTGCTAGAGACACTCATCCACTTGCTTGCGATCAGACCACACCTACAATGTTAGAAGTGCTCTGATTACCGTTCAACTACATCTAGTTGGGGACAATTTCCCCTTCGGTTGGTGGTGGCACGACCGTTGGTCAGCCTAGGCGACCCCTCCATGGACCATATTCAAGAAATAACGGAGGAATTTGCAGGATTGAGGCTATATGCTATTTTTCCATGAGGCAAATTGGAGGATTTTCAGGATTGAGGCTACATACTAGCAAAAAGGCCTAGGGAGTTAGGGTTAATATTGCAAGTGATGTAACATTTAACTACAGAGCAAACTTTTCTTGAGCTTACCATAGTTTTGGGCGGTACAGCTTGGATGGCCAGAATATGAGATGAGAGAGGTAGAATGTTGAGCTTATCATCAATGACCATACAACGTCTGCACGTTGCAAGGGATAACAGAAACCTGCAACAGCAACAATGTTACATAGGTAGAATGTTGAGCTTATCATCAATGACCATACAACGTCTGCACGTTGCAAGGGATAACAGAAACCTGCAACAGTAACAATGTTACATACATGTAGGTAGAATGTTGAGCTTATCATCAATGACCATACAACGTCTGCACGTTGCAAGGGATAACAGAAACCTGCAACAGTAACAATGTTACATAGGTAGAATGTTGAGCTTATCATCAATGACCATACAACCTCTGCACGTTGCAAGGGATAACAGAAACCTGCAACAGCAACAATGTTACATAGGTAGAATGTTGAGCTTATCATCAATGACCATACAACCTCTGCACGTTGCAAGGGATAACAGAAACCTGCAACAGCAACAATGTTACACAGGTAGAATGTTGAGCTTATCATCAATGACCATACAACGTCTGCACGTTGCAAGGGATAACAGAAACCTGCAACAGTAACAATGTTACATAGGTAGAATGTTGAGCTTATCACCAATGACCATACAACGTCTGCACGTTGGAAGGGATAACAGAAACCTGCAACAGCAACAATGTTACACAGGTAGAATGTTGAGCTCATCATCAATGACCATACAACGTCTGCACGTTGCAAGGGATAACAGAAACCTGCAACAGTAACAATGTTTAATACATAGGTAGAATGTTGAGCTTATCATCAATGACCATACAACGTCTGCACATTGCAAGGGATAACAGAAACCTGCAACAGCAACAATGTTACACAGGTAGAATGTTGAGCTCATCATCAATGACCATACAACGTCTGCATGTTGCAAGGGATAACAGAAACCTGCAAAAGTAACAATGTTTAATACATAGGTAGAATGTTGAGCTTATCATCAATGACCATACAACGTCTGCACATTGCAAGGGATAACAGAAACCTGCAACAGTAACAATGCTCACATATCAACACCAGTAGCCACTAAAACGCACATGTTGGTCAGATCCTCATGAGTATTATTTTCAAGCATTGGAATCTAATACCCTTAACGTCTGAAGTGTGCTAAAGTTGAAATACATGTACACATTGCAGGATATATTGTCTTACTCACTGACCAAGAATACTTTTCAACCTACATCAAATGTCCCAAGATGCAAAGCTTGTAGAAGGAGCAGCAACAACTGTCATTTGCCATTTTCTCTCTGAGAAATGCCCAACACTTGCAGGTCAAAGCCATGTTGGCAACGGGAAGGTAAGTAAAAAAGAACTGTTCTGGTCATATTTGGGGCAGGAAACTATTTATTTAAACTAGTAAATGTAACCAAAATGGCAATAAAATAGCTCATTAGGGTAATGTGTGTGACTTGTAGCATTACTGAGTCAAGCTATTGTTCTCTATAACTACTTACTAACTTTTAACCGTTATAAGATGGAATTTTTGCGCAGGGGTGATACAAATCAAATTAGGTTTTGCCCTTCACCGACGTTTAAACACTGTATACTCAGTGTGTTACCTCCCAAGTGAAAGTTGGAAAAATCACTCGGGTGGGACTCGAACCCAGAACCTCCTGCTTTTTAGTGCAGATGTCTTACCACTCGACCACCGAGCTAACGGAATCGGTTGGCTGGTTCGAATCTGATGTATAGCAGCGGGTATCGCATAAACTATTATAAGATTAGATGGAATTTTTTATTTATTTATTTTTTTTAATCACCCCGGCGCAAAAATTCCATCTTATAATAGTTTATGCGGTACCCGCTGCTATACATCAGATTCGAACCAGCCAACCGATCCCGTTAGCTCGGTGGTCGAGTGGTAAGACATCTGCACTAGAAAGCAGGAGGTGGTGGGTTCGAGTCCCACCCGAGTGATTTTTTCCAGCTTTCACTCTGGAGGTAACACACTGAGTATACAGTGTTTAAACGTCGGTGAAGGGCAAAACCTCATTTGATTAACTTTTAACTGACACAGTTAATGGAAATATTCAGATTAAAATATGCCAAACCTTTCATTGAATCTGCCTACAACATCTTGGTGTGCTTCTGTGCGGTATCGTGAATGAACATCCATAGAGATTGTGTACAGCTGCTTCAGAGATGCCATTGTGCGGACAAGTATAACGATAATACCACCCCCCTCTACTGTCTCAATGGTACGGGCCAGGAGGTTAGGGGTCATAGCTTCAAAGTCCTAAAAATAAGAAATGAACAGGAAAAGGATTCATTAAATATTTTCCTTTTTCATGCAAATATATAATTGCAACAATTGAAATCACTAGTTTTTGATATCATATCAAGGTCTGTTGGTGAAGTTTTTATCGGGCAGTGGTTGAGAGTGTTTTGACACTCTCAATCGCTGTCTGGTACGGCAACACCACGGTGGATGACCGGCAGCTTTCGCAGTGCAATGGAAATATTTCAGGCCGAAGTTCGCACGTAATTGAATACCCCATTCAATCAGCACAAAAATAAATTGGCCAAAAAACCAAAAAAAAAACATTCCGACCTACTTTTAAAGGCATGTAATCGGAAGCAGAACTATTTTTGTTTTTGGCCTTATCGATTTTTGAGGTTTTTGTCACTTTGTGAGGAAACGATGCTTTATCAAATATTTAGAAATCATTTTTGGTAGCAAAGTGTAGAAAAGACGTGCCAAGTCCTGGCACTATCAATAGGGGAGTCAGGTTGGCGTAGCGGTACTTTCCTTGCCTTCCACCGCTGTGACCCGGGTTCGAATCCCGCCTGGGCCAATATGTGGATTGGGTTTTCAGTCCCTGCCTGATTCCGTTGGTTTTCCCCAGAATATTCTTCTGGGCTTTTCCTCCCACCTCTAAAACTGTAACTTCTTCTCATTGTCTTCCCCTCCATTTATCCATCTTGTTATTGGCGCTTGCGCTGTTGGATGTGGCTGAAATTTGAAAAAAAAAAAAAATAATGAATGAATAAACCTCACCTGCAGTACACACATGCCGTATGTATTTCCTAAGATCTTATGAGTTTCTGAGTAGTAACAGTAGCGGATGTTAGTTGCAGCAATGAACAACTCAAATGGGTCATCTTCTTTAACATCTAAGGCACCACTCTTGAGCTTCTTCTGTAGTTGCTTCATACGTTTCTTGCGATGGCTGCAACAATACATATATATACACACAAAATCGTCAATATACATGTTTGCATGCTATGTATACATGTACATAGGTGACCAGCTCCACAAAAAAGGGTATTATGTTGCAAAAAAGTGAAATTGAGTTATATACATGGTTGGAAAGCCCACAATGTAAGCTTTCATTTGGAATATAATTGAGCTCCATAGCCCCTCCCGTTCTGGAGACATGACGTGTTTGCATATTAATTACTTCCTTGGAGTTCAAATTACACAACTGTGAAAACAGGCTTTGAAATAGCTGGCTTTGTTGTAGAACAACAGAACGATGCACATAAAATGGTTGTTTTTCCACTTTGTTCATCAAAATCAACATTTCTGTGAATGAAACCTGAAACTGTAGGTATTAAAGATGTCACTCATGACAAAAATGAAAATCACATTTTGACCAAATTTTCACCCTCTTAATGTTGAGCAGGCCATTACACAATAATGCTCAGCGCGACTTAATACCCTTTTTTGTGGAGCCGGTCACAATTATATACATGCACATACATGAACAGGACATGTACGTGTGTTCTGTAGTTCTGTTATCATACTTGACTGGTAAAATACAAAAATAATTATGGAATTTATTGACATATAAGTATTTCACAAAAGGCCATCCACCCAAAAATAAAATCAACAACAATGAGTATCACTGCTGCAGCTGAAATGCCAATTGAACAGGTTGGTTCCTAGTCTTTCCAGAAGCATTCTGGTCATTATCTTTGTTTCAGTAGGACCAGTATAATAATAATAATAATAGCAGGCATTTATATAGCGCTTTTACACCGCAACGGTGTAAACACTCCTGAAACCTTCTCAACTCCCTAGGGAGCATACACGGCTGGTAGGCAGCCGTTTCGGCGCTTTTTGCCGTAATCAACCTCTCACAGTCACCAACACTGCCCTCACAGGTGCCCATTTGCTCCTGGGTGGAGAGAAGCAGTGAGTGACAAAGTGCCTAGACCAAGGACACACACAGCATGACCCCAGGCTGGACTCGAACCCACAACCTGCAGAATTACCCGCAGACCACAAATTCAATGCTCCAGACCACTAGGCCACAGCATTCCAGTTCATCTTGCTTCAACAGCTGTGAAGAATACTTACAGCTCACGTTTGAGAAAGAAAAATTCCAAAATTTGCTCTCAATCACTACTGATGCTGTAGAAATTTAAATATACAAACAGCTGTTGTAGAACAGCTGTTTGGCAAAAAGAAAATGGCCGATTTGATTGCATTTTTTCATGTATGCAACTCAACTTTCATGCAACCTGAATGACGCACCCTTTACTGACAGATTTCAAGTTGATGCATTGACCCTAAGGCCAAAAAAAAAAAATTGGTCTCTGGTCAGACCACAGTTCCGGAATTGACGCGGCAATGCATTTTTTTTTTTTTTGATTTTTTTTTTCAAGCTTGGACTGCAGAGACAAGGTGGGGTACTATTTTGCTTTTTTGGTGTCCTCATGTACATTGCATTGGTGTCCTCCATAATTTGCCTTGGCGCTCTCGATCATTTGCCTTGGTGCAATTTCCCATTCCTTGGTGCTCTTTGGTAAAAAAAAAATGAGGTGTGGCAATAGAGGGCGCTGTTGGAGCTACCGCGGAACATTTGGGAAAAAACAAGATTGACGCGCATGATTTAAATCGACGCGCGCGCTGACCAGAGACCGCCTTATTTTTTTTTTTGGCCTAACGCACATGAATCCATCAAAATACATACCACTGTTTGGAGGATTTCGGTGGATCCAGGATCCCTCCATGTTGAATACAGGGGGATTTTGATCGATTGAGGAATTTAAGCCTAGCGGTACTGCAGGATTTTGATGGATTCAGGATACCTCCATACTGAGCAGTCACCAACATTTTTGTGCATGACACAATAGGTGGATAGTGGCGGATTCAGGATACTTTCTAGTAAAAGTGCTCAAGGGGTTTATATACTAACCTATTTCTTTTCAAAATTCCCGTTTTTGGATACACCCTGTACAAATTGCATCAATGTAATATCCATATAACAAAATAAAACAATACGATCACAAAACACATCCAAGATATGTATTTATACATGTACACCAATTTGTTTGTGGAACCTTTACCTGCTGAAGCCCAGTTCTTTTTTGTAGCACCATAGCACCGATGGTCTAGCCTTGACAACTGCCTTAGATAGCATGTGATGTAAAATCACAACCTGTAATATGACCAACAACAAAAAAACAACAAATAACATCATGGGCTACATACATGTACTTCAAGTACATGACATACATGTACATGCTACAATGTTAAAGGGAATGTACATCATTGGCTTTTGCTGTAATTTTCAGAAATGAACTACATGTATTTTAGGGGTTAGTATAATACATCAAATATTGTTATACTGACATGTTTGAAGGTTTGTGTTCGAAAATGCTGGAAAAACCAAGAAAAACAACAATGTTCAAGTAGTCTGGTTCCCTGACGCTACTAATTTAGATAAAATGGATCCATTTATAGATGCCGGAAAATTGTAAGGTAAGGGAACCAGTTTAGCTGACCTGCATCCGTTCATGAACATGTAACCAATAAGCAAACAAAATTTGGACTGAAGAAATGGTAAATTTTGAGCAGTAGTTGCTAAATAGTTAGTTTTTCCAACGGTGGTCGGCCGACCACTGTTGGAAATGTATACAAAAATACCATTTTCTTGAAAATGACTTCACACCAGGTGCCATAATTTTACAGGATGCTTTAAACTGTCATTTACCAACATCCTAGCAAGGTATTTCATAAAAACTTGGTAGTTTTATTTTTCGATGTTTGCAAATGTTGTATAGTCCCTTTAATGGTTGCAATTGTTTAAACAGTTTTAAGAACAATTTGCAATATTGGGACTTCCTCCTTTTCACTGTAACAATTTCAAAACTACAACGGCTGAGCATTTCTTGTATCACTAGTGATAATGAAGTTGGGCAGCGATGGTTTACTGCGATTACGATAAGTCAGTCAAACAGTGTTATTTTTGTTGTACCCCATAACTTATGCAACCAAAATGTAAGCCATAATTCATTGTGAGGTTTCAAGCAACGAGCTTTTGCTTTTGCGTAATGTAGAATGCAGGCACTTGCCGCATACATTCATATGTATGCGCCATGTGAAGAAAAACCTGCTTAATCATGTTGGAAAAATGGAGTTGACCGACGATTTGTGAGAAATTTGTCTGGAAAAATACACTTTATTGGAGAAAATACACACTTAACAAAAAAAATTTAACATACCAAACAAATTAAGGCGGGCGCAAAAATTGGGGGCGGGAAAGGGGGGGGTTGATGAAAACTGAAACATTTATTTTAAAAAGAGAAACTAGTCAAGGTGAATAATGAACCTACATGCATGCACTGTGGGACATAGCAGTTTGGGCGTATACAAATATTGAGTGGCTCAGCGTGGAATGGGAGGAATATTATCGCAAGGTAAAATCTGGACTTTTCCATTTCACGAGGCGAAGCCCAGTGAACTGGAAAAGTCCAGATTTTACCGAGCGATAATATTCCTCCCATTTCACAATTTAAAGCCACTCAATATTTGCTTTATATAACTGACAGATCCTTGTCATTTGATATATTTGAACTTTTTTTCCAATACAAAACTGGAGGAAAATGTATCTCTTCCAAACCAGCCCTTCACGAAAATGTTTGAACCCAACGCTGTAGCGCAGGGCTGGCTCTTTGGAACAATACGCGCTACGCGCGACGCTGAACGCGCTCACCAGCATGCATTTGCACACAAATACCGCGTCATGATCCTAACTGTTGAATAGTATTTCCCATTCCCCATGGGCGGATAGTACTTTTTGAGCCGCGGCGTGAATGGGAGCAATAACGAATGTCACGTGATGTGAGTTCCACCAATCAAATGACTAGGATCTGTATGTCAGTTATATAATTTCCGATATACTTAATGGAAAGAAAACACTGTGGAGTAGCTGAATCTTACCTGATCTTTACCATGGTCTCCAACCACCACAAACATGGACCGATGGCCGAGAGTCACCCCATTCTCTATCAACACCCGGATACGATTGTCAATCTTTTTACGCACCATTTTGTATGGACACTGCAAAACAGAATCATACAAATGTAAAAAAATTACTTGTGGCTAATTCCAAAGTACAGAGCAAATTGATCGCAGTCATTTTCGGTTCGATCGCTCGGAGCGCGCCGCGAGGGGTATGGTGTAGAGCGGAACGATAGTATGCGCATGCGTACAAGTGGAAGTACGTACCCGTACCCCCTACGGCGCGCTCCGAGCAATCAAACCGAAAGTGACTGCCATTAGATCATTCTGCACGCGTGCATGTTTCAAGTGTCAGGTTGGCTCAGTGCCGAAAGGGCATATTTTTCATCATTTTTGCCGAAAAACCGACAGAATCCACCGATGTTTGTTTGGTGCACATAACGTGAGTATGTCATGAGGTATTGTACGGAGTTTAGGGGCACACTGTGCAGCGGTTCTGTGGGAAAAAGCTTGGTTGGGATGGACGTTTTTGTACTTAGTTGGTGTTTTGTATAGCAAACAGTTTAGCGGGGTTATCTGCCTATGAGGCTCCACTACGTGGAGCCTCATAGTTCTAGGAGTATCATTGGAGCTCTCCGAGCTACCCGTCTGCTTCATGTGGCGCATATGATAGGCGGCGTCGGATTGGCCAATTATGAGACCACGTGATAAACACAGCTAATAATTTGGAATCGCACTTATGATCCGGACATCATGCCCGGAGCTAGCCCCATAAATGTGGCCTATGTACTGGACTGCCTCCGTAAACATAGGCCACACATCCACATATATGTACAAAAACGCTAATCAGAAAGTGCTGCCTTTTTCAGATGTCTAATTTTTGTGAGATTTCATGTTGAAATTTTGATACGCAAACGTGTGCAAATGTTTCTGGAAATTTCACGAAAAATGGACATCTGAAAAAGGCAGCACTTTCTGATTAGCCTATAAAGAGGGTGAGTATGCTTCTAAAGCAAAAAAAACCTACAAACTAAGCCTAAAATAAATGTGAAAAAAATCAAAATTTGGCAAAGTGTGACACGTTTTTGTACATGTGGATGTGTGGCCTATGTTTACGGAGGCAGTCCAGTAAATAGGCCACATTTATGGGGCTAGACCCGTGAACGTGGCTTGTAAACTACGCCACGCTGTTGTCTATTTTCAAACCTGGCGAACGTGTCCCTCTGACTCCCTTCGTTACACACACTGGACGTTATTTTGCCCATGTAATAAGTGCTGACATATGAAGCTGTCTTGAATTCTATTTGTACATCAAAACTTGCATTTGACGAAAATTGAGGAAAATTCTGGCCCCGGTTCATGAAGTCCGTCCGCTACTGCTAGCTGCCATTTTCTCCCAACTGACGCATGCGCATTGCGTTTGATTTTCGTATGATTCGACGGCTGTTTACTGTCGCAGCTAAAATAGACATCGTTTTAGACAAGTTTCAAGTCCTTTCCTCTCTCACCGCACCGCACGCGGTCACACGTGCGCCCGCGTGTGTGTGCACACACGTACTGTACACGAGATGAGCCGAGCAGCCAATCGTCTGCGGGTTTTTTTTTTCGGGGTTGCGACATGAAACAGCCGTCAATCTGTCCAAGCGACTCAGACGCGTCCGGAGTTATTTGTCAGGCAGGGTCAGGTTAAAATCTAATTTCTACACGTTCGTATGGGTCTTTACTGATGGGCAAATTTCGTCGAAATTACACAGCCTAAACAATCGGACGGGCAAATTTAGATTTCTAGGTGAGTAGGCCTAATCAACACCCATACGGAATTATGTATGTCGGATCAATTTCGCCAGGTTCGAAATGAAACAAGAACGTGGCGTTGTATACAACGCCACGTTCACGGGTTTATTATGGGGCTAGCCCGGAGCGTCAGTGAGATACCAAATTATCCGCAGCTTTTTAATCATGTGGTAAATCACATGCATCAGGAGGTAGTAATTCAACGCTCCACTCAGTAGAGCTAAGTAGGCCTATGCTCTAAAGCAAAAACAAACTACAAACTAAGCCTAAATGTGAAAATCAAAATTAGTGAAAATCAAAAACAAGTTCGACATGTTTTTGTACAATATGGATACCTTAAGTTTTGGGACTCTCATACAAATTTTCGGACTAGCATGACTAGGCATAGCCCCATAATGTGGCCAGTTTACTGGACTGCCTCCGTAAACATAGGCCACACGTCCACCATCTTGGAATCTGACTCGCCGAAATTTTGAAAGTGATTTCCACATTGCGACTTCAAACCCAGTTCATTTATGCTTTAAAAATACACTCACCCTCTTAATAACAAAATTAGAACCTGCTGCCAGTGTCAGTTGCCCAGCTGCTGCGTAATTTACGACATTTTCTGGACCATTCTTGGCAACTTGATCCAACCGTGGAGCTATCTCCATGGTCCAACTGAACAATGCCCTCGCGCAGATCATTCACCTGTCAATCACGCGTGCAGGACGCACGCCGCAGGCCCAGTGGTAGTCCGGTTCCCAGACCAAAAGATTCTGACTATTCCTGATCCTAGGAATAGTCAGAATCTTTTGGTCTGGGAACCGGACTACCACTGGGCCTGCGGCGTGCGTCCTGCACGCGTGATTGACAGGTGAACGATCTGCGCGAGGGCATTGTTCAGTTGGACCATGGAGATAGCTCCACGGTTGGATCAAGTTGCCAAGAATGGTCCAGAAAATGTCGTAAATTACGCAGCAGCTGGGCAACTGACACTGGCAGCAGGTTCTAATTTTGTTATTAAGAGGGTGAGTGTATTTTTAAAGCATAAATGAACTGGGTTTGAAGTCGCAATGTGGAAATCACTTTCAAAATTTCGGCGAGTCAGATTCCAAGATGGTGGACGTGTGGCATATGTTTACGGAGGCAGTCCAGTAAACTGGCCACATTATGGGGCTAGACTAGGCATAGTCGCCAGACCATGTCCAAATGTTAAAAAAGGCGATAAGTTGGGTCCAACTTCCAAGTTACTCGGACTAGACTAGGCTAGCCCCATAAATGTGGCCTATTTACTGGACTGCCTCCGTAAACATAGGCCACACATCCACATGTACAAAAATCATGTCGACTTTGCCAAATTTTGATATTTAGGCTTAGTTTGTAGGTTTTTTTTGCTTTAGAACTAGAAGCATACTCACCCTCTTTATAGGCTAGTCAGAAAGTGCTGCCTTTTTCAGATGTATATTTTTTTGTGAAATTTTCAGATTCATTTTTACACGTTTTCGTATCAAAATTTCAACATGAAATTTCACAAAAAATATACATCTGAAAAAGGCAGCACTTTCTGATTAGCATATAAAGAGGGTGAGTATGCTTCTAAAGCAAAAAAACCCTACAAACTAAGCCTAAATGTGAAAATCAAAATTTGGCAAAGTCGACACGATTTTTGTACATGTGGATGTGTGGCCTATGTTTACGGAGGCAGTCCAGTAAATAGGCCACATTTATGGTGCTAAGACTAGGCATGCCTTTATCATGTGTTTATTTACGGAGGTAGTCCAGTAAATTGGCCACATTTATGGGGCTATGAAAACCCCCAACACTTACTCCACGGCTGACCCCTGCTCGTACAATGTCGTAAAGAAACGATCCTCTGGCTCCGTTCTAATTCTGTCGTTCAAAATCTTACGTTTGGACATGTGAAATGATAAACAACCATACATGAAATCGGCACAAGTACAGAAACACGTGGGTATAGGGCGCCACCACATTCGTAATAGACTGGTTTCCAGTCCTTCAATTATCGCCCTAAAATAAATTATGAAAAAACGAGGGCGCTATGTAAAATGAACCTTCAATAAAATAATGGCGAACGCCACGCAAGCGAAAACTCGGGTGAAGGGAGAAAGGGAGTTAATAATGAAAGGGAGAAAGAAAGGGAATAAATGTATAGGTTTTCCTGGCCAATTTCACCAAGTTGTCATTCAATTTAGCGCATCATTCCATTTAGATTAAAATTGAAAGATCATGCAGATCGTCATTCAACAATCAAAAGAATATTCATTCAATTTCAATATCCGAGCTATCGCATCAGCCAGTTCACTCGTCCCATGTAAATGATGCATTCAATTTAAAGTGTCGCGTTGGACGGTTCATTCAAGACGAGAACACAGTAAAGTAGGCCTACTGTAGACATTGGAAACCAGGCTAGACACGAGCCATTTAAATTAAAAAAGAATAATAACTTTTTTATAAAGGAAATAAATTTTATATTGGGGGGGGGGGGGGGGTGTTAAGGACATTTTATAACATCTGCATATATGAGTATAGGTGTTTATAATGTATTTCGTGTAAATCATAGGTGATTTGGTAGATTTTTGTTTAATCAATCAGATTTTGGAAGTACATCTAGCAGAATTTGGCATTGACCTTACAGTCCCCCTGAATTGAGTCCATTTGCAACTTGCTTCGTTTTATATAATTATTACAATTCTCGTTCGATATATTTTTCTCGTTCGATATATTTTTTCTCGTTCTATATATATTTGAGTTTCGTTCTTTATATATTTGAGTTTCGTTCAATATATATTTGAGTTACGTTCTATATATATTGGTTTCGTTCTATATATGGTTTCGTTCTATATATATTGGTCATATAATGGTTTCGTAATAAAGTCATAAAGGGCGCCTCATAGCATCCGGCACGTTCTGAGTGATGATTAGGGCCTACAGTCAGCTACGCGATACGAAGCACTGTCCTATTTTCCAGTCTTTTTTAATGCTCAATGTCTGAGAAATCTCAACTAGAAATTGTTCACCTGAATCGCCCGTCCAAAACCAACGGAGAAAATAGCGGACGAGACATTGTGTGGAACTCGTTTTTGGAGACAACCCCACGTGACGTCACACTTTCAAGGCGTATATAGCATTCACCTTTAGCATTATCTTTGGATTCCGGATTTCTGTGATGATTATCTCGGTAACGCGGTATCAAGGAAGGAATTATCTTTGAATTCCGGATTTCTGTGATGATTATCTCGGTAACGCGGTATCAAGGAAGGAATTATCTTTGAATTCCGGATTTCTGTGATAAATTATCGCAGTAACGCGGTATTGATGAATACGTATCTCTGAATTCAGGATTTCTGTGATAAATTATCACGGTAACGCGGTATCGAGGAATACGTATCTCTGAATTCCGGATTTCTGTGATAAATTATCACGGTAACGCGGTATCGAGGAATACGTATCTTTGAATTCTGGATTTCTGTGATAAATTATCACAGTAACGCGGTATATCGAGGAATACGTATCTTTGAATTCCGGATTTCTGTGATAAATTATCACGGTAACGCGGTATCGCGGAAGGCAATTCAAGCTTCCTTAGTTTCCCGAAGTCAATCAAGGAAGTGAGTAAAAACGTTGCAGCAGTCATTGGTTTTTGTCATAGGCTTTTTGAAAGGAGCATATATAAACGGGGATTAACGCAGACAGTGCAGTACAGGGTTTCAAGGAAATTGGGAAATCCCAAGCTATACTGGTCAGGCTATATGTTTCGTGTTTATGTGATGCGATGCATACAGCATAATTTATAGTTCGTAAACAAGGGCTAGGATCTGGGAGGAATAGGGTTTATTTCTTGCCTTCGACACCGGAAAGAGACTTGGCCTGATGGATTTGGGGCTAGACCTGTTTGTGACTGCCTTGCAAGGGCGGATCCAGAACACAATTTTTTTTTGGGGGGGGGGGCAAAAAAAAAATTGGACCCCAAAAAAGTGGGTCCAAAAAATTACGGCGTGGGGTTCGGGGCCCGCTTAAGGACGCCGAAATTTTTTTGGATTCTAGATGCTCTGTGGTGCGATCTGAGGCAATTTCTGACCACTTTAACCAATGTTTTTTTGAGGAAAAGATGGTGGTGTACTCATTGCCTGCCTTTATTGCGATGTCACATAAAAAAAAAAAAATTGGTCTCGTTTTTGGGGGGCCATGGCCCCCTTTGGCCCCCCCCCCTGGATCCGCCCTTGCTGCCTTGAAGAGCACAGTTGGCGCATTAGTCTCGATGATTCAAACCCTAGGTGTTGACTTACAGCGTGAGTAGGATGAAACACAAACCGCACCACTCTTCAGCAGAATCGACTGCATAGAGTTTGTTTGCATTTTTAATTTGAATTTAGCTGAATATAATTAAGGGCGGTACTATTTTTTAGTCAATCTTGACATTGTGTTGGCTTAAATTTCATATGGCTTTTAAATATTGACATGCACTACTTTGCTTAAAACTGTGTTCAACTATTGCCAACAGACATTATATATTCAATCATTTCAAGATTTCCACACAAAAAAAGGAAAATTGTTTCATGGCACATATTTAGGGTTTTAATAATTCCATGTGTATAAATACAGGCGAGTGCTTTTACATATTTTAAATCTCAAAGAATAATATTTAATCATTTATTTTCCCAAGGGGATGGCTTGGGTATTTGGTGTCCAAGAATTTTCAAGGGGGGGGGGGGGATTGAGGGGTTGCAATGATCGCAAATATATAGCCCCCCCCCCCCCCCAAGAAAGGAACTGGAGCAATGGATCATAATGAGCAATATTGGGTGACGTAAGTTATTCAGAGAAATTAATATTTGGGACTTGACGTATTTCGAAGTATGTAAATAATGAACATGGGTCAGTCGTGGGAAGGGGTTGTTAACCACTGAAATCCCCCGCCTAGGATCCATACTTGCATCGTGTGTATAACTCTTTGCCTTCGAATAAGTAATAGCGCCCTCTTTCACAATCCCATCACCGCCAAAAAGGATATTAACTACCGCGCCCGGCGTCATTATGTGGACCACGTTCAAGATTTTTCATTTTATTTATGAGTGAATTTTTTTTTCTTTGTGTTTCCACATCTACCATCCTACCGTCCAACATAACCGTCAGCCAATGAAATCAGTTTTCTTTGGGTGCTTCGATGCATTGTTTCGATACCCCCAAATCAATATCTGATGACTAAACATCCTGCCTCAAATTGTCTCAAGCCGAAAGACTGGAGTTTCTTCCCCTACTATCTGCCAGTTCCTGGGAAGCGATGTTTAAGCCGCCAAGATGATAGAGGTCGCTTTCAGCAGATGAATCAAACCGAGTCTGGGAAATAATAATATAGTAACATCTGACCCAGGAAATTCCTGGATGGCTTCATCTTGTTGATAGCGCCCTCTACCTTAGCGGCTTGATCAAGCTTGCCAAGGAGGGAGGGACGGCAACATAATAGTTGCGGATCTTGGGTGGGCGTTGCAACCCCTCCCCAACCCTGTATCTTGGATCGCTGGAACAGAATAGTGAGCGCTCTGGGGAAACTTTCACTAGGCTCACCTTGACTTTTCTTATTTGCAAAATTGCAATCGACCTTTTAAAAACGAGAGCACAAACTGCTTTGTTGGTTTCTGTTCAAATGTCTTATTCCCTTCATCTGGCGATCTAAAAGGCATGTGCATGATCATTTGCATTAATTCAGTTTCAAAAGTAACCTACCGACGTTTTATTTTTAAAAATTGGATTTAAGATCCTTCTGGTACTGAACACCCCCTGAAATTATTATGTCAGTTAGTCGGTTACCATTTTTTTTTATTTATGAGGAGTGCTATAGAAACCTTATAATTCCACGACAAATGTATAAAAAAAACCTAAATACAGGCTTGGCACACAATTACTCAAATCTAACAATTACACTACAAATATATAAAACAAAACTATATATATGCTTGCCGCACAATTATTCAAATATAACAATTCCACTGCAAATATATAAAACAAAACTATATATGCTTGCCACACAATTACTCAAATCTAACTATTCCACTACAAATATATAAAACAAAACTATATATGCTTGCCACACAATTACTCAAATCTAACAATTCCACGGCAAATATATAAAACAAAACGATATAAGCTTGCCACACAATTACTCAAATCTAACTATTCCACTACAAATATATAAAACAAAACTATATATGCTTGCCACACAATTACTCAAATCTAACTATTCCACTACAAATATATAAAACAAAACTATATATGCTTGCCACACAATTACTCAAATCTAACTATTCCACTACAAATAAAACAAAACTATATGCTTGCAACACAATTACTCAAATCTAACTATTCCACTACAAATATGTAAAACAAAACTATATATATGCTTGCCACACAATTACTCAAATCTAACAATTCCCAGCAAATATAACGCAAAACTATATATGCTTGCCACACAATTATATAAAAAAAATACATATAAAGGCCTTTCACACAATTACTCAAACGTTACAATTCCATGACAAGTATATAAAAACAAAACTACAGAAAAGCTTGGCTCACAAGTACTTAAATCTAACAATTCCAAGACAAATATATTTTAAAAAACCTACAGCTTGTCCCACCAAGAACCTTACATTCAAAACTAGTTTAAAAAGGTATATTGCATGTGAGTTTTTGGAATATTTTCAAATTACATTCTTAAAATAAAATAACCGGAAATCTACCGTGCAAACTTCGTTTCATTCAAATCGATGCATTGGAGCAAACGCTATGCTTCATAGAACTCAAGGGTTGAACTATCTTGGGCCACTTTCCTGGCCAGTGATGAAGCACAGTTAGAGCAACACACAAGGGATGGGCCAAAAGTGTTAGTACAGCTGATCAGTTTATCATTTGGACAAAGCTTTTGGGGGGAAGCCTGGGGGATATAAGTAAAAAAAAAAGTGGCCCAAGTGTTTTTTCCAAGTCCTGCATTGTGATTGCTGTATCTTTTGAACAAAACATCCTAATGAAACCAACTAAAAAGCATTTGGAAGACCAATTATTCTTCTCAGCAATACATTAGACATGATTTTGAATACTACCCCCACTCAAGGGCAGATTCAGAACCAAATTTGGGGGGCCAACAAATTTTGGTTCCCAAAAATGTGTCCAAAAAATTTACGGCGTGGGGTTCGGAGCCCAATACTAGATGCTCTGTGGTGCGATCTGAGGCAATTTCTGACTACTTTAACAAATGTTTTTTTTTAGGAAAAGATGGTGGTGTACTCATTGCCTCCTTATTGCGAAGTCACTAAAAAAAAAAAAATATTTTTTTATTCGTTTTTTTTTTTGGGGGGGGGGGCATAGCCCCCTTTGCCCCCCCCCCCCCCCCCCCTGAGCCGCCCTTGCCCCCACTTGTCTGAAACATGCCAAATGTTACTGTTAGGTTTTTTGTGGGACAACCTGTATATATTTATAGGCTTGCCACAAAACTATTCAAACCTTACAATTCCATGAAAAAAATCCAAAACCTACACAATTTTCCTGAATTAAAAAAGAACACACGTTACCCTTAAACAAATCGAGTGTAATTCTAAACACACACACACACACTTGCTTAACGTTCCTCCATCTCTGCTCTTCAGCAAATTCCAGTTTGTTTTCTCCAAGCAAATTTTAAATGTGTATGTTTTACCTAAATGGAAAATCTACTTCTCTCTATATCAGACGTTTCAGTTGACTCTCTAAAAATATGTTTTGTTTTGTTTCAATTTGCACACAAAACATAACATACAAAAGAAACGCATGAAAGATTGTCCACCCACTAATGATATGAAAGTTGTATAGTAATTATTCCATAACTAAAAATGGGCAGATTTTTTGTTTCTTCAACATCTCATTTAACAGTGATAAACTTTGCATTGCTAGAAAAATAGCAATATAAAACAAAATGTAATGGGAGGGTGTCACTCAAAAAGACAACGACAAGAGCGATTTTACATTTCTACCAAAAAAATGTTGGTTCCATCCTTATACAGGTAATGTTCAGTTTCTACCACTTACGAATCACCTCCATAAACATGTACACACCTTTCTTTCCTTACTTCTCTTCCATGACTGAATTTCTGATGCCCAACAGCTCATATTCATTTGCTGGATGTGTTTGAGATGGTTCGGATCCGCGCCCCCAGCTAGAAATCACAAGTAAAAACATAACATTTTCAAGTTTAAGTGTGTTTGAGTTTGCACAACAGATTACAAGGGTGGATCTGAGGGGAATAACCAATCCCACCCCAGACTAAACCAATGTTAACTATTTACATAATGGGTAAAAATTCCCAAATTCAATCACTGAATAACGTCATCACTCAATATAGGGTATCTTCTTTCATCGCTTGAGGCCTAGTACTTTTATGCATTGACTGCAATCCCTCATCCAACCCCCAACCCCTCTGAAAAGTCTTGGACTTCAACAAAGCAGCCACCCCTGATGGAAAGTTCCGTAATGGCTGTTGATAAATTGGGGAGTGGTTAAAATTAGACAGAAAATGTCAAGACACATGGGCTGAGTGTGCAAGTACCCCAGTAAGAAATGGGAGAGTTGGGGAAAATCACTGAGAAAGACATTGGAATGCATTGTTAACAAGGCCTGACGCGCACTCAAAGATGCTATATGGCTTTGTGTGTGGGGGGGGGGGGGGGGTGTAAGGGGCATTACTTCTTATATTTCGTAACAAGTTCCCATTTTCCGCAAGTGCCCTTTTTTTCACACAGGAGCACTCGTGAAAAAAGGGCAGTGTGGAAAAGGGCACTTGTTAAAAAAGGGCGTTCATGAAAAAAAAGCAGTTGTTGAAAAAGGGCACCAAAAAGAGAGCTCGTGAAAAAAGGTAATTTGTCAAAAAAGAAATAAATTCTAATAAAAAAGGCTTGTTCGCATCACGTTAAAAAAAAGGTCACTCGGACAATAAAGGTGCTCGGACAATAAAGGCGCTCGAGGAATAGGCGCCCTTCGGAATTCTTTCATGAGCGTACCTTTTTGGGACTTGAGTTGAAGAGCCCGTTGCAGGAGTGTGCGACACAGTCTCGGTGTCTTCATCGACTGGTTTTACTGAGGCCCTATACTTTTGTGACCTGCACAAGGGGGTTACATATTAGACCAGTCAGTATTACATTATAAACCAGTCAGGCATATGACCACAACCTGGCTGATGCTTTCACTGCCACCTGTTGGACCACGTGTCATGCGGTTACATTTAAACCAGTCATGCATGACCACGGCCCTGCTAATGCTCTCACGCCACTGGTCGGGCCCATAGTCATGTGGTTTCATATGGCACGCCTGACCACGGCCCAGCCAATGCTGTACACCACTGGGCGGACCACATGTCATGCCGTAAACCAGTCACGCATGACCGCAGCCCTGCTAACTCACACCACTGGTCGGGCCCATAGTCATGTGGTTACATATGGCACGCCTGACCACGGCCCAGCCAATGCTGTACACCACTGGGCGGACCACATGTCATGCCGTAAACCAGTCACGCATGACCGCAGCCCTGCTAACTCACACCACTGGTCGGGCCCATAGTCATGTGGTTACATAATAAACCAGTCACACCTGACCAGGGGCCCTGCTGATGCTCCACACCACTGGGTTGGCCACAAGTCAGTGGTGTTTGGGATCCCAACCTGTGTGATACGCTTGTGATCGAGTCTGTTCCAGTGACCAGCCCTGCTAGGTCTACCTCTCCTTCTAGGAGCCAAAGTTGTACTTGAGTACTTTTTTCGGAGTACCGGGTACTGCCGAGTACTTAGGTTGCCGAGTACGAGTATGAGTATTTGTACCGAGTAAGAGTACTTGTACTTCCGAGTACAAGTACGAGTATTTCCGAATACAGCCATATGGCAAATGGTTCATTGTGCGTATAATTGGCCCAGGCCCAGTAAGACTGATATACGGACCCACTCACGGCTAGCTGTTTAATGTGTTTATCCGGACATGCATAAAGAAAAATCATGAAACTTTGATTTCTCCACAAGCATGACAAGCCAATCAACCATTACAAACTTAAGGCCTTGGTAAGTCGAGCTGTACCATTTTTCCACCGAGTACCGCTATTCGAGTACGCGTACTTTGATGGTCGAGTACAACTTCAAAATGTTGAGTACGAGTACTTTGCTGATTGAGTATGAGTACCGTCAGTTTGAGTTCGAGTACTTTGACATTCGAGTACAAGTATGAGTATTAATTACTTAAAAAAGTACTCTAAGTACCGAGTACAAGTACTACAACACTGCTAGGAGCCTTTGGTAAATAGATTTTGACGTTCACAACAATACATATATATGTTTTAATGAACTTGGACTGCGCATGAAGTTCAAGGCTATGGCTTGAAGTAGGCACTTCCCATAGATTTGTGTGTCACCTGTTGCCATAGGCGAGTAGCTCAGACAGACTCCACCTCAACGCAAGAGTCATTGCTCAAGAACAGAACCAAAAATTGTAAACTTTGCATGGAAACTGAAGCAAGCCCAGAAACTTACCTGCAAACAATGACGACGCAAACCACCACAATTATGGTGAGTGAAACAGCGCCCCCTATGATGCCAGCTAACAACCCAATGTCTGAGCCTGGGGGATGAGTTTTAATGGTTGTTGTGGCAGAAGCTGTAGACATCCAAGGCTCTGAAAATATATATGAAAAAGTTGACAGGTTTTGAATTTATTTTTATTACTTAGTACAATTAACCTATTAATCCCTGTACCACCTGTACCACCCCAACAGTTTTACTGAGTAAAACTATATGTACCACTATAAAATCAACAAACCCTATGCCTGTTTGGGGGTGAGATTCATTTATTTATTCAGTTGTTTTCAGCAGCTACAAGTAAGTTAAATATCTTTTAATGTACAGTTGAAAAAAGTAATGTCTTTATTATTTTTGTTTTTAATTGGCCGTAATGCCTCTTTAAGCTAAGAATTTAGCTTGGTATTTATCACTTTCAGATTTAGCACCCCAAATTTGGTGAAATAGCCAATGGGGGGGGGGGGCATGGTCCCCCCCTCCCAAAATTTTTTTTTTTTAAAAATAACATCACAATAAAGGCCGACACTGTGTACACCACCATGTTTTCCTCAAAAGGATTTGGTTAAAGTGGTCAGAAATTGCCTCAGATCGCACCACAGAGCATTTTAGAATAAAAAAAAATTCTGGGCCCTTAAGTGGGCTCCGAACCCCACGCCATAATTTTTTTGACCCACTTTTTGGGGTACCATAATGTTTTTAGGGGCCCCCCCCAAAAAAAATGTGTTCTGGATCCTCCCTTAAATATGGCTATGTCAGTTACTTCTTCACAAAAATGAAGCATTTGCTCATAACAGCAGTCTATTTTTAAATTGGTGGTTTTTTTTAACACAAAATGTCCCTTTAATCTTAAGACCAACCAGCCTATCAACCATCATTTCTTATTTATCTGACCTAGATTCAGTAGCGTAATAAGAAATGTCCTAAGTAATAATCTGTTTACACCGTTCCCCACCCCTTAAAACCTACCATGACACTCTATCTCATAGCTGGCACCCATCTCATCGGTAACCATACCCTCCGGGCATGGCACACAGTAGTCCATGCCTTTCGCAGGATTGTACGTATTGAGCGGGCAGGGCTTGCACTGATTTTCACCAATGACATCACTCCTCTCGTAATATGTGCCCTCGGTGCATGGCACTGGATATGGATAGAAATAGTAAACATTAACACCCAATCTGCCCAACATCTGGCTGTTGATTAGCTGCGATTGTGTCACATGATATTTCACACAGTTTTTCTAAAAAATATCATACTTAATAGGTTATGTCTGCAGATCGGAACACAATACACGCTGTAAACACCTAGTAGATTGTGGATCAATCCTATTGTCCTCCTTTAGTTTATACTATACGTTTTGTTAAGGACCGCATTGGTTTGGTACTCAATTTCCAACTGTGGACCTTCACCCAATCGTGGACCCTATGGCCCTCTGTAGTTCAAAGTCCACGATTGAATGCTAACACATGCTCATCCATCTTTGTAAACACCTTCGATTGTGGACCTCCTAAATATTGTCCTCCAATTGCATGTTAATATTATTATTGGAACAACTACAGATGAGTTGGTTATGATTTCCAAATGTGGACTGTCACTCATTGTGGCCCCTATGTTTCACTACTGTTCCAAGGTCCACTTTCTATTGCTCCATGGCACTCCACAGTTGTGGGGACCACACACTGATTGGTTTTGTACGAACAAAATCGTTGGAGACAGTCAAAAGTCCTCACTCGTTCCAAATGTTCCCAACAGAAAGGTTCTCCACAAGCACTCAGGGGCAGGGCACATGCACACACACATAGACCTAGACAGAGCTGATGTCCCTAATTCAGGAACCTAAAAACTTCCTAAAGCAAAACTGGAGACAATGTTTGAAAAATCATCCCAAGCTATTCTATTTGATTAGGTTCCTGGAGTCAACTCTGGTAAAGGCGGACGGGTTAGACATGACAGCTAAAACTAGGACTATCATGATCCTCACGCGCCTTTTGTAGCCGTTGCCGTAGCAATAGACAAAATACCTTTTTGGACTGAGTCTTACTTTGTGATCGACTACTTGTTTGTCAATTGCAAGAAGTAAAAATGAACAGCCTCTAAAGACACAATGAGATCAATAGATAATTATGTTTAGACTTCAACTAAAGTTACAGTTTTGGGGTCAACTTGACACTTACGAATCTGTCCTGCTGTCCAGCTGTCATAAATTTATTAGACTGCTCTTTTGTATACAAGTGCCCTTTTTTCACCATCAATCCCTTCCCCCTAATATCTGTAAAGAGTGCCCTTTTTTTAACGAGTGCCCTTATTGGAATTTTGCGTGAACAGCGGCAATTGTGCCGCCCTGAAAAGTGGAGTGACATGAAAAGAGCAGATCTGCAGTGACTAACCCAAGCATATGACCTCATGGCTAACCAAACAGCATGGCAAAACGCGAGTTGACCCAGGAAAACACAGCGCCCTCTCTGTTTATGCATGGACTAGCCCATGCATCTCATCTGGGGCCAATTTTATGGAGTTGCTTATTTAGCGCAGACAATTTATATCTTTAGCATGAAAAGTTATCAGTCAAAAATTATGGATGTAAATTGCTTGTTGGTTCTCATTCTCCATTTTTGCTCAGTGCCTAAACTTGCTAAGCAGTATATTTCCTGCTTATAACAGCATCACGAAATTGGCCTCAGAGCTCACCGTAACACTCATTGAGGTTGCGTGTCCCATTGCCGTTGGTAACCATTCCGTTGGGACATGCCTTGCATTCCGTCTGTCTCTCCTGGTCCTGGTAGGTGTTAGCCAGGCATAGCCGGCATTCCAGGTCCAATTCCTGGACAGCGCTTGGGGTCAGAAAGGTTCCCGGTCCGCAGTGAACTATGGGGGAACATACATCAGGGATCACATGAAATATAGCTGTAAGGTCAATAAGTTCACTTTGGAGCAATATGTACCAGTGTCCATGGGCGTCGCCATGCCAGTGTCGTAGCCGAGTCACTAACGTCGAGTCGAGTCCAAGTCCCGAGCCACAAGCACGAGTCTGAGTCTCATGTCACAAACCTTGAGTAAGAGTCCGAGTCTCTAGTCACAAGCCTGGAGTCCAAGTCCGAGTCACAAGCCTCAAGTCCGAGTCCGAGTCTCAAGTCACTTGTTCTTAGTAGCACCAAACTAATCAATTTTTTAACATTATTTTTTTCAATCATCCATTCTGTCTTTTAAGTCCTATTTAAATCCCAGTGTATCATAGTTTACCTTTTGTGTTTACGTGTTGTTTAGACCCAAAATGTGTTTTCCTTTTAATTCCCAGTGTACAGTGCCAAGAATGATGTAACACCGAAAACCCTACATGCCCTTACTTTCTTCCTCGGATGCTCGGACTGCATTAATATTTCCTGATTACAAAGTCTTAAATTGAAAGGTTGTGCCAGTATTCTGAACACAAGGTTTTAGTTTTGACTGATTTTATTGGAGGCTGGGGGCACTAAGGTAAATCCTAACATTTTAAAATTTGTATTGGTGACAGTTATTTTTAGTTTCCCATGCATGCCGGGTTTCCCAAGATAATTCTATATGTACATGTTGGCCCCACTAGGCCTATCGGGTGTGATGCAAAGTATACAGTGTCTGGCTAGTAGCATTGTCGAGAATATTGCACTACATGTATTTGACCTGACCGTGCGTCCGGTGTGTGCCGTAAGCAGACACCCTTTTGGGTAAGGTGGGTACCAGCCCCCCCCCCCTTTGATTTCAAGAAATGTCTAAATTTTGGCGCAGATGTGTGGTTTCACCCGCCCCCTGACATCAAAAGCTGGATACGCTGCTGAAGCTATAACAGCTGGAACATGCAGTACTTGGAGCGAGGCCTTCCTGCAAGTGCAGTGGGCAGGGCTCAATGGGTCAGTCTTATGGACCACTGGTCAAATTATGGTTGATTTGTGACATTACTGATGCCTTTAAGGCACTGTATAAAATAAACAGAACTGAATTACAGCTGCTAGTTGCTACACTTCCATGGCAGCACTAGTGGTTTAATTGATATAATTCAAGCCAATGAGAGACAATTTTGCCATCGGGTCACTCTGCAACACATATCCTAGCACTAGCCACATCTCAGTGTCGTAGTTGAGTCACTTGAGTCCGAGTCCAAGTCCAGATCAGTTAGTCACAAGTCAGTTGATTCAAGTTTGAAATAGACGTGCACGAACATGGACACACTTGTGTGAAGGTTACTTCCTGATTGCATTATTGTAACAGTTTATTTTTCTGGTTTATACGATTATCAGTTGAAGAAATTGCAACATATTCAGAATGCTACTGCATGACTGGTTATCAGGCGAAAAATGGATCGTCATGCAGACATGAACCCATACTTCAGGAACTACATTGGCTTCTGGTTATGATGCGGGTTGAATTCAAGACCCTTTGTATTATTTTTAAACTTATTCGCCATGGTGAGTCAGCGTCACAGTACCTAACAGAGTTGATATCAGTTCATTGTGTCCAACATTCACACTAAAAGTTGTGATGGGATTAAGCTCAAATATCTTAAGGTTCATCCAAAGCTTAGCAAGGCATAAGGTGATCATGCTTTTACCATCTATGCACCTACTCTATGGAACAGAATTCCAGGTTATTTAAGAAACACTAACGAAGTGGGAATTTTTAAATCACTATTACTTTTTAACTAACTTTAATGTTTTGTTAAGCGTTTTGTAAAGCGTTTTGAGATTATTATGTAAAACGCTACATTAAGAATAAATTATTATTATTATTAATATATAATGATGCGCGAGTCACAGGAAATAGGAAGGGCCCCCAAACATTATTATTTTTCAATATCTTCTGGAAAGTGGTGTAGTAGGGTTCATTAAATACTTTTCCTTTTGGAAAATGCACATCATAAAAAGGTAATTTCTTGGGCAAAATAATGAATGCACTAGCTAGTCACCAATCACAAACATCAAGTCCAAGCAAGGGCGGATCCAGGGGGGGGGGTCAAAGGGGGCCATGGCCCCCCCCCCAAAACGAAACCAATTTTTTTTTTTTTAATGTGACATCGCAATAAAGGCAGGCAATGAGTTCACCACCATCTTTTCCTAAAAAAAAATTGGTTAAAGTGGTCAGAAATTGCCTCAGATCGCACCACCGAGCATCTAGAATCCAAAAATTTTTCGGGGCCCTTAAGTGGGCCCCGAACCCCACGCCGTAATTTTTTAGACCCACTTTTTGGGGGGACCAAAATTTTTTTTGGCCCCCCCAAAAATTGTGTTCTGGATCCGCCCTTGAGTCCAAGTTAAATTGCCAAGTCCAAGTTTACGTCCAAGTCTTTTGCCGATGTGACTTGAGTCGAGTGCAAATCACTGAAACTGTGAAGCGAGATGGTTCGACTCCCGTCCGAGTCCTTGACTCAAGCCCCCCTGCAACACCCACATACATATTCCATACCTACCACACAATCCAGCCTTGCCTTCTGCTGTTCCTTCCGGACACAAGTCCCACCCATCCCCCTCCAATGTTGTCGGGTCTGGCTGCACAACCTGGCCATCCATGGTTGGCGTGAAGTTTCCCGATTGAATGAGATTCATCAATGTTTCACCGGCCTGCATAACAACATCATCAGCTTCATCTACAGAAAAGGAAAAGGAAAACAAAGAAACCGTGCTGTCTCCCTCACCACTGGCCTGCGCACCGCTCACTATTATCAAAATTCAAATCTTTGGAGTGCCTGGAACCCAGGTGTTGGTGTGTTTATTTATTCTTTCGCACCCATCACCCTCAAGCTGGCCCTCACACTTAGAAAGGCACAGAGTTGTCATTAGCTCAATTAATGAGTTAATCTAATCACTATTCATAAATACCTGAGACAATTTATCCACTCTTATTGTTGAGAGTCCAATTATGTGAATGGTCTTAAATCTCTGTTCAAACACCAGTCGGTGATGTTTAAGAGTAGTTGCTAGACCCTGTGCTCAGTGGCGTAGCTAGGATTTTTTTTTTAGTGGGGGGCCAAAAGGGGGCATCAGAATATCATGGGGGCACATATCGCAAATGTCCCATTGCAGTGTTTGCCAGTTGGGCCCCATGATGCCTCGCTATATCCATTGACATAAGAAATTGTAAAGAGTAAACATTTGGTTAACTGAATACAACTTACAAAAACCCTTTTTTGTTGGGGACGGGACAGAGGCATTATCAATATTTTGTTGGGGGGGGGGCATGGGGGGGGCACAAAAACTTTGTGGGGGGCACGTAAAAAAAAAAAAAAAAAAAAAAAAATCATCAATTTTTCGATTCGCGACTTTCATCAAATTCTCATTCTGTAGACGGATCCATTCATTTTGTAAAGGGGTGCTCCACCCTCTTTTGGGAGATTACATTGTTTTTCGTATAAGTTCTTTATGAAAAAAAAATATTGCAAGGATAAGAACTTATTCTGAACAAGGGAAAGGTTTTTGACTCCATAAAAAGTATCATTTGTAATTTTGAGATGGTGAAAATACTGATAATTTGTGGCGAGGAAAGCACACCCTTCACCGCGCAAATGTTTTGGTCCAAAGGTGTCACACTGAAATTGATCAACACGTGGTGTGGCATGCAGGGCCAGCCAGGGATATGAGATCCGCCACGCTGGATGAATGCAAAGAGCACGCTTTTTATTGAGAGAATCGCAGGTGTGTACGATTTTTTCAAAGTGTAATCAGCCCCAATATCCAATTGTATGCCTGGCTAGAACATCGCAAATAATGAAGATGAATGCAGTGACTTGTCAACACGGTAAATTCAATCATCAGTGTGCTTTAATTTTGCCCTTTCATTGCAAGCTTTAGCATTTCTAGCGCTATCAACAAACACTTGCCGAACTCTTCCGTACCAACATTTGGGTTCGGTTTGGTTCGGGTTTGGTTCGGAAGGCCAAGTTCGGCTATTTTTAGTTCGGTTCAGCAGTTCGGCTGCAGCACTAGTGGGGTCTACAGGACATAACACCAAGCCATAGATTGCTGTCCAAAGGTCCAAAATCGGGTTTGTTCTTCACCAACATAACAGTAAGTGCTGTCCGTGGGCTTGCAAGAAAAACAATTCACAAGTTTATTCCAGTGGGACTCGAACCAACAATCTCCTGCTTACTTTATTATGCAGATGTCTTACCATTCATTCACCGAGCTTAATTAACTGTTAGGAGGCAACTGGCTGCTCAAATCTGATATAGCAGCTGGTACCGCAATACTTTTTTTTTTAGTTCAGAAGTAAACAAACAAAAAACCTCTCACCTTCCTCAGCTTGTCCAGTTGTATTCCCAGCAGTTGTGTTGGTAAAGAATGTGATTTTGAGCTGCACGTCATTAGACTCAGACTGTCTTGCGGCACGACTCCCACCAGTCTTACAGTTGACCTGGAATTAACAAACAAACAAACAAACACCCTAATGAGACAGATTTTTCTTCTTAGACTTGAGAACATGAAATACCAGTGTTGTAGTTGAGACCTTTCTGAGGCCTTTAGAGATTTTTTTTATTGATAAATTTTCAGAAATGCATCAAGACCTCTTCGATGTTGAAAGAATTTTGTTAGCTATTGTTCAGGTAATCTGCATGGGGCAGTTGCTTTGCACCACATGTATATTATGTGTAATAGGATGAATTTTGTGCCCCCCCCCCATTTTTTTCGAAATCCTAAGTCCCTCAGAGTTAGGTCATGCACTTTCTAAGAAATGTGTGGGTTGCTTGGCAGCGCGTGTGTGGGCGGTTGGTAGCAGAACTTGCAGCCAAACACAAGAATCCTTGAGGAGGAACCGTATAAATTCAGTGGCCAGTGAACTTTCTCTTCACTTGACCACTGAACTGCCACAGAGACAGGTTGTTGGTAGCACCCAGCTCCTCTGCTTTACTGTCTCTGTTTCAGTGTTGCAGTCGAGACCCTGCAAGACCATCACAAGACCATTATAAGACCTCCAGTCTCAACTCAAGTCACAAGCTATTCAAATGAACTGTGACAAAGGCATTCCTTTGTTATAGTTCAAACACTTTTACTTGTGACTGGTCTTGTGACTGGTCTTGTGACTGGTCTTGTGACTGGTCTTGTGACTGGTCTTGTGACTGGTCTTGTGACTGGTCTTGTGACTGGTCTTGTGACTGGTCTTGTGACTGGTCTTGTGACAGGTCTTGTGACTGGTCTTGTGACTGGTCTTGTGACTGGTCTTGTGACTGGTCTTGTGACTGGTCTTGTGACTTGTCTTGTGTCTGGTCTTGTGATGGTCTCGACTACAACACTAGCTGCTCTGTTTCTTCATATTGAACCTGCCATACTTATACGTTCATCCTCTGTCCTGCTGTAGGCACAAACAGCACAGAAAGCCTATCGAGTACTTTATAACTGGACAGTTGTGTGCTTTGGCATTGCCACCTGCATTTGTCAACTGGCAGTTGGAGAAGAGGTATAGATATATCCTTTTGGACCCCTTTCGCCAAGTCATCTTCATTCTCATTGTTTAATGCATTGAGAGTAAAAGTCTTCAAGTTCCCTTCAGCATCAAGCCGAGCCGAGCCGAGCCGAGCCAAGTCTACAACCACTCACCAAGATAGGCCCCTTTAGTCTTCTCTTTAATATTTATTGTATAATTGTATTCTTTTGTTTATTATTATAAGTAGAGCCCTGGGTTTTCATTTTATAATATAAGTATTCTCCTATTCTAGTGAGGATATTAATAGTGGTCTACGTGTGCGAAAACTTTTCTCTATTTAGCCGGAAGAGAATAAATTCCACTGGTTTTAGCAAAACATAAAAAAGCTTTATAACTGGTACAAATTAATTGTGTAGCATGCCCACATTCTCTAATCATGGCCGCTACACATGCACAATGGTTTCTCCATTGAAGGGGGCCTTCAAGTGTATGTACATGCAGTGGTCGTGTGCTGGGATTCATCTATAGAACTATAGACCATTGTCATACACGTTATTCACTTGAACTCACAGAAATAGTGGAGGTGCAAGATTTCTCCCTCAAACAGTGCAGTAGGTTCAGTGCTTGCAATAGCCACTGTGAGACACTTCTCAAGATGCTGTCTTTCGAGGTGCAGAAAACTTGCAGCAAATAGACCTTGATTTCTGTGGCCGTCCCAACGCGATCTACAGCCTCTGTGAAATTGAATGGTAAAAAACAAGAAAAAGAAACAAAATAATCTCACTGTAAATAAATCCATGCAGAATATCGTCCCTTGTGGTTTTAACTCTTCCATTACATAAAAGGCGAAGATTGTATTTTCGATGTCTAGTTAAAGGGGCCTCCCTGACCTATTTTCCAGTTTAAACTCAAACAAACCTTTTTTCCCCACATAAATGTTTTTCCAGCAATACAAAAGTTATTCACTTTTGAATAAGCCTTCAACAAAAGAATTTACTCATGTTCAGCATCAAATAATATTGCTACTAGTTTTGTATTATTTACGGCTCCCATCCGACAATAATTCAGGAAGATCCTTACATGCAGTAGATGTGTGCACAAGCAACCCAATATCAAAGCATTTCTTTTTCAGAGGGTTGCAGACCCAAATATAGAAAGAAAATAATTTTGTTGAAAAATAAAACATGCAAATAGAAAATTTGTTAACAAAAAAACAACGTTTGATTGAAGAACACAGGGAGCACAACTTTAAATCATTGGTCACTGTTCAAAAAGCTACGCACCGACACACGAAGGTAGTCTGGCATAGGGATTATAAATAGACTGGTGGTTCCAGGCATAGTTGGTACTCTGCCCACACTGGAGCTCTTCAGGGAAATTCCTGTCAAAGGTGTAGCCAGCGTTGCAAGTGATTCGGCAACTGTTGCTGTTTTCTGTTTGATTGCAATGTAGCGATCCTCTTATCGGAGGACTCAGGCGGATACAAGCTGCGGAAAAATAGAGAGGAGCAATGGAAAAGTTGAAGTGGAAATCTATCATTCTGTTAAAAATGTTCTCCTTTTTTGGCGGGCCCTGAAAGGCTGGGCTGTAAACTTCAAGCACTATGTGGACAAGTACTACGTGTGAGTCCACAAACATGAAACAGAAAGAGACAAAATGAAACCCATAAAGAATATTGTTCGAAATTAAATTTTATTCATTTTCATGTTGTACGAAATGAAACAAAACAAAATAACTAACACAATCAAATAAAAAGAAACAAAATGAATCAACAAATGAAGCAAAATACAACAAAATAAAACAAAACAAGATACAAACAAAAAGGAATAAAAGAACAACATGAAACACAACAAACCAAAGCAACACACACAAACAAAAGGAAAAACCAACACGAACATGTATGTCTGTTCTCTTCTGTTCTGCAAACAAATATTCTGAACTTTGACCTAATGAAATTAAACTACAAACCCACCTGGGCATTTGCCAGTGTTGCACTGTTGCAATTGTCGTCTTTCTCCAGGGCAGTTGAGCCCTCCGTTCAATGGCAGTGGACTATCGCAGGCACGGGATCGGAACTGTTTCCCTCCTCCGCAGGACTTGCTGCAATCGGAAAATGGAGACCAGGAACCCCAACCGCCATCCACTGAAATCAAGATTTTATTTATTCACTTTTTTTTATAATTGTAATTTTTTTCTGATTACGACAACAATTAGATTAGATGCCAGTCAAAAGATTTGTGATTATGTCAATCACATGTAAATTCAACTCTGGTCATAACTAGCATAGGATATTAAGCAACCATAAGTGAATGCTTATAGGTTTGTTACAACTCATTTGATAGGATGATTGTAATTGACTTCTCGTGAATTGTGACTTTGCTTCTGATGACTACTGACTCGCTTATGATAACTTGTAATGACTTGTGATTGACTAGTGATGACTTGTGTGATGACTTGTGATTGACTTGTGATTGAGTTGTGCTGACTGTTTATGATTGAGTTGTGATTTAGTTTTGGTGGACTTGCTGTGACTTGAAATGCAGACACACTCAACGTACTCAAGTAAATGGACCTCCACTCTCTACTCACCAATTTCCAACTGGCAGCGTGTGCCGTTAAAAGCTGCCGGGCAAACACACCAATAGCCTAAGTTCTCACTGTGGCACGTGGCTTGATTCAAGCATGAGTCTGTCTGACAGTAGTCAGTCTTGGTCTGGCATCGGTCTCCCTCCCATCCCTCTGGACAGCGACAAACAAACATTCCCAGGTGGTTCTCACACTCGCCAGTTTGGCAAGGGTTGGTTGAACACTCGTCAAAATCTGTCAAATTTAAAAAGAAATTGCAAAGGGATTAAACCAAAAGATGTTTGTTGTAAAACGTTCCCAAGAACAGGACTTCTGTACTTAAGAAATCATGTTCAGAGATTTTTAAATTTATTTTTCAATTTGCTTCTACTCGCACGTTTGATTTCTACGTTGAATGTTAACTATAATGACTGGTTTCTTTTTAACCTTTTTGAACCAAAAATGTAATGACATTTTGTTCCTGGTGAAAATAAATACATAAACTTTCAAGTAGTTTTGTTTTAATGTTACTTTAGAGAATGCTGTGAAAGTTTAATACTACAATGCATGGTAAACATTGCTACAGGGTTCTGCTACTGTCAGTCACAACGTAAAGCAACAAACATCGTCATGGTTTAATTCAGAAAACAAAATTGCACCAAACTGGAGCATCTTGCTTACCGTCACATTTGGAGGGTACCCGCAGCGTTTGGGTGATGCCAGTGCTAGGTCTATATATTATCTGGCCCCAAGCGAATACGTCAGCAGGAGTGGATGGTTGGCATGACGAAGCAATGTCTGGTACCTCATCTCCATTGAATGCACGACCGAAGATGTTGACACCGGTCAATTCCAGCTCCAAACTGCTGCCATGATCCACTATAGTGATATATAAATCCACAGTTTTCAATGTAATATGTCTTTTGACTCATGTAAGTACAATGTTTCAATTTTAATGCCTTCAGTCAGAAAACACTCTTCTTGGCAGCTAGTCAAAAAAGGTGTTTTTGATCTTGTTGAAATATGGATCTTCCCCATTACAAATATGAAAAAAGCATTGCCACCGACTATACGAATGCCCGACACTACAATGAAGATATAGTTTTGGTACAGTCAGAATGAATCAGGCTTGCGTACTTCCTGCTACATGAGCACAACCCAGTCTCTCCCCATGGAGCTCTCATCTAGCTGCAGTGGTCACGAAACCCACTCTACACAGAGTCCATAAAGAAGCACCCTAGTATCTGCTCAAACCCCCCCCCTTCCCCTTGATGGAGCTTGAATATCATCATGAGGGGCCAAGGGGTTCTTGGCAACCCATGCGCTCCCCCAAGACATCATTGAGCTGCCCACTGTGGAGCAGTTCAAGGGAGCCATCAGTGCCTAGATCATTATGAGGAGCTGACTTTTCAGTTGCACCAACTTTGTATATACATGTATCAGAGCACCCTGCACAAGTGTCCATCATTTAAGACAGCACACCACAGTCCTAATTAAGTTGCTGGAGAGGTTGTAAATAAGTAGCTCCATAGAAGTAGAAGTAGAAGAAGTAGAACTCCCTTCAACCCAGAACAGCTCCATTAAGCCCACATTACAAGATATTTACCCTCTTTAGCTTGCGGACCGATGGTGAGCGCCAGACCCCCGGGTAACTCAAACGGCCGACTGACATTGTGATTATCTTGTAACGTCATGGCTTGGTCCACGTACAAGGTCCACTCCTGACTGCAGCCTGTCTGATGCCAGGTCAGCAGCACACTGTGCCAGTGCCCATCGCAGAGCGTGGACGATACCCCGGCCGAGGTCTGGTGGACGCCACTCCACCCAAATCTGAAATACCATCTAGCAATGCTTTGATTAAAGGTATTAGAATCATGCATTTGCCTTTTGTGAATTTTTTTTCCGTTTAAAGCAACAAAAGTATTCAAATTCTTGAGCAGGATGTATAACAAGGGTGGATCCTGAGGAAGCTTTCTGCCAGGGAAAAATGGCCTTAGAAAATTTCAGTCAATCCCGGGGGGAGGGGGGGGGGTTCACCCTTCTGCACCTCCTTGATCTGCCGCTGAACAAATAATCTATTTAACTTTCAACTCAGTGGCTCCTATACATTTTGATAAAAGAAAGAAACTTACGGAACAATTTTTTATGGTCTCAATCAATGGATTTCATTGTTAATATATTTTAAAAAGTGTGTCTGCAGGCCTATCTTTTTAAAACCAGCTGTAGTGATTGTTTTCTTCTGAAAGATACCTTTTCAGGCGGAATAACTTCACAGGGTATTTGGTGCCATCTCTATGTCATGTTGAACAAAGTTTTCTCCTTATATTGGTTGGATTGTTTCTGGGTAATCACCAATGTTCATAACTGCCTTAAATGAAGTAAATTTTGGACTTTTTATTAACAAATTATTGTACAAAGTAATACAGACATTATCTATGTTGCATTTTTAAATAATTTGATGCGGGGGAAAAAAACGAGAGAATTGTTGTATACTAAACTATGTTGCTGAGCTAAAGAAGTACAAAACAATTCTGTTGTAGCCCAGTGCAAAATTCATGTTGTTTTGCGATGTGTAAAAATGAAAGTCAACTTTTCTCCCCAATGCAATGCAGGCAAAGTAGGATTTGCATATCCACATGAAATGGGAGATTTTCTGGATTCTGAATTGTTATTCATAAATACCTAAGACAGTTTACCCATTCCTATTGGCCGAGAGCCCGTCACGTACTTGGGTATCCTAAACTGCTGGTAAAACACCAGTTGGTTTTAAACACTTTAATCCTGTACCATTGCATTCTGTGCCACATCGTAAAGTACGTGCTATGTGCGTGCCAATTTCCATATAAGGGTATTTTGAGGCACATACCATGGACATGGCCATATATGCAGCAAACCTGGGAAATAGCAAACGGGGATCACTCAGAGGGAACATGACTTTTCTTTAAAAAATTTCAAATAAACCACAAGGGGAACAGACTGGGTGCATTACAACAATTGTTTTTAAATGTAAAAAATGAAATTGACTGGAGTGGGGTTTGCACCTGCGACCTCTGGATTGCCGTTCCGGTTCTCTACCAACTGAGCCATCCAGGTGTTTTGAGTAAAAGCGGGCACAAAACTGATCTAAGATAAAAGACTTTTTCAGGGGGCCAGATGATTAAAAAAAACAGGAAAAAGTTGTTAAAATAAAACATCAAAATTGAAATTTGATTGGAGTACAAAAATATATAATTTATTGATGGGGAGAGAAACAATTGAGGGTAAAATGTCACAGGTTTTCTTACCCTTTGAAGGTCAATATTAGGTTGCTCGGTTGACTCAACCTAACTGCTGGCCCTTCGGGTACCGACAAAGTGATGAGGTTGATATCGCCATGGCAACTCGTGGATCTTAACCACACTGAGGCTGACAATCCTGTGAGCGTGCCTTGAGTCATGTCGACCACTCGTAGATCTGTGCCAAACACCCGGCCGGAAAACTTGAGGTCAAAGTTGGTGTCCAAGTCTGAAAGGATCCAAGAAACAATTTTGCTACACCAATGAGCATTGTATATTATTCAAATAATGAATGGCTCAGCGTGGAATGGGAGGAATATTATCGCAAGGTAAACTCTGGACTTTTCCATTTCACAAGGCAAAAAACTGGAAAAGTCCAGATTTTACAGAGAGATAATATTCCTCCCATTTCACAACATAAAAGCCACTCAATATTTGTTTTATATAACTGACATATAGCTCGTTGTCATTTGATATATTTGAACTTTTTTTTCTAATACAAAACTGGAGGAAAATATATTTCTCTCTTCCAAACCACCCCTTCACGAAAATGTTTGAACCCAACGCTGTAGCGCTGGCTCTTTGAAACAATACGCGCTACGCGCAACGCTAAATGCGCACATCAGCATGCATTTGCACACAAATACCGTGTCATGATCCTAACTGTTGAATAGTATTTCCCGTTCCCCATAGGCAGATAGTACTTTTTGAGCCGTGGCGTGAATGGGAGCAATAACGAATGTCATTTGATTTGAGTTCCACTAATCAAATGACAAGGATCTGTATGTCGGTTTATATAAATAGTACTATCATCAAGCCAAGAAGCATCAGAAGATCTTAAACGCCTTGAGGGATTGTATGAGGTTAATAACCCTTTGTTGTATTTGGGAGCTGAAGCATGCAGGCAATCGTCGTCGTTCGTATAACTCGGTTCCTGGAGTATCAAACCGGAACGTCAGTTCCCAACCACTCCAATGTGGTGTCTTCAAGGTCAATCAGGCCAGCAGGTCCATTGGGAGGGCCGAAGATTGGACACTCCTGTAGGATGTGCGTGATCGTCTGTGGGGACCCACAGGGGCAGGTGTCGTCGTCTCCGGCACCAACTAAGTGGAGGAACGAGTTGGTTTTTTCCCCACTCCGTCCGTAGTCGGTTGACCTAACCCAGGGCTTGCGCTCGAGGTTGTGCCCTGCTGGCTCAGTTGATGGTACAGGCATGAACTCATGCAGGCTGGTGGTCATGCTGTCTCACTGTTCTCTCCATCGGTCTGCTACCCAGGACGGGGAGAGTGAGGGGCCGTTCTTTAGCTCACAAGCACGGGTTACGAAGTGCCGGCAGTTGATTCGCTGCGGAGGGCAGTTGTCAGGGATGTAGGGCATTAGGCTACCAGGTGTGCTGGCCTTCTGAGAAAGCTTGAGGGTCAGGTGGTCAAGTCTTATGCTTTCGGGTGGGATACCTGTGACCATGGGCAGTAAGCTTGCTGGTGTGGGTGCCATGGTACCGGAGATAAGTTGTAGGGCCCTGTGTCTATTGCTTTTGTGTGGCGGCTCTGCGCCCATACAGGGGCTGCATACTCTGCGGTTGAGTATGCCAGGGCAAGAGCAGATGTGTGGAGCATCGCAAAGTTAGCGCCCCAGTGGGTGCTAACAAGCTTTTTGAGGATGTTCACTCCCTTTGATGTCTTCTAACTACTTTTTCTAGGTGCGGCCAAAACGTTAGGCTGCGGTCGAGCGTAATGCCAAGGTAGACCGGCTCGGGGTCAAATTTGAGTTTGCTGCCATTGAGGTTAATGGTAAGCTCCTTCTTTGCCAGCCTGTTGGCTAGGTGAAAGATGGAGCATACTGTTTTTGACTCGCTCAGCTTCAGGTGCCAGCGGTGGTAGTAGCTGCATTATAGGGTGGAGAGATCATCTTCGAGCGGCTGCTGGATTTCCTCAAAGGTTTTTCCAGTAATACCTAGGGCGCTATCATCGGCATAGACATACTGTTCCGAGGTGGTGTTCGGGAAGTCGGCAGTGTAGATGTTATATAAGATAGGTGCGAGCACTGACCCCTGAGGAAGGCTGTTCTGTAGGCATCGCTTTCTGCTTCGGTCGCCACTGGAGGTCTCAAAAAAGAACGTACGGTTCTGCAGCAGAGTCATTATGAATTGCACCAGCTTTACGTCTGGTATAGTTCTTAGCAGCTCCAGGCACAGGCCGCGATGGCAAACGGTGTCATATGCAGCTGTGAGGTCTACGAAGACTGCCCCAAGCTTCTCTTTTCTCTGGAATGCGGCTTCGATATCATTGACAAGGCGTGAGATCTGGTCCGTGGTAGATCTTCCCTTACGGAAACCAGCTTGCGCATGTGGTAGGCTCAGTTCTACGAGGTCATTGATGCATGCGAGAATTACCCTCTCCATTAGTTTGAAGGGCATACACAAGAGAGAGATGAGGTGGTAGCTCTTCGCCTCGTTGGCAGGTTTTTTGGGCTTGAGTATGGCGATAACTTTCGCTTTTCTCCAAACCGCTGGAATCGACAGTGTATCCATACAGTTGGTTAGGAAGAGGCGGAGCCACTCGACAGCCTGAGGTCCTATATGTCTCAAGAACTCAGAGTGCACCAGGTCTATGCCCGGCGCTTTCCCATTCCTCAGACAGAGAATGGCTTTCATGAGTTCTTCTTTGGAGATTGGCCCTGACAGGCCGCTTGAGGAGGGTTGGGTGGAGATAACTTCTTTTATTTCCTCATTGACTCTTCGGTTGTGGTTTTTGGCATCAGTTGAGCGGTCTTTCCATCTTCCGTTGTCCACGAGGACAGATGCAATTGAGTTTGCAGGAACTGGACAGGGCTTTGGTTTACTGGTTCGACCAGTGAGTCGGTTGATTGGTTGGACCACGCCTTCTGGCTGGAGTGGGTGAAATCAATAGGGGTTACCATCTCTTCCCATCTGGTACGCCTTTTTTCACCGAGGGTATGCATTATAGTATGTCAGCTTTGTCTGCTTTCTTGGTGTCACTCGCATCGTTGTACTCCAAGAGTAATGAGTCACAGTCAGCATCCCAGCATGGAATATACTGGCCAGGTCTTCCACGAGGAATAGATGACTTTGCAGCAGATGAGAGCATGTTGGTGAAGGCGGTATATACTTCGGATGGGCTTGGGAGGTCGGAGGTGAGGTCGTCTGTTAAGGATGTGAACTTGTTCCAGTCAGCCTTTCTAAAGTTCCACCTCTTTTTCTTGGGGGAGGTGATGTTTATTTCAATCTTGGTACTGATAACAATAGGGCAGTGTCCGGATCTTGGGAATTTGTCGAGAATGATGCGTTCGCAGTTTTGTCAGTGAGATGTTGGAGGAGACGAAGCTCAGGTCTGGGTTTGACCACTGCTTGTGCCGACCTGAGAAGAAGGTGGGGTGGTCTTTCGAGTTGTTAAGCTGGTAGAGATCAAGCCTTTCAGCCCAGTTGGCGATGACGTCACAATTCAGGTTGGTGTCACAGTAACCCCAGTTTGTATTGCGGCTGTTGAAGTCACCACAAACAATGGCAGGGGCTATAACCAGGGGCAGGTTGCGTTGGGTGACCGTCGATGGAGGTGGCTTGTAGAGGTTTATAACTTGGTGGTTATTGGCAGCGATGGTTATCCATTCAGTTTGGCTGTCTGCAGTCGACTTTTGGTCCAACTTGGCAGTAATACCATCGCGCGCATACGAGGCAATCCCACGGTGTTTGCTGGGGATAAACCCTATAGTGTTGAAGCCTTCAATTTCGAGCTTTTGTACATCCTGCACGTGGGTCTCCTGCAGGAGTATGATGTTGGCTTGATGTTTTTCAGCCAGGTGTCGGACAAGGTCACGTTTGGCTCTAGTGAGTCCTTCGACATTAATTTGGAGTATACGAATCTCGGTAGTAGACATTGTCTCGTTTTAGGGGAACGCCCCTGATTCGTTGGCCAATAAGGTGGGATTGGATGGATCTAACCTCAATTGGCGGTTGAGATGGTTGACATTCCTTAGCGATATTGCGTAGGTTGAGTTGTGTTGCTGGCTTCGGTTGGCTGTAGCTTTGCAGGCTTGTGAGCTTGTGAGCTTGAGCCGTAACGGAGATCACCACGAGAAAGTAGCCAGCATGATCCCCAAAGCCAATGAAAAACAAGCAATAACAGTCTGTACAATCCGGTCAGCAACAGTTAGACTTGTATGACTCGTGACTTGGACTCGGACTCGAGTCTGACTCGAGTCACATTTTTAATGACTCGGACTCAGACTCGAGTCACTTTGACTTACGACTCGGACTCAGACTCAGGGCTACGGACTCGCACTTGGTCTCGAACTGACTTGTGACTCGACGGAAATTACCGCACTGCACACGCGCACATACGTAAGTCAATCATTTTCTTTACTGTGCAATACATGTACAGGACGCTCGATGCGGTGCGTGCGTGGCCGTGGCCGATTAACGATATATTGATTGAAGAAATCAATGTACTGAAACTTGTACCCCGCTGTCCGCACATAATACTGCTTACAGCACCTGAAATGTACGTATTTCCAATACTATATCAAAGGTGACTCTGAATTCCCTAAAATGTACGTTTTTCCAATACAATGTTAGAGGTGACTCATGACTTGGACTTGGACTTGACCTTTGTGACTCGTGACTCGGACTCGGACTCGGACTCGGACTCGACCTGGAGGACTTGGGACTTGGACTTGAGAAATGTGACTCAGACTCAGACTTGGACTCGATGTTTCGTGACTCGAATATGAGTCTGGTAACAGTGCCAGTGCAGAGACTGCAAAATTGGGATGATATCGGCTCTAGAGGGTGTCAGGGTGACAATACGAGCAGCAGAATTTTGGAGTCTTTGTAGATGAGCAAGTTGATTACGGGGTAGCTGACACAACAGAGTTACAAAAATCCAAATGAAAAGAAATGACGGCGTGAACAAGCTTCTCTGTGGCTGAGCGGGTTAAAAATGCTCCAAATCAGAACGATCACAAGCAAATCAAGCAGCACCATCATGATCATCAAGTCTCTGACGGTCACATAATGTCAAAAATAATATATAAATGTATTAAGGAAAGACACAAAAATGTGAGTAGAACAGAGCGCAAAAATGCAGAGCTGCCAGACACTATAGCGCTACTACAACCTAACATTATATCCTGATGAATCCATACAGTGCCAGGGTGGTTTGGGGATGGTATGTTAAGGGCCTTTCACACTGTCCACAATCTCTGTGTCGGATGGGTCTAACACAGATATTTCAGGAACACCTTTCACACTCGCAAGAATTGAGAGGTTCTACCCTGGTAGAAATCAAAAATATAACCTATGTGCGACCGCCTGCCTGTGTTTGATGAAAGGGGTTCTGCTTATGGTGGCCCCTTGATTTCAACATGGTTGACACATAGATTTCGGGAACCCCTTTCATACTAGCAAGAGTCCAACATGGCTTCCACATAGATCCAATGCTCTACATGGGTCAAATCCAACCCTTGTCAAGACCAGGGTTGAGAGGCTCTACCCAGGTAGAAAATCCAAAATCTACAGCTGACCTGTGTACGACCGCCTGCCTGTGCTTGATGAAAGCGGTTCTGCTTATGGTGGACCCTTGTTGATTTCAACATAGGCAAGACGAAGGCATGTAGAAAAACCCTAACAGGCAGGATGGTTTAGGACAGAAAAGGGACTAATGGGGTAAGTTTCATTGGACACTCAAGTAAATGCTTCGGACTCACCTGTTCTTGGCAGTTCAGTGGCTTTGTAGAATTCTTATACCAACAGATTAATTACTTCAGATGCTCATTTGAAGAAAAAAAATAGGATCTATCTTGAGTAATAAAACAGGAATGTGCTGTAAAACGTTTTCTGCAATCAGGATTTTCAAGTGAGTTTATAAAATCACATAATACTTTTGAAGGAACAATAAGGGGCTTCATGCACAAGTACCCCTCAACGGCAAGAAAAGGATAGTTGGGGGAGACCACTGAGAGAGACATTCAAACGCACTGCTGATGACGCCTGATGCTCAAGCGAAGATGCTACATAGCTTTGTGCTCATTCAGAATGTAATAATTCGTACGTGCACTAGGTGTACCGGTATATGTGGAGTACTGTGGCCTTGTGGTTAAGGGCACTGATTCGTGGTCTGTGGGTAAAGCTGCAGGTTGTGTGTTCGAGTCCTGGCGGGGTCATGGTGTGTGTGCCCTTGGGCAAGGCACTTGCTTCTCTCCACCTAGGAGTAAATGGGTTCCTGTGAGGACAGAGATGGTTATTGTGATTGAATAAGCTTCCTTGCGCCTAACAGGCTGCATCGAGCTGTATACTCCCCAGGGAGCTGAGATGGTATTTGGAATGTTTCGTGTGCCCAATGAGCAGGGGTAATAATGATGTAGCGCCTTGAGCACCAGTCCTGGTGGATACGTGCGCTTTATAAATATCCACTATTATTACTATATGCGCATGATTTAGTAAATAAGCACAAGCGGTGCATCCATGCATGGCCTCTCAAAAGTTGTCAAAAGCACTCTCAATCTCTTGTTTGTGCAGGGAGCCCATTACGATTGTGTTGTCAATTGAGCTAATATGCAAACCAAAAAATACAACCAAAGATGAAAATTATAGCTCTAAAACAACTTTTCATAAGACAACTTAATACCTGTTTCACAGTGGGTATCGGTGTAGCCTGGTAGGCAAACACACTGGTAACCGTTGATTTGATCAGAACACTTCGACTGATGTAGACATGGCTGGCTCAAACACTCATCAACTTCTGTGTCACACAGGGAACCACTGGCGAGAAAACATCACAAGAGAAGACAAACCAATATTAAAGCTGGTTCTAGCACAAAAAGTCTATCCAATTGGAAATTTACGACATTTTTAACAAATTTATCCCAAAAAAATCATAAAATAAGTATAGTCCATCAATACGTGTAATGTTTTGCATTGTAACTGCTGGGCATATTATTGGGCATTGAGTCCATATGATATTTTTTTTTGAATTTGTTATGTTTATTCCACTAAATGGTACCTTTTGGCAACACATTATCGTAATTTTTTCGAACGGAGGGAGACACCGGTCATTAGGTAGACACCGGTCATTAGGGAGACATGAAAATGTCTCCCTAATGTTACAGCCCCCCGTTAGAGGCACAATTTTGCTGTCTCAACCTGGTTATTTTGTTGGTCGTGGTCTAATTAGTAAACATACCAAAATTCGTGGCAAAAAGGACAAGGGAATATTGGGTAATTAGGTCACATTTAAGATTGAAACATTTTGCGCACGAGTCTATGGGAGTGTCTCCCTAATGTCCTATCCAGTGTTATTATTATTATTATTATTATTTTTTTAGGGAGGAGGTTTATAATTACTCTGTGTGTATTGCCAAGTTTTGCATTTGGGAAATTCTGTGGTAACTCAGATTAGATTGAGAAGAGGCCTTCCATCGTCTTTGTACTGTTATTCTATAAAGTCAAAGCATTTTGGGTGGATTTTTTCACACGGAGGATACCCTTGAAATTAAGTGACTAAACTTCAAAAAAAAGCAAACAAACTAAACTTTTGTTGGTTTGGCAATAAGATTTTTATTGGTAACTCACGTTACACAAAATGGACGTGGAAAAAAAATGTAAGTACCTCACATTTGAAAGTTTCGTCATACTGTGATAACTGTTGGAAAAATCTGAGTGCCCTTACATTATTATTGTACATGTAAGTCATATGCTACCGTAACAATCGTAAAAAAAAAACAATCATGAGAACTCTAGAGGGATATATTTCGATAACTCGCGTTACGGTAACTCATGTTACAGTTTGTCCACCTATCTTTGGTACAAGACAAAACAAATGAGAAAATCATAATCTCCCAAAATCTCTTTTGGCATAATAATTATTAACCTTTTTCTCTACCTGAAAACAAACAACTCACAACAACACTTGCATTTTACACTTAAAAACAAGGCACCAAAATGACTACCTAAACTTCATAATTTTAGCCCAAAAATCATTGATTTATTTGTTTAAACACTTCACCAGATCCCATTTTCACTGGCACACCACTAAAATGAGAGGTTTGTTGTTCCCTTTAATATGATACCAAAAGTGATGCTCATAGTTCTGGAGATTTTATGTCTATTTTCCAGCCATGTCCACTTTCTCATGAATTGCCCATTTAAAAGGCAAACACATGTATGTACTGTACTACTTAAAGCTATAGTCCATCATTTGCAGCTATCCGAAAAAGTAACTGGGGTAATTATTGTTGAAAAACATATTTGGTTGAAAGATAGTAAGGGGACTAAACTCCATGTGAAATTATTCTTTCTGGCAAGCTGTCATTTTGAATTAATCAACGAAAGAAGGCCTTTCCAACGGTGCTTCTTAAGACGCACCGTAGGAAAATTTAAATTAGTAGTTCGTTTTGTTATTCGGCGAAGCACGCGCAAGCATTGGCACGACCCACACACACGTGCGGTTGCTATAATTCGTCTGATCAGTGCGCGACATCGCGTAACTGCAATCGCTCAGTGAGAACGTGTCTGCAATCGCTCAGTGAGAACGCTGAATTCAGGCCTAATTCAAAACATGATTCAGCAACTTTTGATTTGAAATTGAGATCCTAGAATGCTGTTTTTCTCGGAATATACAGCTGAAGCTAAGCTGAAACTTCATCAGGTTAGTTGTTCAGTACCCTTCTTTAGATTTTGAGCACTTTTGTTGCTTTAAACGAACAAAATGCACAAATTACAAATGATGGACTAAATATCTTTAACTAAAGTCAATGCGAACTCAGTAGCGGCATCGCGGCAAGTTTAAAATGCTAGGGTTGAACACATGTAAAACCACAGCAAACATTTCCTGTGCAAAAATGTTCCATGACATAAAATTCACATTGTATGCACAATTACATATGAAACAGACTTTATAAACACCGTACCTGAATCCTGCCGGGCATGTGCAGGTGAAACCCCCGGTGCTGGGGATGCACGTGGCACCGTTACTGCAGGGAGCGTCCAGACACAAATTGACTTCAATGTTACACTGCACACCGGTGAACCCTCAAATACAATCAAAACAAAAGAGCATAGCTCAAATGAAATTAATGTTGCTCTCCCCATGCTATTTTTGGGGTTTCATGCTGAACAGCAATTTTTTTTATTGCTGTTTTTCAAAATATTACGGTGAAAGCAGACTTGGGTTCAAGTCTCACCTGACTACGCTTGTGGATTTTTCTCACACGACCTCGTGGACAGCACAAAGTATATACAGTGCTTAGCAAAGAACTATGTTCAAAATAGAGTAGTTTTAACATTGGAATGAGATATCAAACAATCAACAGTACTTTTTGACTAATTACCTTGCAAATGTTGAATTATATGCTGCCCAAAAAATAATTCAGGCAGATCTTTCATTTTCATTAGAGATGAAAACCAATCCCAAACAAGCCTTTTGCAAAGGGTCACCTTCCATCTCTGTAACCCAGGTTTGATTTCTGCCCTGGACACATGTGGATTGACCTATCGCGTTAGAATCGTGTCAACGCAGCTTGTGAAATATTGTTCAATTACATGATATACAAATGGAAATGGAACGCGCAAAATCTGAGACAAACAAAACTTTAACGTACAAAAACTCCACTGGGTTGTCTAAGGGGCGTGGCTAACTCGCTAACGGCAATAGGTCAATTGGGTTTTCAATCCCTACCTGATTCCGTGGGTTTTCCCCAGAACATTCTTCTGGGGTTTTCCTCCCACTTTTAAAACTGTAATTTGTTCTCATTGTCTTCTATCTACATGTGCAGGTTTCTTGAGCTACAGTGCCTAGGGCACTTTTGAGGAATCCTTGGTTTCATTATCGGAAATAATTAATAATAATGATAACAATAACTAGATTTACTTATGTTTGTGTACAAACATACGGCTGTTTCGGTAATTTGTTATTGTATTTTTATGTCATGTAAGACTGATTAGACAACATCTGCGGTAGAGTAATCAGGACCCATACAGTTCTGTAGATATTGGCCTTAAAAATATACACTTTTAGAATGCCGTAACATATCACGTGATGATGTCATCGTGACGCCACTTCAATTTTCATCTATAACACATCCCTGTCTATGTACAAACCAACTTTCAACCCAATTGGACATGTTGTTCTGTAGATATAGGCCTTCGAAACATATCGCGTGATGACATCATCGTGACATCACTTGAATTTTCATCTAAAACATATCCCGGTTTACCCAATCGGACATGTAGTTTTGAAGATATAGGCCTGCAAAATATGCACTTTTTAATGTGACGTCTCGTGACTCGTGATGAAGTCACGACAATTTTCATCAATAACACTTCCCGGTATAGGTACCGGTATATACCAACTTTCAACCCAATCGGCCTTGTAGTTCTGTAGATAATAAAGGCCTTCAAAATATGGACATTAAATGTGACGTCACAGGTCACGTGATGACGCCATGATGACGTCCATGTTCAGATGCTGTTCTAAGTGTGTGCCGAGTATAAAGGCAAACGGATTGATTTTAGTGCCCAAAGTGCCTTCCACGATGAAAACGTGTACAAATGCTATGCTTTGTTTGAAAAAAAAAACAAACAAACAAACAAATCTTAACAAAAACAAAGGCTGTTTCGGCAGGTTGCCGAAACAGCCAATAACTAGAAACACTCAGAGAGCGCAAACCTCCACCAAGGCTAAACAAAAGAAATACTCGCATAAGTTGTGAAGAATCCTTTAAAAAAAATGTGTACACGTATTTGTACTTTTTCCAAGGACCACCCCTAAAAAACCTTTTTTACAGACCAACCATCCAACCAACCAACCAACAAAATCCGATGAAAACATAATTAACACAAGGATAAAAGTAGATTTTAATTGAAATAAACAAAGATAGTTGACCACTTGCAAAAGAGGAAATTTATTGAAAGTATGTTCAACAAACAATTAGAGGTCACTCAAGGGTTTCAACAAATGACTTACCTTGCGAACAAACACAGGCAAATGACGCCAGCTTGTCGCGACAGCTTCCTCCGTTGCCACACGGGTCCAACTCACATTCATTGATTTCCTCCTCACAATAGTGTCCCTCATAGCCAGCGACACACGAGCACTCAAAGTCTGCCACCTATACATGTATACATGCAATCAGAATGAAAAGGTCATTGTAGTAAGGCAAGGGTAGGAGCGTAGAATTGTCTTTCAGTACAAGTATCAATCTGCAGTGGGCACTACCCTTTGAGGGTAGCAGACCAGTAAATAAACTTCCATAGACCCCAATGGTAAATGCTCCCACTTCAAAAATTCGGGAAAAATACTCACAACTCTCCAACGTGTTCGAGACACACATCAAATTAAAGCTTATTTCATCATCTTTCATTTTCTTTTCAATTTTTGGGGGGTCAACTGATGACTTTTAGGAGAAATTTCCATCTGAACATGATCACCCCTGAAAATAGTCCTGAAGCCCATCGCCATTTTGAAAAACGATGCCTACACTCCATTGCAAAATAGAGCCCTTTTAGGATCCAAATTACATCAAAATTACACAGAACTGCAAGCTCCCAGTCCTGTGCACGGTTTCCACCCATATTTTTTACAAACCCTCAAGTTCATGGCCCACAGCATGCTCAAATACCGAAGATTTTGAGGGCATGCAAATCGTGATTTGGCCGGCGCAGGCAATTTCGGACCGATTTACTGGTCTGCACCCTGAGGGGGCTATATTGCAAGAACGCTGAACTGGAAACCTGGCCTCAACCATGGGAACAAGCTACAACCTAACAACAGCTGGTGAGATTTCCTGCGCAATGACTAATTCTTCCTTCCCACGTGTGATTACCTCAACATAAATTAAAATCCTTGTAAGAAACGGAAAGTTGGGGGAGACAACTTGGAGAGATATTTGAACTCCTGACGCTCACGTGAAGACGCTGTGGCTTTGTGCACATTCAGAATAAACAAGTTGTACGTGCTTCGCACTTTACGAGCGCGAACCAGTACGAAGTGCTTTTGAAAGTGGTCACTATCACCCTCTCTTGTTTGTACACGGCGCCCAAAAATACCCAACTTCTGTTCATTTTTCCCCTACAAAAATCCCCCAATTTGCCCATTTCCTGAAGAAATTGCAATTTATGCCGAGTCTGAAATGGGCTTCCAGCTGCTGCCGCTACGTCAGTTGTCAGCTTAGTTCTCATGAAGTTGTATTTATAAGCAATACTTCCAGACAAGAGATGAGGACATGGCCAATATTTAAATTTGATCACTTCAACTTTTGTTTCCTCAAAAAAAATCCTTCAGTCTTAAATATAGCACCTTCCTTAAGAAAAAAAAGTAAAAATTAAGTTTCAAACGTAACAAGTGAAATGGATGCTTTAATACTTTTTACACAAATTTACCTTATTCACACAGGTTCCGCCATGTTGACATTGCACGTTCAGTTGTTGGCATTCGTTTATATCCACCTCACAGTTGATCCCGCTGTAGCCCGGTAAGCAGAGGCAGGCGTATGCGTTGAGCTGATCTGAGCATTCCCCGCCGTTCTGGCAAGGATCCGGGTCACAGTCGTTGACATTAATCTCACAAAACAGGCCTGTACAACAGTTATAATAACAGTGGTTTTTTGTGTCCTCCAATCAGCGGCGTTGTCAGCGTTCTCATTCTAGGGGGGAGGGGCGAGTGGGGGGCTGGATGTTACATTGGCAGGAAGCGCCAATTTCATCAGTACTGAAATAAGGGAGAAATTCTTTTTCACCGGACACCCAGCCTCCGTTAAATCAAAATGGGGGGAGGGGGGGGGGGGTGCTCGACACATCTTCCCATGGGTGCGCTGTTCAAACCGACATCATGGTCAATGTTAGACAATAAGTGGCGCTATTCGATTTCCACGAGACGTTAAAATAGACAGCCACTCGGGTTAAACAGGGACTTTTAGTGAAAAATAAATAGACGTGAACAAAATTTCCTTAAGTTAAATCTGTTAATAATGGTAACTTATCTGACTGTGCTGTTCTCCGGTCGGGAGGTGACGATTCATTATGGGATGGGGGGCATGTGCTTCCCCCCCCCCTTTCCCCTTTGCTACCACCACTGCCTCCAGTGTAATATTTTTGATTTTTTTTAATTGTATAGACTAACAGCCGGTTCATACTTCACGTGATCATGACTGCAAATTTGTGATCATGAACACAAATTTGTGATGTCACATCACGTTTTCGCGATGCAAATTTTCAAAAGTTTAACACCTATAAATGTTGGCAAATTTGACAGCTAATGTTTTGTAGTGTCAAATCAAAATTCACATGAAGTAAGAACTGGCCTCTAGATGACACCTACATGTTGTATGCATGCATTCCGTGCTCCTTCAACCAACAGGCTATTCAAACTAACTGTGTGTTTTAATGCACGAAAAGTGTGTATGTGTGTGTGGCATAACCTCTGTAATACCAATGAGGCCATAATCAGATTAGTTCATAGCCATGCAGTGCCGTCTGCAACTTTGTAAGAAAAATACTCAATCATAGGTCTCAAACTTTAAAAATTTACGTTTTCCGCAGTTTACAATTGTGCTTTTTTGGAATTCAATTTTTATTAGGTGACAGATTTCTTTATTTTGTTATTAAAAAGACAGCCCAAAGGCCAGTTGACACTTCATGCAAAATTGGCATCACAATTCACTCACGGCAAAAACTGCTGTGGTTGAAATGTGTTCAACTTTTGCAGATTTGAAGCGTTAACACTTGCCTTGACGTCACAAATTCAAGTATGTGTCAAGTATGAACCAGCAATAATAACAGGGTGAATAAAATTCCTACCTGTTGAGCCTTGATTACAAAGGCACGTGAAACCGTTGACGCCATCAATGCATACGCCATCGTTAAAACAGGGATTTTCCGCACATTCGTTGATGTTAATTTCACAGCGCTCGCCTGTGTACCCCTGGACGCACAGGCAGGAGTATCTGTGAACAAGATCAAGGCAAGTTGCTCCGTTGAAGCACGGCTGGCTTGCACACTCGTCGGTATTCAAATCACAGTTGATGCCGCTGTAGCCGCCCTCGCAGGTGCACGTGTAGTGGTTGACGCCATCTCTGCACTGTGTGGCGTGCACGCAGGGGAAAGAGGCACACTCATCAAGATCCTTTTCGCAGTTTGGTCCGACGTATCCTGGCAAGCATGAGCAGAGATGACCAAGGGGTATGTCGACACAAGAACCCCCATTCTGGCAGGGACTACTGAGGCAGTAGCTGATTGGTACTTCACATTGGGCACCAGTGTAGTTATTCAGACAGGCACAAGCAAACTCGCCACCGATGCCAACAACACAAGTGCCACCATTATAGCAGGATCTATGGAATGAAATAAAAACCAAGAATTACTAGGAAGTAACAAATCCCAATTTTTGTAAAATTATGCCCGTTTCGGACTGGCATTCTAAAATTGCTCCGAAGGAAATTATTCCTGAGGTTTTGAACTAGAAAAGTTCGACATTTGAAACAATTACAAGCAACTAGATGTGCACGCCGTCAAAAGATCAACTGCTGCAGTTGATTGGAACAAGGCTGATGGAGCTTTTGATGAATGCGTGCATCAATAGCACGTGTAGTAATATAACTTTACTACCATTAAATTTTGACTCCTTGCTGTAAAATGCAATGGTCATCATGGATGAAAATCCCACAGATATAAAAATATGCGTGTCTTTGTACTTTTGAGGCTTTTCATACTTTTAAGTTCATTAAATTACATTAATTAGCATTAAATCCGGTCAGAAATTTAAATTTGGAACATTTTAGGTTCCAAGAAGTGTCGGTTGTTGACTTTAATTTTTATGTTTTATCGAGACTTAATTATTGTTGGCCGCTCTTTTAGCCACTTCTACACAGAGCCTATTAAAGGAATAGAGGAAGTGATGAACAAAAGGCAAGAAATAGTGAGAAGAAGTGTAACGTTAAATGTAACCAAAAATCACACAATGGTCTCTGTGCACCCCCTCAACGGTTGCAAATGGAGAGTTGGTCCGACGTATCCTGGCAGGCATGCCATTATTCAAACGCATTACCGTCTGCGCTTGATGCACATGCATTGACACAATGGAACTGTGCACACTCAGAAACTGCGTACTTCACACTGTACAGTAAAGCTTATTCTCACCAACCTGGTAACAAGCAAATTGGGTCAGTTTGAGTCGTTCTTAAATCAATCTAGTTCAGCACCACTCTGAATCGTCAGTCTGATTGAACAAGCAGTACTGAGTTTTTCTTATTTTAAAGACCGCGTTTTAAGCCATATCTGAATTTCTTGGTTATATGACTGGCAATAACACACATGGGATGTGGATTGATGCACTAATACACACCCATGGGTAATGCAAGCTATAGCCCAGTACTTCAACACAATCTGACTCCTTTCCCATGGAATATTATAACCCCACAGTTATCCTTGGGCTCCGTTCGCTAACAAGAAAGGTTGCTTTTAACCCGTTTCCAGAGCCCAGTGGATGTGACACACTGCATGTGCGTACTAGTTCATGTGCATATACCACAAAGACATATTTTACTCTTAAATGTGCACAAAGCCATAGTGTCTTCCGCATGAATTGACATCAGTCGATCATTGGCAATGTGTTCGAATGTCTCTCCAAGTGGTCTCCTTCACCTCTCTCTCCCCCTCCTTTGAGGGGTTCTTGTGCACAGAGCCTATAAAGTAATCAAATCATAGTTTACTCATTGCTGCAGACATCACATAAGTTCCCCACAAATCCCGGCTGGCAGACACACGTAAAGCCATTGATGCCATCCACACAGCCACCATTGTGCATACAGGGTCCCAATAGGCAGTCGTCTATGTCCAGCTGACAATCCATTCCTAGTCAAAGACAAAATAGACCAATTCATTAAGTCTCACCCAATGTTGCTTCACAGCCATAACACACGCATGACGCAGCATGCACACATGTATGACATGCACAGCTGGAACATGCAGTCTGTATGGCATTCGAGAAGTGCACATGTGGATTGCCCATGTACATGTAAGCAGTGAGCGGGGCTATGTACCACCCAAAACCGCTGTTCCTAATACTCATTGTACCACCCAAAACCGCTGTTCCTAATACTCATTGTACCACCCAAAACTGCCGGGCACTGTATGGTACGTTTTATTAAATTTTCAGTGAATAAACACAATGTAATACAATTAAGTACAGATACTAATGGGTTAATGGATCGGTTTATTGACCGGAGGGGGGGATTAACCTGCTACCACTGGAATGATGTACCTCTATGCTCTATTGGCAGATCCCCAGTATCCAATTTGCTGCACATAATCACAGCTATGATTGGCCAAACACCAAAGGGTTAGGATTAATGGATTTAGTTTTATAAAGTTTTATTAATTCTCACAGTAGTTGTGACTGGAATTAAAAGCTACCATAGTCACCTGACCAAAAGGAATGATCTAATTGTCAATGCTTCTTGTTTAATTGACAAAAGCCAGACCTGAAACAATATATTACCTGTGAACCCTGCTGCGCACACACACTGGTACCCGGCACCCATATTGAGGCAAGTGGCCCCATTCTGGCAAGCCGACGGCTCACAGAGGTCAATAGGATGCTGGCAGACGGTACCAGTGAATCCTGGCCCACAGAGACAGGTGTATCCGTTGACATCATCTTGGCAGGTGTTACTGGCTCCACAGGGATCAGATGAACACTCATTGATGTCAACGGTGCATGATTCCCCTGGAATTGTGGGTGAACAGAAATTGGCAACTGAGTTTGAAAACAATAGGTCAAAGTTTCAAAGCATGAAAAAACAAAAAAAAATGTTGACAACAATATCATTTAACCCATTGATCCCTGTTCTGCCTTAATTAAACCATCCTGCCCAGGTACCCACTGTACCGGGCCAGTAGTGCCAGAGATGTATGGTTTATAGATTATCAGGTGATAAAAACAATGTAGTACAATTTAGTACAATGTAGTACAGGTGCTATTGGGTTAAATACTAACTTTTCTTTTTAAAGGTATAGTCCATCATTTGTAATTTGAGCATTTTGTTCGTTTGAAGCAACAAAAGTGTTCAAAATCTAAAGAAGCTGGGGTGCTGAACAACTAACCTGATGAAGTTTCAGCTCAGCTTCAGCTGTATATTTCGAAAAAAATCATTTTCTAGGATCTGGATTTCAAATCAAAAGTTGCTGAATCATGTTTTGAATTGGGCCTGAATTCAGCTTCCAAGACACATTCTCACTGAGCCGATTGCAGCTACGCGATGTCGCGCACCGATCCGACGAATTTTAGCAACTGCGCACCGAATAAAACAAAAAAAACTACTAACGGAACTTTCCAACGGTGCTTCTTAAGTTGGAAAGGCCTTCTTTCGTTGATTTCTTCAAAATGACAGCTTGCCAGAAAGAATAATTTCACAGGGAGATTAGTCCCCTTACTATCTTTCAACCAAGTATGTTTTTCAACAATAATTATGCCAGTTACTTTTGGGATAGCTGCAAATGATGGACTCTGGCTTTAATTAGAGTATCCTCTCAAAAGAACATGCCATGAGCCCTCCACTATAACAAAATGTTAAAGGTTAAAGCTGAATGCTTAGAAGAAAGCTAGTCGTGAGCAGGGTTCCACCTTAATTTTTTTATTTACTAGCCAGCCAGGCTACTGAAATAGACTCTTAACAAGCCGGCATGCTTTTCTTTTATATATTGCATACATGTAAAACGTGTATCCTGAGGCCATCTTGTCAGTGTTTCAATGAACAGATCTAATAATTTAACCCAAAACAGTTAAGAAAATTTGACACAAATTGATAAAAGTTTGCTTTCTGAATTTAATGATTTATTTCTTCCTGTCCTTTCATCTTTGTCGTATCCCAATAATTTTTGACTCGCAAGCTGAGCTACTTAAGGAATAGTTTAACTGCTGTTTTGACTAGCATTTGGCTAGCGGGCTACCACTTAAGTCGAACACTGGTCATGAGTTTGTATTTGGTAGCCCAGGTTGGACGAAGTCTTCATTGCAATACGACTAACGTCCAGGACGAGAATTCTCTACATAACACCACCCAAAATTTGGACCAGATTTTTGTTACGTTTTACCTCGTTACAGAAGCTTATTTCACGCCAACATGTTCTATGTGTCCTTACCTATTAGGCCGCTGGGTTCAGGAATTCCATTTGTTATGCTGACCGACATTAATCAGGAAAATAAACTCTAATGCAGCGTTAAACTTGTACGTGTTTGTAGTCTCTTTTCATCAGTTTATTCCCAGAGTCGTACGTCATGTACAGTGTACATGTACGTGCGTACGAAAGCGCGCACGCACGCTAGCGCCCTCATTTGTTTAGTTTTGGTTGGAACCGTGACGTCACTCCAGCCAACCGATGTCACGAAAACGCTCAACCAACGACCAAAGCCGAAACGTGTTTCTGGTAACTGGTACGAAAACACGGTCGGTCATTGGATTAGCGACCGCGCCTTTAAGTGCGCGTGCATAAGAGGGCGGTTACTAAGCAAATCGCGCGTGCGCACTGCATATTCCTGCTGCATAGTCTGGCCCCCGGACCAGACGTGATATGAGCGTGGAGAATAACCGTCCGGTCTAGGGAACCAGACTACACGCTGCACAGACGTACATCATGTACGACTAGAATAGACTCGGTGGTGAGAAACTGATGAAAAGAGTCTACAAACACGTACAAGTTTAACGTTGCTTTCGAGTTTATTTTCCAAATTAAGGTCGGTCAGCGTCGCAAATGGAATTTCTGAACCCAGCGGCCCAATAGATAAGGACACATAGAATACTACGACGTAAAAATTAGCTTCTCCAACAAGGTAAAAATATTGAAAATATTGGTCATAAATTTTTTCGCCCGGTTTTGGGCACTTCATACCCTGGACTCCCTCCGTTACGTAGTGAGGAAAGGGAGTCCACCTGGGCTAGCATAGATGGTAACACCAGTGTGTGCATATGTCCTACACAATGGAGCTGTTGTGAGTGGCTGTACACTTTGTGAGTGGCTATACCCTTCGTTATTGTGATTGGTTGGATTGATTTCTTAATTTGCACCAAAACGGTAGCATTGAGCTGTATACCCAGGGAGCTATAATAGCATGTGCATAGCAGTTCAATAGCATTTAAACAGCATGTGCATGCTATTATAGCATCCACATAGCATTAAGAAGATGATGACTGCTAACTTTAGCAGTCCATATAGCATTCTCAATAGCATACAGAATGAAAATAGCATTCCAAATAGCATGCGAGCTTCAAAGCATTCTGCATAGCATGCAAGTGAAAGAGGGAGGACTGCAAATTGAGTACAGCATTCCAATTTAGCAGTCAATTGTAAAATAATTTTAAAGTATAGCATTCTGTGGCTAAGCATAGCCTGCACAATAGCATTTCAATATATAAGCCAATCATATCATGGACTACAAGTCACATGATCAGTGATGGCCTTGTGCATTCCACAGATTAACAGTCAGTGTGGGAAATTTGAAAACTGCAGTCAGTTGAATATTGTCAGTGCAGAGTGCAGTATAGGCTGCACATAGTTTTGCAAGAAATTGTAGAAAGCATGGACATACCTTATGGCATGAATGCTTGTGGATATAATTTCATGTTCACATGCATGCACTCAACCTGTACATTGTTGTACATGTACATGACAAAATACACTGGATGACTGGCTGAAAGTCTTTGGAATTGACAACTTAAAAGCAACAGTTGAACCAAGCAATATGGAGCCTCCATACATATGTATGCAACACACTCACAAACTGCTTGTATTTGGTAAGTCTACAGTTTGTACTACCAATGGGTCTATATTTGTACATGGTGGGTATTCAGTTTTTGGCTAGATAAAGACAATTTTATTCTGGCTTTGAGTATGTTAGTGTTCATGGTGTATGTGATGTTGAACATTCCTTCATCCAATTGATTGAATTTTTGAATCAGCTGGATATCGGATGATAAAACTGTTTTTAATTGTGATGCCAACTGGCATAAAAGTGACTACTGGTTGCTTCAAAGATAATTCAAATTATAAGCAGATAATTGTTGCATGAAATTTCTGGCCATTGCTTTTATAAGCATGACAATGTTAGACAAAAACAAAGGTTGTCCCCATGTTTGTACAGCAATTCTGAGGCTGATAAAGTCTTAAAGAACAATTTTCTTATTTCATATATTTTGATCACAGTCTGTATACATAGGTCTATTAAATTTCAAAATGGTGTTAGCTGTGTTAAATATGGTTCAATACATTCAATTATTAAAGCTGATATAACACAAGTAATTTTTGGTATAAATTGTGACATTGAAAATGTATGTTGTAGGATGCCCGTGTCCATGTCACAATATAGCAGTCATGATAGCATTCACATAGCATGCATCATAGCATGCGAATGCTATTTTCATAGCATGCGAATGCTATTCTCATAGCATGCGAATGCTATTCTCATAGCATGCGAATGCTATTCTCATAGCATGCGAATGCTATTCTCATAGCATGTGAATGCTGTTATAGCATTCACGTTTGCATGCCTAAATAGCATTCTCCATAGCATGCGAATGCTATAGCTCATTTACATAATTCGGGCTTCTGACATGCTATAAAACTGCTATCTGATTGCTATCCTCAAGGAATGCTATGAAAAATGCTTTAGGAAGTACAGACATATATATATGGCTTTTTGTGAATGCTATCAAATGGCAGTTCTCATAGCATTCGCATGTTAATTGCATGCTAAAGGAATGCTAAATGACTGCAGTCAAGTTTGGTAATGGTCCAAATGAGCAGGGGTAATAATGATGTATTGCCTTGAGCACCAATACCGGTAGATACGTGTGCAAATATCCATTATTATTATCATCACTGTTCCTATACGGAGTCCAGTACACAATGGATGTAAATGTTGGCTGATTCCACACTTACCTTGAAAACCTGGCGGGCATTCACACATGAATGCATTAATCTGATGCTGATGGCAAGTTCCTCCATTAGAACACGGTTTTGATGCGCACTCATCAATATCTATTTCGCAATCCCGACCCACATACCCAGGCTGACAATTACAGGTGTATGCATCTACGTTTACGTCATCACCCGAGATATAGAGGGCGCCATTCTGACAGGGAGTCTGGTCACACAGAGGGCCTGAGCGCAGCGGCGGGCACACACAGCGGAAGGTTTTGAGCATATCCACGCATGTCGCACCATCATGGCACGGGGAAGAGGCGCACCAGTCAATATCGCCCTCGCAACGGGAACCTGTGAAGCCAGTCAAGCAGGTGCAGTGGTACGCGTTGGGCCTGTCCGTGCACGTTGCGCCATTCAAACAAGGATAGCTGAGGCATTCATTGGTGTCCACTTCACAGTCAGTGCCGCTGTAACCTGGGCTACACATACACTGGTACCCGTCCCCAAGAACCATGCATGTAGCGCCATTCTGGCAGGGGCTTGGATCAGAACAACTGTCAAAACGACAACAACAAAAAACAAATAAACAACAAATGCTCTGAATAAAACCACCTACTAAATTACTTTGTTATCATATCTAGTGAACTCAAGTTGTAAAGGATATCATAACACCTGTTAAAGAGTTGTGCTGAACTAATGAATTATTCCAAAGATCACTGAGAAATAATTTTAACCTTTTGAAACAACGAGTTGTTAGATCGGCTGTACAGTTGTTTGATATAACTCCAGAGTCCAGTCAATGGAAAATTAATTCATAAAGTTCCCGTCTAAAACCAAATTTCCATTTGAATTGACTTAAGTTGCTCTAAATACATTTAATTGGTTCATCAGAATTCTGGAACACCGGTGCAAAAAGAGGTGAAAATGATTTGCACATCTCAACTTTTGTTCACATTGAACTTTGTCAGGTAGTTTTGCATGTGACACTGTCACTTGTCTAATTAATTTCTTGTTCACACTGCACCTTGAAGCTTTTGCAACAAATTTGTGGACCAATTCACGAAACTTGTCTAAGCTGCGCAAAGTGCCAAATTATTACTACGGTAAAAGCATGTCGTGGACGAGGCTAAATGCAGTAAATGCACCACAAAGGTCACAGATGGATGTAAAAATGTGCGCATACGATCAAGGCAACATTTGGCGGGTAAAACAGTTGTAAAATTTTTCGCTCTTTTCGAGACCGGGATGGATCAACAGATTTTGTAAGAAAATTTAGACAATGGCAAACATTTTGAGAGAGACACACAGAATAGGATGTAATAATTGGTTGTGGTATTTTGGTAATAATGTGACTCTCATCATCAGTGATTCTCACTTAGCCCTTTTTTCACACTAGACCCTGTAATCATTTGAATGATTTAAGTGTATCTTACCTCTTCTTTTCCAATTCACAGTGGCCTTGTGGTAATTTATAGTAAGGATATAGCAATTAAACTACTGATTTATAAGATGAATTTGCGTCGGGGTAATATGTAAATCAATATAAGGTTTTGCCCTTCACTGACTGAGGTGTATGGACTTGACCTAAGACTAGTAGACAATTGATGTACTTTTATTTATTTATTTATTTATTTATTTATTTATTTATTCTCATCATGTAAAAACATGAAACTTGTCTCCTCGTTCTGCACACAAATATGATGTATAAAACACTTAAAAACTTCACATTAAAAACCAAAACAAAAACAAATTACATAAATGTACAAATAGGCGTAACAATATAAGAACACTGACAAGAGTACACGTAAACAGAAATAGAACAACAAATTGAGCCTGATTAAATATATAAATAAAATATCTGGATTGATAGAGCTATTATGTATAAAGACGAAAAATGGGAAGGACACAATGGCAAGCCGGGGGGGGGGGGGGGATTAGAAAGCCAGGGGGATATGACCGGGGGAAAAGGAAACAGGGAAAGGGTTTAAACTTACATGTACGAGGGGTATAAACACACACATTTACATCACGATTTAAAAAGCATAATATCTACTATAAGTCTGATTAAAAACACGAGATTGCCCTGGTTAAAAATAAGGGGGAAAAAAAAAAATGTGTCGTGTTAACGAGATTTCAATTTACTAATTTAACCTGACACAAATGGGTAGATGTGTGAGGAGGGGTGGATAAGAATATTATGAGATAAGACAGAATAAGGGCTAATCTGATTGCACTAAAAACACACTACAGCACGATTATAAAAACAGCATTATCTAGTATAATTCTTGTTAAAATGTGAAACTGCACTGGGTAAAAATGAAAGGTTGTGTCGTGTTGTACGAGAATTCAATTGACGGATTCTACCTGACCTGTTTTGTACTATGAACGAATGGAGTGGGTGAGTATTGTCTTGCATAATGGTTCTCAGTTTGGATTCAAGAGCATTGTGGTACATTGATTGAATGTCCAGAACATCAACACCAATGACCCTGCTGGCAATTTTAGTGATCCTTTTCAACTTGTTCGAATTCACAACAGTCAAACCATTAAACCAGGCGATACAACAAAAAGACATGACGGACTGTATGACACTCTGATAAAAAAGCAACATAATATCACGATTAACATGAAATAATTTCAATTTCCGCAGGAAAAAGAGCCGTTGACTAGCCTTGGCACATAACTTAAGAGTATTCACATTCCAATTCAATTTACTATCAATGTACGTCCCAAGGTACTTATACTCTGTCACAATTTGGATTTCATCACCACTAATAACAACAGGTTTGATGACATTCTGATTTTTCCTAAAATCAAAAACAATTTCTTGCGTCTTCTGCGTGTTCAATATTAGGAAGTTATCTTTGCACCAATTACAGAACTTAACAATTTCGTTCCTGTATCCAGTCTCATTGTCATGACTAATCAACTCTGTCAGTGAGGTGTCATCTGCATATTTTATCATAGGACACATAGGGTCTTCACTTCTGAGGTCACTAGTGTAAAGAGTAAAAAGCACTGGGGACAAAACGCACCCCTGTGGAGCCCCTGTATTAGTATGAACAACATTAGACAGGGAATTCATGAAACGCACCCTTTGCGTTCTGCTTGTCAAGGCGCATGCATGCGCATCTGTGTGGAAAGTTCCAGTACTTTCCTTCTCTCTTGTTCAAGGGATAGCTTTGAGATGTTAACATGTTTGGCCACTTTAGGCCTTTTCAGACAGTTATCCATGTCTCTGTGTCAATTATTGAGTTGTAGAGTTACCCTGAGGACACAACACTGACGTACAAACACTGTATACACAGTGTGTTACCTCCCGCATGAGTGTTGGAAAAAATTACTCATCAGTGACTCTTACCTTGTCTTTTCCTGCTCACAGTGGACCCCGTGATAGTTTGAAGGACACTCACAGTCATATCCGCCGATTCCGTCATGGCACACTCCGTCATTCTGGCATGGTGCCGAGGAACACTCATTAATGTTCAACTCACAGAATGTGCCTGAAGGGAAAAAGCCAGAAATGTTCCTGAATTTCGGTGTATTTTGCAGTTCTAATTTTTTTGTTTATTAATTAATTGTGTAAATGGTTATTTATGCTCTTTGGACACTGTTTAACAACATTTCCTGAATTTGATTAGCTTAATTGAACCAATTTGCAAGATTTCTTTAATTTTAGGACCATTGGTTGACAAGTGGGTGATTTGTAGTTTATATGCGAAATGGATTCGCATAGTGAAATCTCAATAAGTCAAAACCGTTTAACTCGAAAACCCTGTTAACTCAAAGTAAGAACTTATTCCCGTCAAAAGAATAGCGAAAAATAGGGAAAAATTGGGAACTTGTATGCGTATCTTGAAATTTTTTATCCATTCCCTTGAGATTTGACTTATCCAGATGTCACTGTATATGTATATATTCGATATTGGGTTTGCCCTTCACTGACGTATTTTACAAGCACAGTGTTGTCCAATTGCTTTTGAGAAAGAATTCACAAATTACTTGGTTAGGACTTGAACCCATGACCTCCTACGTCAATTGACTGACCACCTGGGATGATCTGGCTGGTTTGAATCTGATATAGCAGCGCAGGGTACCGCAACACATTTGTATGTATGTAGTTGATAGCGGGTCGCATGTGACTTCACAAGATCACAAAAACTCATAACCTAATTAGTGCGTTCACCTTATTCATTCTCATATTGCAAAACCTTCCGATTGGTATTCATGTGTAACACTGCAGGTATTCGTGCGCATCCAGTGTTGTAGCCCAGTCCATTTCCGTGAGTAAGAGTATGAGTCTAAGTGAGTATGAGTGCCGAGTACCTTGCCATATCAGTACAGTACAAGTACGAGTATGAGTTCAAGACAAATTTTTCTCCATGAGTACGAGTATGAGTGCATTTTGATGAGTCCAAGTATGATACAACACTGTGTGCAACATGGTACATCACAAATTAACCACTTCCCAAAAGTACTTGATCAAACTTGCTTCGGGATTCTTCAACACTCATACCTTGGAATGCTGGGTCACAAACGCATACGTATCCCAACAACCCATCCACGCATGTTGCATTGTGGGTACACTGGTGGTCCAGGCAGTCGTCAGTGTTGTTTTGGCAGTGTACGCCCTCGTAGCCTGGCGGACAGTCGCAGCGGTAGCCGTCGATCAAGTCCACGCAGGTAGCCTGGTGGTCACATGGGGAGCTGGCGCACTCATTTACATCTACAGCAAATATGGACCATGAGAGATGGTTGATCGAAATAGAATAATCACAAGCAAATGAGTAATGAAGTTGGGGAAAAGTACAGTCTGTTCTGATCCAATTTCACCAATTTCTGTGGCATGAAATATTCCTGTGTGTCTCAGAGGGTACATGTTTTGTTATTTTCAATTTAATAACAATCAATGTACAAAGGATAAGGTCATGCCTATGCTATCTATATACAAAGTTATTGCTGTCTTACTCCGCCTTAATAATCAAAAGGGTTATTCCCTCTGGATGGGATGCCAATTAATCCATCATGGTATACTCCGCAGCTAATGCAGGTACCCATTTACAATCCTGGTGTTAAAAGGCAATTAGACAAAGTGGATTGCCCATGGACACGATATATATCACCAGCACTGGCATAGATTTGAACCCCTGACCTTCTGATCATGGGCCACAAAATTCATTGAGTTGCTTAAATTACAATGCTGTCCTCTTTAGTTCCGACACAGAGTTCATTTATGAAAATGAGGGACTTGTGAAACCCTTTGTAGGTTGCTTCATTTTTTTAACCGACTTCAAAATTATTGAGAAGTCTTGAATATTCTTTGACTTTGACCTCATATTAGGACCTAAATATCATGCAGCTGAAGCTGGCGACAAAGCTTTTGCAAAAAAAAATTATTACTACCTATACACTGGTCCCGCATAGTGGATCCGGTACCAAGTGTTGTGCTATTGCCCGGGCACAATATGCAGTGTTGCTGCTGGCTCAGTGGTTGATAGCTTCGATGTTCACAGGGTTGGCACGGAGCCAGACCGGTTGCCGACACACTGCCTGGTGGGCAAATTTCTAAAGGAAAAGCAAAAAAAAAGGATAATTTCTTGATAGCCACAAGTCATCACAAGTCCACACACGTTGATCACAACTTAATGACAAGTCTTCCACAAGCAATTGCAAATTATCACAAGCCATCAAGAGTCAGCACAACTCATCACAAGTTAATCAGAAGTTCATATTCAAGTCAAGCGACTCTCTTGAAGAGTGAGTTTGTGAGTTATCTGACTCATCATTGGTGTCGTTGTTAGCATGCTGTGCTATTGAGAGTCAAACGACAAACGTGTCGAACGTGTCTGACTGTAACAAATTATGTGGAGTTATTGTGACTCTTCATCAGAGTCGTCGGTGCATATTGAACCTGCATTTGCATTTGACCCCAGATGAGCGTGACTCGCTTTTGTCAAGCAACTTTACGATTTTTATTTCACAACATGGGCGTCGCGAGGGGGGGGGGGCAAGGGGGGGGCACTTGCCCCCCCCCCCCCCTGGAAAAGCCAAAAAAAAAAAAAAAAAGGAAAAAAGAAAAAAAGGAAAAAGAAAAAGAGGCGAGAAAACAAAGTGGTGTAAATTTAACGAGTTGGGGGGGGGGGGGGGGGGAATGTCCCTGCCCCCCGCTAAAACTGATGAATCGAGAATGATGAGAAATACAAGCATTTTTTGGCAAAAAATTTTTTGCCTCCCTCTAGAAAAAATCCTGGCGACGTCCATGTTTCACAACGTAAGGCTTTGAAGTTGTGATAACTTGCTGGATGTTTTCGAGGATAGTCCCGAAATTAAGATTTAATGGCCTCCATAAAAAAAGTATCAGAAGAACATTTTCCCACGTATCTACTGTGATTACAGTAGAGGGGCAAATCAAGATGTTAGGCTAAGATTTAAAATACTGATTGATCTTTCAGATGTCGCATTGGGTATCGCCAACGAGACACAACTCCAGACCCCAGCCCCCTTGCCCTTCAATACTTGACATTGTGACTCATCCAGGGGGTCAGTGGAGCCCCAGAGGAGTCACATTTACTATTGTGACTCTTCAGAAACTTTATGGGAGTAGAGTAGATGAAGTCTCTTCAAGGGTGTAGTTTGAGACTGAAATGGAGTCATTTTAGACATACATGTAGTTGCTGGACTTCATTAAAGAGCAACTCTGACTGTTTTTCAGATACATCGATCGCCGATGATTGAAAATTTCAGATTATTGTATTTTGTGTTTGCCGCCCTCTTTTGACTCATGTTTGATACCATTTTTTAGCTTCATGAACTGGCTACCCAATGGTATCTTTTGTTTTTGTATCTGTACGCTTTTACATGTGAAGTGAAAAAGACGCCAGACCTTTGTTGTTCACCGCCCGTGGTTTGTTATGACCGTTCGTCATGTACGGTGAATTCAAGTAGGCTCTTTGTCAAATTGTACTGAAGAGGGACACAGGGGTGGAGGAGACAAATGAGCTAGATGCGTGCATGAGGAATCCTCACGAATGGAGGATCTGTACCCGGGCTCGGCTGTAGCCGACTTAGTGAGTGAGTGAGTGAAGAGGAACTTGGTTCATGACAAAGATGTTTTAAATCTTCTCTCTTTGGGAGACGGAAATGGCGAGAAAGGAGACCATGGCAGCAATGCAGACATTCTGAATGACATGTGATGCATCCCTAGTAGATAGACCTATGTGCAGTCATGCACGTAATATTTTCCCAGTATTTTTTGTTGGCATAAAATCCATGATAATCATGATGATACTTGAACAATATTTTACATGCTATGTCACTATTTATGCAAGGAAACATTTTCCAATAACTTAGTGGAAGGTATTTATATTTATTTCTGTACAAAAAATAATAATTTTTGGTCTCATGGAATAGTGAATATATGATTGCATGAAATACCTCAAAATTCATACACCAAAACCGCACCATTTGTGTCTCTTTAGTCATTACTTACTATGACAACCAAAAATGTATACAATTGCTTTCTGAGGTGTTTTCTCATGAAGAGTCGTATTTTTCTAGTAATGCATTCAAAAGTCACCTAGCTGTTTGTTTTTAAGATTTTTTTGCCAAAAATCTACAAAAAATCTACAAAATGGCCGCCATTGAGAGGGAGGGGGTCGTATTTTTATCCTTTTTTTAAAAATTCTTTATAGCTCACAAGCTTTCAGTTGATATTAACTTACCCAGTCATAATAAAGAATTCTATTGAAAAAAGTCCCAGAAATTAACTAAGCAAAAAAAACCTCAAATTAGGGCCGAGTTTAAAGGCTTAATGTATCATAAGCTTTCTGCTATCCTAATCGCTATTTACCCAAACACTGGTTGCTAGATTGGGATCCAAAGTCTGCAGTTGTCAATCCCTCAGGGCAAGGTAGGCACGACATTTGACCCGTGTGTGGTTGGTATTCTCCTATCATGCATCTTGAACAAGGGATGATGCCGCTGTCCGAGAAACTGCCCGCTGCACACTCATCTGTTGACAACAAACGTTTAACTAAAAGTTAAGCTTTCTTTTTGCTACAGAAATTTACAATTTTGGTACAGATATTTTAGTTACCAGCATGTTTTCTGGATGATCAAGCAAACACTACAAAATCTCCCACACCAAAAAGATTGCATCTAAGACTGGGAGATGTTGAAAACATCTGCTACCAAGCGAAGAAATAGATCATAAATAAAAAGAAAAAAATGGCCATAATCGTTTTTTTTCCCCACTGAATAAGGGAATATATATGTGTTTGGCCGGTTTTAAAAGCGGGTACAGCCCTCTGGTCATGTGTACGTGCCTCGTATATATAGTGCTAAAAATCTCCTTATATGGAGATTTAAATTGGCACACACGTGACACGTACTGCACGATGTGGCACAGAACGCTGCAGTGTTTTACCAGCAGTTTAACACCACCCACGTGATGTACCCTCAACAATAGGAATTGGTAAACTGTCTCAGGTATTTGAATAATATTTCAAACCTACCTCCCTGTCCCCATGCCACTGAGCACAATTTGAAAGTAATACATTTTGAAAGTAATAAGAGTAACAGGAGGTCTATTCTATAAAAAAAAATCATTTCCTTGAGACTTCGGGACTCGAGTGTGCTTGTCTGGAATGAGTGCATTGATCTTGACAAGCAAATATCTCAAGCAAACCTTTCTTTCATACCTCAGGATCTTCTCGATTTTGCTGATTTAATTACTTATGGAAAATGTACAATGTGAATGCACAGCTCATATACGGACTTAACATGTTTCTCATTAAACTCAGAAATTATTGCTTTATGATCAAAGTGTTTTGAGATTTTTGTTTCATGATACTTACAAATGTAAGCATCAGAGCAATTGAGCCAACTATTTCCTGCATTTTCTTAACCAAATTCAAAACATTTATTTGTTCACCATCATCATTTTCAGGCCCTCAATCAATTCTTTAAATAAAGGGTTTTTGCTTAATTTCAAAATGGTCTGTGCATAGACTGTCCAATTGGTATCTTTTTTTAAAATGTAGGGCCTATGATCAAACAAACAAAAAACTTGCATACTTTTTTTGTAAATACACGTATCTCGTCTATCTACTTACATATTATTGGGCAGAAGGCCATACACTTTGGATCAAGTTATGACTTGAAATAGACAGCATCCCCATCAAATGTAGAATTGTTAACCAAGTTATATATAAACCTGTACTGCTCTTAAAACATGAAATGTACTGTAAAAGTTTATGTGAAAAGCAAAAGAAAATACTATCACAGGAAAAAAACTTTGGTTTTATTAGTTTCCGACGCACTGTCGTCTGCTGCACTTGCATGTGGTCATGATAACATTAGCTTACATAGGCATGTAAATCGAAGCAAGTCACCAGATGAATTGTTCCAGGAAAAAGTTCATAAGACCGGTATTAATCTCTAAAAAGTGCTTGGAAAAAATGCCTCTCCACCTCATAAAAAAATTAGATCTATCACATACTTTGCTTTTGTATTTGTTTGAAGTTGTTTGACGCTTGAATGATTTCTATTGCTATTTGTTCTGGGTCAAAATATAGTTTACCAGACTATAAATGAAAAAATGATTTAATACCTTGACACAAAGTTACATTTTTGGCTCCTTGCTCCGCTGTTGAATTTCCAGGAGGACAAGGAATACAGGAGAACTGCGCCTGCTGGTCCTGGTAGAACCCTCTGGGACAAAACTGGCACTCCCCAGTTGAGCTATTGAACATGACACCTGTAGTACATGCAGCTGAGGGGAAATGATGGAACAGATGTAGGAAATGTTTTGAAATGAAGAATTGAAGATTTTATTTCCAAAACTCAATATATTTTTTTGGCCGGGCAAAAAATAACAGTGACAAAGTTACATGGCTTTCAAACTAACAAACAAAGTACAACATCCGTTTCATTGTATTCTTCAATTGTGTTCAAAGTACATGTAACAGCCATTAAACTCACTTTGTGCTAAACTTTTGTTAATTCTCGTACGCTAATAATATGTCGTGCACCTGGGGCTCACTGGCGGGGGTCATGGGTCAAAGAGCGAGACGCGCTGACAAGTTGTTACAAATGTATACATTGGTGGGGGACCGAGTGGGGGAAAATGCAAGAGAGAAGATTTGTGAGTGTGTTTGTCGGTGGTTGCTGGAATCAAAAGAGGAGCAGTTCCCTCCAAGTTAAAAAAGATTTGAGCTGACTGGAGTACCCCTTGTCTGGCTTCTTCCTTTACCGGAGACTCATTGCCTTTGGGCAGGGCAAAATTTTAATTATAATACCGCTACATGAAGAAGAGCAGTTTTACTGTCTTGAAACATTGATTAAACCCACTCCAGCCAGCAATGCATTGGTTCTGTGTCACCCTCTCTTTATTAACCTGTATTATTACATATGCGTCAGTGTTGTAGTCGAGTACTTTTTCCGAGTACCGAGTACTGCCAAGAAGTAAGGTTACCGAGTACTACTTGTACTTCCAAGTACAAGTTCAGGTCTCTGAGTACGAGTACTTGTACTTCCGAGTACGAGTATACCTTTATTTCCGAATACGGCCATATGGCAAATGGTTCATTGTTCGTAATTTGCCCAGGCCCAGTCAGACCGATATACAGACCCACTCACGGCTAGCTGTTAAATGTGTTTGTCCGGACGTGCACAGAGAAAAATCAGGAATCTTTGATTTCTCTGCAAGCCAATCATCTATTTCTAACTGAAAATATCGATAATAAAATAAGGCCGTGGTAAGTCAAACTATACCATTTTTTCTTCGAGAACTGCTATTCGAGTACGAGTACTTTGATGATCGAGTACAATTTCAACATGTCAAGTATGAGTACTTTGCTGCCCGAGTACGAGTACCGTCATTTCGAGTACGAGTACTTTGACATTCGAGTACGAGTACGAGTACTCCAAAAAGAGTACTCGAGTAGTATTTGAGTACGAGTACCGAGTACAAGTACTACAACACTGGTATGCGTACCCAATGTATTACACTTTTGTAATGCCAAAACTGTTGGGCAAACTACGTCCGCAATAATTACGCATGGTTGTGTAATCAAATTACTTTTTGCCCTTCACTGACGTATAAACACTGTATACTCAGTGTGTTACCTCCCGAGTGAAAGTTGGAAAAAAATCACTCGGATGGGACTTGAGCCCACAACCTCCTGCTTTCAAGTGCGGATGTCTTACCACTCGACCACCAAGCTAATGGGATCGGTTGGCTGGTTCGAATCTGATTTATGCCTACATAGCAGCGGGTTCATCTTTCTCTGACAAGTGACTTGCTCTGTTCATAATTTCATTTATACATTCTGTAACATACCCGCATTGTATATGTACACTTGTTGATGTTCGGCCAACAGATGGCGCCCTCCATAATTAACCTAGCATTCCACGCTTCTTGAAAAGAGACTACGTATATGTCTGAATAAAACACTGAGTCAGTCCGAAACAGTTCTCCTCAGTTCTCCTTTACACATTCATTCTTGAGAGTGTGCTATTTGAGGTAGTTACTGGCCCTGCTCCAAGAAGGCCTATAAAAAGGGTTTGTCCCGGTGTTTCTGGCCTCCTAGTTATACTCCCTTGTGGAAGTACTGAGGAGAAGAACCAACCAAGTACCAACCAAATCTTGAGAACAAAATCCACTGTTTCAGTCATTCAAAACTAATATATAATGTAAGTTAGAGATAGCTTGAGTAACTTCAGCGCTTATGCTCATCGGGAAATCAACAAAATTATAACGCTGGAGGGCAATTCCGTGAAAATGTCATCCTGGGGTCATAAATTGTTTTTCATAATAAATGGTCATGTTGGCTACCATTTTTAAGCTGATCAGGTACAGAATACAAAAATGTCACTCAATTTTACATCAATGCAAAATTGACCAGAAAATGGGTGAAAAAAGGCACTTATTGGTTAAAAAGCAAAATTTTAATGAATTGCATTTTAGGTATATTTTGACAATTAAATAAGTATATTTTGACAAATTGTTCTTGTATTTTGTCATTTTTAAGCAAAAAGCTGCCTTTTTTTGCCTAGAATTCCAAAACTGAATTTGTTTTGCATTTTACCCAAAATCCTGCTGCTTTTAAATTTTACCAAAACTATGTGTCAGTCTGTTACCGAAGTATCTAAAAAATATTTTTTAGTCTTTTATATTAGTTAGGAATAACTTCTTCTTTTTTGTTTGATTCTCTGTAGCCATCAAGCTACCGTATGAACAAAATTGACAAAGAAAATTCATATATCTTTTTTTTATCATTCAAATAAACCATGGTAACAGACGGATGCCTGCGGTAACAGACTGATGACGGTAACAGACTGACACATGCACAAGTCTATGGCTCTAGATGTAAGGCATTGTGGGTAAAGTGCATAGTTAAATCAGTGGCCAAGGTGAAGGTATTCTGACCACTACCCTACTTCAGCCACTATGCTTTGGCATATTTTCCTGAAATTTGGCAAGAATGCTGGCTGGTACCAGTAAGGGGCCATTCAGAATTTTCAATGTTTTAAAATTTCGACTTTTTTTCCAAATTATTTTGACCCACCCACCCACCCCTAATTTCGATTAATAAAAAACTGAACATTTATTGTAGCCTACATGTACATGCACTTGCATGTACAGTGTACATATACTTGAACATGTACATGTATACCCATGTACATGTACATGTGTGTACATGTGTGTCTAGTTCAGTGACGGCGTGAAGTTGTCAGTCTTCCTCTTTTGCAGTGGTGGCCTTCATCAGTTTTCTTGTGTTTTGCCAGCTGATATGCTGTTGGGAAAGGCAGGTTGCAGTCTTGGAAGCCACAAAGATGACCGAGGTTTTGTCATTTTCTGGATTAGCCCCATAAATGTGGCCAACTTACTGGATTGCCTCTGTAAATAAAGGTTACACTGCGACCATGTAAAAAAACGTGTCTATTTTTCGTGAAATTTCCAGATTCGTTTGCACATCAAAATTTCAACATGAAATTTTTCGAAAAATCGACATCTGAAAAAGGCAGCACTTTCTAATTAGCCTATAAAGGGGGTGAGTATGCTTCTAAAGCAAAAATAAACTACAAACTAAGCCTAAATGTGAAAATCAAAATTTAACAAAGTTCAACATGTTTTTGTATATGGTGGCAGTGTGGCTTATTTACGGAGGCAGTCCAGTAAATTGGGCACATTTATGGGGCTATTTCTGGATGAGGTGGATGACATGTGACATACGAGGTTGTGCCTGTCACGTGAGGTAGCTGAGAAAAACATTCCCTCGTACCCCCTGCCCTGTTTGCAGGGCGGGGTACGAGCGAAAGAAAAACATCAGGTTTGGGCAGTCATCACATCACAGGCTGCGGTCTTCTTAGTCTTGGAGACCAGTGGTTGAATAGTCCAGTTTTTATAGCGATTGGTAATCGACACCCGCGGCGTGTTATAGAGCCGATCTAGTACACCTGGTACCCTGCTGCCTCTGCACGGCCTAACCGCTCCAAACGCCCGGCGTCCAAGTCTACTGAAAAACCACCTCCTTCTCATGCCACAGTGGGTCTATATACACGTACATGACATACATGTACAGTACATACAGGACAAGTTGGAAAAGAAACATGCATCGCGATATCGGAACGCTTGCGTGTTGTTCAGGCAAGTCAAAAGATCTATCTTTCTTTGTTTTTTAATCTTTTTTCCATGGAAAGTGAATTTCGATTTTAATTATTTAGCTTGACCCACCCACCCACAATTTGGAAAAAAGATCGAAATTTTAAAACATTGAAAATTCTGAATGGCCCCTAAGTACTTAATAATTTGAACTCATTTGGGTGTGCTACTGCCACCACAAGAGGGCGCTTTACTTTTTTATGTTTGCTATTTTTTTTGTCAAAAAACAGTATTTTTGGCATAACTTGTACATTTTGCATTCAAATGCTTTCAAATTTGTTACAAATATTGTTTTGGGTCAATATAGAAGCATTCAAACAACCTTCGCCATCCTACAGCAACACTAGAGGGCCCCATCAACTTTTGGGGCCAAAATCATCATTTGATTTTGACCAACACCAGGGATGAGATTGTCAATTATAAAAAGTCTGAAAATTGATAACATGTCTGAAAGATGCATCTTATGTCTTCTTTCAGATTCGAAAAGTCTGATTACGGACAAAAATCTTAAAAATCTCATGCCTGCAACACAAAAAGGAGGGGGTTCTGTTATATATCTTGCTACGTATGCAAGTTGGACTTTCAAGTTGATATTCACACACACACAAACACACACACAAAACCTGCCCTGAATTCCAACAGAGTAATATCTTGAACATGAATGCCACTTGCCCTTTAACAATGCATGTCTGTACATGTACATGTGCAGAACATAAGCATGCACTTGATTTCGAAAAATTAGCAAGTCTAATTTGATCAATCCACATTATTCCCTGCAACAACTTGACCAATAAGAGTAGCCATTCTTTCAAGATTCGTTTATTGTTGCAGTACATGTAGGTCTCAAAGAGTAGAACACATTCTCCAAATGTTTGGAAAATTGAACTGAAAGTTGTGCTAAAAAACACATTTTGTAAAAATTGCTTTTTGTACAGAAGTACCCTTTTTCACCAGCAGTTTACCCCCCCCCCCCAAAAAAAATAACTGTTTGTTTAAGAGTTCCTTTTTTTCTTACAAAGGTGCCCTTTTTTTCACCAGCAGCCGTTTTAAATGAATGCCTTTTTTGGCAACGTTGGCAATTATACCGCCCTGAAAAGCACCACCTATTGTCTGATAATGCCCGTGATCGTCCAGTTTGAACCATGCCCCGATAGAAAGATGGTGTCCAGCCCCCCCCCCCCCCACGCCATTGAACTCAAGATTTGCCGGTAATTCTGCAGGTTGTGGGTTGGGGTCCAGCCTGGGGTTATGGTGTGTGTGCCCTTGGGCAAGGCACTGTTGTGTCACTCATTTGTCTCCTAACGTAGGAGTAAATGGATATAAGGAGGGTCGAGTTGGTACTTGTGATAGGTTTTATGTTCTTTGCACCGATATAGCAACATGGAATTGTTTATCCCCATAGGAACTTGAGATGTTCTTTAGTATGTTATGGGCCCAATGAGTAGGGTAATAATGATGATGTGCCACCTTGAGCACCAATACTGCAGGTGCAAATTTGCTATTATATAACATTATATCATAAGTATTACATTTATTTGGTACTTACTACAGACATAGTCATCATTGTTAGCGATGTATCCTGGCTCACAATCAATCTCTGCATATCCGTAACTCATTGAGTCCTCGTCAAGTGTCACGTTTATGCCTTCCACCTGAAGCGGCGGAATGCTTCCGTTGCTCATTTTGTTAATCAAAGTGTCAGCTGCCGCCATCATGGTACTCTCTGCACTGAGTACGGCATTGAAGCTGCTGTCGCCCTCAGAATGCGGGACAGGCATGCTGATATCAAAGCTGATAGAGACCTGCTCATTTACGGCAGTTCTGCGTTGTCTGAATCGTGATAGCATATGTTCTTTCTCCAAATATTTTTTCTCTTTAAGTTTCACGTCTCGTGCTCGGCTTGGCAAATCTTCAAGAGCTCTACGACGTCTGCGCGTGCTCGGGCCACAAATGACCTGAACATTCTGCACAGTGCACTGGTCTGTCGGCTGGCAGAGATTCGCGTCCTGCAGAAGCGTGATGAAAGCGGCAGCGATGCTGTCCCTGGTCGACTGACTGCTGCAATCTCCGGAGAAATACATCACGTCTACGGGAAGTTGGGAATTGCCAGGACGTCTTGCCTCTAATGAACCAAAACAAAAACACTATAATTTACTATTCATTAGAATTCCAGGCCCACGTATATATATTAAAAATACAAGTACACAGTATATAAACAAGTTACTGAAGAGTGATTTCCAAAATGCAATAATCCATCTGAAAAAATTGAAAAAAAAATGTACTGTTATGAAAACTGATACAATATTGACAGCTGTTTTTAAGGTTTTTTTTTTTGCTTAAAATTGTCTATTAAAATGTGATAAGATAAAATCCATTGAAACCTACTTCGGCAACCAGAACAGGGCAGGATTCTAAAGGTAACAAAACACATTTATCGCGTTTTGGAAAAACATATTAAATTAGAAGTTAAAAAAAAAATTAAGAATATAATATACAAATAGATAATGACAACTACAAAAACACAAACAATTCAAAACGCAGGTCTGAAGGATTGCCTGAAAGTAAAAAGCTCATTTCAAGAGGATTTCCACTGCAAAAGCATAACGGATACAATGTAAAACCATGTAAACAAAACGGCAGTTCAAAAACCGTAATGGCCTCCTCCCAGCCATTCTTAAAGCGGCCTGTCAAAAATAACCCTTACATGATTTTGATTTCCATAACTTTTCCATGATTTCCAGGGCAACTTTCTTCCCAGGACTTTCCATGATTTTTTCATGACCCTTACATGATCTTGATTTCCATAACTTTTCCATGATTTCCAGGACAACTTTCTTCCCAGGACTTTCCATGATTCTTTCCATGACCCCTTTATGATCTTGATTTCCATATCTTTTCCTTGATTTCCAGGACAACTTTCTTCCCAGGACTTTCCATGATTTTTCCATGAACCTTACATGATCTTGATTTCCATAACTTTTCCATGATTTCCAGGACAACTCTCTTCCCGGGACTTTCCATGATTTTTCCATGACCCTGGGAACCCTGTTTATGCAAACAGCCTTTTACCGGAGAACTCCTTTAGCTGCACGCTTCTGAGGATGTTGGATTGCAAGCATCTAATAAACTGTGCTTTACCTCTGCACGTCGGGGGGAAATTAACGCACTGAAAATAGTTTTTCGTACAGTTGTAAGCAATCTAACGGAAAATATATATTAATGAAGTTTGGGATTCGCAACGTACTGGTAGTTTTGGGGCTGGGGCGGTATTGGGCCTCAAGCTGGGTCAAACAACATTTTTAGGGGGTTGACATTTGAGAAATTGTCATTTATTGTACTTGTTTACTGTTATTTTATTTTGATGTATTTATACATGTAAGCAGTGTGTACTAGATTTATTACCTGTCTCGACTTGATGCAATTCAATCTGTGATTGCAACATCTTGTCATAAGAAACAAATAACCATATATCCATTTATATATTAACTGAAGCTTTGTATGACAGATGAGATGAACTAAAAAAATTGTGGAACAAAATCTCTTCTCGGAATTAGAAGTGTAGTTGTGAAACAAGCAACCAGCATCATGCATCCAGCCCACCCAAGCGCATCCAGCATCCTAGATCCGACGCACCCCAGCGCATCCAGAATCCTACATCCGACGCACCCCAGCGCATCCAGCATCCTACATCTGACACACCCCAGCGCATCCAGAATCCTACATCCGACGCACCCCAGCGTATCCAGCATCCTACATCTGACACACCCCAGCGCATCCAGCATCCTACATCTGACACACCCCAGTGCATCCAGCATTCTACATCCGACACACCCCAGCGCATCCAGAATCCTACATCCGACACACCCCAGCGCATCCAGAATCCTACATCTGACACACCCCAGCGCATCCAGCATCCTACATCTGACACACCCCAGCGCATCCAGCATTCTACATCCGACACACCCCAGCGCATCCAGAATCCTACATCTGACACACCCCAGCGCATCCAGCATTCTACATCTGACACACCCCAGCGCATCCAGCATCCTACATCTGACACACCCCAGCGCATCCAGAATCCTACATCTGACGCACCCCAGCGCATCCAGCATCCTACATCCGACACACCCCAGCGCATCCAGCATCCTACATCTGACACACCCCAGCGCATCCAGCATCCTACATCTGACACACCCCAGTGCATCCAGCATCCTACATCCGACGCACCCAAGCACATCCAGCATCCTACGTCCAACACACCCCAGCGCATCCAGCATCCTACATCTGACACACCCCAGCACATCCAGCATCCTACATCTGACACACCCCAGTGCATCCAGCATCCTACATCTGACACACCCTGGCTCGCGCATCCAGAATCCTACGTCCAACACACCCCAGCGCATCCAGCATCCTACATCCGACGCACCCCAGCGCATCCAGCATCCTACATCCGACGCACCCCAGCGCATCCAGCATCCTACATCTGACACACCCCAGCGCATCCAGCATCCTACGTCCAACACATCCCAGCGCATCCAGCATCCTACATCCGACGCACCCCAGCGCATCCAGCATCCTACATCTGACACACCCCAGAGCATCCAGCATCCTACGTCCAACACACCCCAGCGCATCCAGCATCCTACATCTGACACACCCCAGCGCATCCAGCATCCTACATCTGACACACCCAAGCGTTTCCAGCATCCTACATCTGACACACCCCAGCGCATCCAGCATCCTACATCTGACACACCCCAGCGCATCCAGCATCCTACGTCCAACACACCCCAGCGCATCCAGCATCCTACATTTGACGCACCCCAGCGCATCCAGCATCCTACATCTGACACACCCCAGCACATCCAGCATCCTACATCAGACACACCCTGGCTCGCGCATCCAGAATCCTACGTCCAACACACCCCAGCGCATCCTACATCCGACACACCCCACTGCACACGCATTCAGCCACAAAACCTCCAGCATCCGCACTTATCACTCACCCTCCTGAGGATGGACAGAGCCTCCTCTCCAAATGTTGAGTTCTACACTCAACCAACCGGTTCTTTTTCAGAACCACACTTCTTCCAAGAAGAGATTTCTTTCCACATGGTGTACGTTGCTCGACATGTTTCTATTTTCATTCATCCATCTGTTTATCTATTGGATTCTTTATCCAACATTCTACATCCTTAAACAGGGGAAAATAATGCAATAGTGATTACCCTGAAACTTGAATTTGACCCCTTGATCTACTTTTCACCATTATGGCCTTCTTCCATGCACTCAGCTGATCATTTATGAACATACCTGAGCAATCTGGAATAAAATCGTGAGGACTCCAGATGCCTGACAAGCCACAAATGTACTGAACGGGTGGTCTCTGATCACTGCTAAGCCTTGGAATATCATACATCTCATTGCAGTGGATGCTGCATATAGTACCCTGGACCCAAAGAGCGCAGGTAAGGGCCCCATTTGCAGGGGCATCCAAACTACGACACGACGCATCTGTTCCAATGATAAAGACAGATGAACATGACATCCATTATCAGAGGTTTGTTTTCTGACAATTAACAATTGTTGACTGCTGTGATTATAGAAATGGTGTTTTAACACCCAAAGGGGCAACATGCATAGCAGCCAAGGGGGGAGGAGCAACAATGCTTGTATGGGGAGTGTAGGGGGGAATTACCCCCCCCCCCCCACCTCCTTTGGCTACGGCAACCTACGTCTCTTGTTGCGCATGATGGAAACCATAGACATAACAAAATATTTTTTAACTTTTAAGTTAAAAATTGATACTTCAACATCCAATTTACTTAAGTAAAACAGTATATGGAGCGATAGGCATACAACGTGTGATACATGCACTTTTGAACATCAGCGCCCTCTAAAGTTAGGTGACAACCTCCCCTCTGAGTCTCCCCACCACTGTGACTCTGTGCCCAGCTCAATCTCACACCCAGAAGCTGAATATTTCCAAAACACAATAAATGCTTTTTTGTTACCTTTAATAAAATCCCATGCTCTCCTGGCTGCTTAAAGTCAGTTATGGCTTAAATAAACACAATTTAAGAATAAAGTAGAGCAAAAAGTTTAGAAACAGCTGTTATATAGTTGTTAGTCTTTAGTAAGTGGATGTATTGTGTTTTGGAAATAAACTCTTCATATTTCTCAGGTTTTAACTCACACTGTATTGTCACCGTGAATTCACATGTTGCAGTCTTTCCGTTGTCAGTGTCCCGCGCCGTGTACATCACGTTATGCGTCCCCACCGTGAAGTTGTCTCGGTTACCCAGTCCCCTGTTACTGGTGACCACCAACTCATCTCCAGAAGGATCGCGGAATAAAGGCTTCTCCCAGGTGACTTCCGTTACACTAGCCTGAGCTGTGAAACTGTAGCTGTCTGGGCAGAAGACAACCTCCGGTGCCCTCTCATCTATTAAATAGCAATGACACTTCAAGCTTATAAATAGGTATGATTTATGAGTATTACCTATTATAACTTATTACCTGTCTCTAATACTGTACTTTCATTGGTCTAGAACAACCACGTGTCCAGTCTGTAAAAATGACCATTTACATTACAGCCACTGCGTTGCATATAAATTACCTCATATACACTGCATGGTAAATTACCTCTGCATCATGTGTATGTGCAGGGCAGGCCCCACAAACAAACAACTTCAATTGTGGGCCCCAGTGTCCCAATTTTGTACACGATCGTCAATTGTGGACCTTCAAGAATTGTGGACCCAACTGTCCTCTATATGAATATAACAGAAGTCCGACATTACCTGACCCCTAAAAATTGTCTATAGTTTTTTCTTAAGGCAAAATCACGTCAGTTTTGGCACCCCTTGGACATGTGAGGGGGATGGCACTCAATGGAGTTTAAACAAAGCCATTTTGCCCAAAAAACACACCCTTTCTTGCTCTTGTTCACTCGTGCTGACATGCAGAGGACCGGACTTTGCACTCACCGAGTATGTAGACCCAGAAAATGCAACTGACGGAGTTGCCGGCCTCATCACTAAACGTGTACGTCACTTCAGTGGACTTGTTGAACAAATACGGCGAAGTGATATCGGCTGGTAACGTCACGAGAGTCAAGGTACCAGACTGGCTGTTGTCTTGGGCTCTAGGCAGGTCAAAGGTCACAGAGTACCCGGATGGGTCTGTAACTGTGGCGTAAATGGGTCCCGGGCAAAAGGTGAGGAAAGGGGGAGTTTGATCTAACAGGAAAAACAAGACGGTAAACCTTTATTTTAATAATACACTCAAAAATACCCGAGACAGTTTACCTATTCCTATTGGTATCAGGCCCATCATATGGGTGTTTTTAAACCACCGTATCTTACTGATGTTTAAAACTGGTTGTGAGACCCTGTGCTCCATGCCACATTTGCGCTACGAGCCCTGAGCACCGTCTACAACCTGGTGCTCGGGAACCATTGACATACATGATCTCCATAAAAAGAGACGAAAGACCTAAAGCACTAGACTGCTCAATCAAAATGCAATGGGGTGACAAACAGATAAAATTTCTGTCTTTACGGAAATTTTTGTTTTATCATTATTATGTTGTCATTATTTATAAAGACTAAAACAAGATGTAAGAAGTTATCCCGTGAGCACGAGTGGAACACAGAAAAATGTAGTGCATCTGTGTCCCACATAACACGAGTCCGAAGGCCGAACGATATGTGGGACAAAGACCCACTACATTTTCCATGTTCCGAAAGCGCAACCACGATGACAACAATCAAACTTGACACACAGTAAATATGAACTAGCACACTTTGCGAGAACCTTTTAGCAGTTTAGCACATGTAGCTGGAATATCACTTGCATCTTGGAATAGTACAATACGCAGGGTGCGATATGGACCGTGCAATACCGCATAATATATCACACTGTTGTTGCCATAGATCGACCAATCAGCATTTACGATACAAGTTTGCTTGTATAATAAATTATAATAACATGGTATAACAAGACATTTGTTGTCTATTGTGATATTATAGTAAATGGGTTTTGTACTGTCTCGAGGGCAAATGGCAGCCATATTGGCTTCACCTCTCTTATGCAAAAACCCCATGGACAACAATTCTATACTGTTTTTGCACCACTATTAACCCCTATAATACCTTCACAACTTGTCGGTAGATTGGCTGAGCCACCTTCCCACGAGCCTTGAACTCCGCACACGATAGACGAGACACCCCCGGTAAGAACCAATCCATTCAAACAGTAGAAACTACACAGGGTACCAGCTAATGGAGTACCAACTCTGCAGATTGATGGAACGACTTGTACACCGGTCGGCAAAACTAAGGCATCACAGCTGACCACTGAAAATATCATAACAATTGAAAATAAATGATTCGGATATGATAGTTGTGTAACATTGACTTGAAAGCCTGTCTGAGAATTAACAAACTGCTCAAATTTTTACTGGATCCAAAGGGGAAGCCTATTGTCCTCTGAACTAAGATGACTGACTGACTAATACATACCTGGGCCAGTGGCCATAGGTTGGGGAGTCTTGCACGCGTGTAGGCGGACCGCACACGCAATAACGCACACATGACACATCCACACAGGATTGTTTCACATTCAAGACTGCCTTCACATGCAAGCAGCGGACCAGAGCTGACAGCCCGCAATGGCACGCTTGACTGATTTAATCTCATTGGTAAGCAAATACATGTACTTTTAAAATCACCACTGACTGACTGACTCGCCGACTGAGTTATGAGTGATTGACTGACTGACTGACTCCCCACTGACTACTGACTGACTGATTCCCCGACTCCCCACTGACCGACCGACTCCCAACTGACTTACTGATTGATTTGTGACTGATTGACTGACTGGCTTAATACTGACCGACTACTGACTCACTGACAAATTAGAGATTAACTGACTTGACCGACTGACTGACTATTGACTGAGTCGTGTGGACTGACCGACTAACTTGTGGACTGACGACTGAGTCATTAAGTGTAAATAACGTGCTATAAACTGCAACTTAATGAGAGCATTAAGTCTCCTTTACCATGAATTTTCCGTTTTGTTTTGTTTATTTGTATTTTTTATGGAGGTGGAATGCCCCACTTTATTTTGCCCCCTTCCCCCTCCCCCTTGATCTGCCTTTGGTCATAGTCTGCTCCTAGAGTCCATACAACAACCTCGTAATTTAACTGGGGAAACAAAGCATAAAATATTTGACTTACGTTCACACCGGGGTGTTTCTGCTCGCTGCCAGTATGTGTTGTTCCCGTCAAACACGCAGGTCACTTCACTGGAACCAACCAACTGGTACCCAACACTGCTGCACTGTACTCGACACACGCTGCCATAGACCCTCTGACACTCACCTACAAACTCTCCAAAGAATGGTGGGGCGAGGACAGGGCATCTGCGAGCTGACAACAATTTAAATTACAGAAAGAAACTGGTGAATTGGGCGACTTCTGGAAAAATCAAGACTTACTCCACTGTGACAGTTTCAAGTTTATAGTCATGGTAATCTTTTGCCCATTTCAAACTGGCAATCCAGTTTGTCCCACCAAACCAAGTATTAATTGGGAGAGATTTAAATTATATGTTTTGGTTCCATACAAACTGGACTGGCCGGACCCAGTCATTTCTAAATATTTTGAATGCCAAACTATTAATTTACAAATATACTTAGAAATAATTTAGTTTGATGCAACTCTAGAGTATTAGTCTGAAACTGGGTTTGACCAATCTGGGCAGGCTATCAATTCTATCATGAAGGCTCCCTTCAATGGCATAAGCATTGCAGTGATCAGATAATCTGTCATGGGGCAGTTGCTTTGAACATGAGTATAAAGGTTTCTCCATTGAAGGGGGCGTCATAAGTTTACATGTTCACGTGCCTGAATTTTTCTGAAAGTAGAACTTACAATGGCTTTGCCTTCTGACAACTAATTTTGTAAGCACTGTATACTTAGTGTTGTCTGAGAGCTCAGGTGGGATCCGAAACCAAAACCTCCTTCTAGTGCAGATGTCTTAACCATCGAGCTTGCCAGTGTCAGCTGACTGGCTTGAAAAAGCACTGCCAAAATCAATATAATAATGTTGGCATGTGCTTGCCCTTAACCTAAATTAAGTAGCAAATTGAGCACACTTCTTTTCTTCTAATTATTGTTCTGTAGCACCTTGACGTCCTATTATTAGTTATCACTGATGGCACTCGGCTGTACTTGTCTTTTAAACCTGGTTCAAGTGTCACACAGGCTGCACTGAGCCGTTGAGGCTATGGAAAACTGTATTAGAGAAATAACAGCATGGATGCTTCATGATAGATTAATGATTACTGATGACAAAACTGAATTTCTCAGTTGATAACCTTAAAATTGGCAGTACTCGCATTGCTCCAAGTGCGTCAGTTAGAAATTTGGGAGCTTGGTTTGACTCAAATTAGCAACATTAGCAAGTTGTTGTCACTCTCGTACATGCATTTGTTACCAACAGCCTTGATTATTGTAATAGTGACATCCCTCTGGTCTCAGATTCGGTGCAGAAGGCACAAGCTCTGCTCCTCAGCGTGGAAGGCGAGTACAAAAAGATTGGTCTGCAGATCAATGCCAAGAAGATGGAAGTCATGTGCTTCAACATCAACACTGGGGATGTGAAAGTCAACACCAAGGCACTACGTTACCCTAGCAGTGAGAAAAGACTTCAAGTACCTTGGCTCCTGCATCATCTTAACAGACAAGGACATCTGAGTGAGGAAAGTACAGGCTTGGAAGGCTTGCCAAATCCTGAAGCAGATCTGGAAGTCTATGATGCCGGATAAACTCAAACGAGCTCCATTCCGTGCATCTGTAGAGTCCATCCTACTTTACGGCTCTGAGGCATGGACCCTTACTACAAAGCAAGAGGCTCGACTCGATGGCTGCTACACTCGCATGCTGAGGATGGCTCTAGACGTGAGTTGGAGAGACAAAGTCAGGAATGAGGTGCTCTATGGCAACCTGCCAAGGATCTCCACAACTATCAGAACTAGGCGTCTGCGATTGGATGGACACTGCGTATGTATGACATCCAGAGATAGCTGCAAGCCAACTCATCCAAAGGGAACCCACATATGGGGTAGCCTCTTGAGGTGGGCAGACACTACCCTATGTGGACCAGCTGTGTCGTGACACTGGGCTTGCCTCCACAGCCGAGATCAGGATTGCCATGCGAGACTGTGATGTATGGCGTACCTTTGTTGCAGTCCGACGAGAGTCGACTTGATGATGATGATTGTAACAGTCTTCTGTATGGCTTACCCGCCTCTGAAATAGCTAAGTTACAACGAGTTCAAAATGCAGCTGCTAGGCTAGTTAGCAACACTCAGAAATTCAACCACATATCATCGGGCTTGTGTCAATTACATTGGCTGCCAGTAACATTTTGTATAGATTTTAAAATACTTCTTTTAATGTTCAAAGCTTTACACTGTCTATCCCCAAAGTACATCAGTGAGGCATCGTGAAGAAAATTCTTGAAGTCAGTGCTGCTGTGGCTTGAATCAGAATGAAGCTGATCACACTTGCACATATAAACCCATTTCATGACACATAGAGACAATACTAATTATTTCAATGAACTGGTTGCTATGAAAAAGCATCTGTTTCCATGACTCATGAGGGAGAGTACTTGGAAACAGGATGTGGGGGACCTCCCATGTGGGGGCCATTGACCAACACTTACCATGAGTTGTGGTTAGTGTTATTTGTGCATCAAATGTATTTCTCCTGTAGTTCAATAAAACAAAAATCATTCTTGATTTTTTCCCTTACTGCTTACATTCCAACAATAAAGTGTAGAATATGCAAAACACCTGGGGTAGATCTTTTTAAATGCAGCCCCTGAACTATGGAATAAGTTGCCTGCTGATATCCAACAATCGCGGTCCATTGACATATTTAAGCGTAAAGTAAAGATCTATCTTTTTAAACTGGCTTTTAACTAATTGTATTGCTCATCTATCAGCCCCAGAATTTCTGTTTTTGTTTTTAAGCGTTAAGTCATGACTTATCTTTTTAAACTGGTTTTTATCTAATGTTGATGTTCATGTATCGGTGTATTTTTAATTCTACCTCGTAACCACATAGCACTTCGGCCTTACGTGAGATTGCAACTGCCACCGGTATTTCTTCGTCACACTTGAGTCCTTTGTCAAAAGGATGAATCTCCCTATAAAAGTGATCCCCACGATCCATGCCTTAGTGCATTTTCGTGACCGGTATAACTTCGTATAGCAGCAATGTCCACGCATCTCTCCGCGGACATTTTGAGTTTACTCAACGGTCCTTCGGACCTTGAGTGCAGTGGTGTTGTGGCAAACGCCGACCCACTCCCGTCTACATGTACTTCGCTCTCTGCCGCCGGTGGTAATCCACCGGTCGTTAAGGCCAAGGCGAAGTCAAAGAAATCAACCAGATCCTCGGACGAGGTCACCAGACAAGAGTTTGCGTCTCTTCAAGACAAGATTTCAACGATGGCAGACGCAATGCAAACTCTCCAGTCTACAGTCTTGGCTTCGTTGGGGAACCCGCCAACGAAGAAACAGAAAGTCGACCATGTAGTAGCAGACCAAGCAGCAAGTTCATCAAGCGACGAGTCGCTTGCAACGGGCCAGCTAATTGACAACCTTCTCAAACCCGATGCCGATGATAATTCATCAGCCGGGGTACTCACCGCAGTAGAACAGTTCTACTCTGGAGAAGATTCTGGGAACAAGGTTGATAAGAAACTAGCGGGCGTCATCAGCAAACTACTCCGCAAGAAAACATCAGAAGAGAAGGTAGCAGAGAAACTTAATAGTTTCAAGCGACCATCTAACATTCCAGAAATGGATGTTACCAGAGTTAATCCAGAAATCTGGAATTCTCTGCAGTCCAAGACAAGATCAACGGACATCAAACTACAAAAGATTGAACATGCGGCACAAAAAGGTATGGTGCCCATTGTGTCATGCATTGAGACTCTAATGAGTAGCAAGAGCGTGGATCACAAAACGCTAGTGACTAATCTACTGGATTCAATGGCTATAATTGGCCATACCATCACCCAGCTTAATTTCAGGCATAGAGAGCTTATCAAGCCCGATTTTGAACCAGCAGTATTCGTCTCTTTGTTCTGCCCAAGTGCCCGTAACCGGGCTCTTGTTTGGGGATGATTTATCCAAACAGTGCAAAGATATTCAAGAAACGAATAAACTAGGCCAAAAATTTGGCCAGCGTTTGAGTTCGTCAGCTGCTCCGAAATCGGATAGAGCAAGACAAAGGGGAAATGGTAAGACTTTCCACATGTACAGTGGGCAAACGCGGCAGGGAAACTCCAGTCGCCCAAAACGTTGGAAGAAAAGAAAGCCAGCACAGACACGGCAGCAATCCGATGCCAAGTAAAATCGGTGAGCTACATGTAGCACCAATGTGATAACACTCAGGTTGTGGGGTTATTGGCAGGTAAACTCGCAAATCATATAGCCAAATGGCGCGAGATTACATCTGATGATTGGGTGCTTGATGCTATTCAGCACTACCATATTGAACTCATTAAAATGCCATACCAAACTCGCATTCCAAGGGAATTGCGTTTTGAAACCCCTGAGGCTGAAATTATAGCCACAGAAATTGCCAAAATGCTCGAAAAAGGAGCTATAGTGCAAACGAATCATACTGATGGTGAATTTATTTAAAATATTTTCATCAGACCTAAAAAGGATGGTTCTTTTCCGACCCATTATAAATCTTAAGGGTTTTAATACGTTTGTGGCATATTTCCATTTCAAAATGGAGACTGCACAGCAATTCAGCTGATACGGCCTCAATGTTACATGGCCTCTATAGATCTTAAGGATGCATTTTTTGCAGTACATGTACCTATAGCCCCTGAGCATAGGAAATATCTGGGATTCACTTGGCGAAATATGGTATACGAGTTTACCTGCCTGCCCTTTGGTTTAGCATGTGCACCACGTGTGTTCACTAAAGGGACCTCTGTTCAGAAGAACATTAGAAAACGAAAAGAACCATGCACTGTCACAAAATGGCGGTGATTTTGAGGCCAAAATGAGTCTTTCCAGGTACGCAGTTTCAGATATGAACTGGTGGATTAACGAACTACCAGTGTCATTTGCGCCTATGCATAGACACGATCCTGATCACGTAATTGAAACTGATGCATCTACTCTGGGCTGGGGTGCACACTTTAATGGTCGCACCACTGGTGGGCGTTGGTCCAAAGATGAGGCCACGCATCATATCAATTGGCTTGAGCTAAAGGCTTGCTTTTTAGCATTACAATCATTCTTTGCAGATGATAACGACCCATCCGTCCATCTTAGATCAGATAATACCACAGTGGTAGCCTATATACGACACTTTGGTGGTTCAAAATCAGACTTGCTACATTCTTTGACCAGAGAAATTTGGTTATGGTGTAAGACAAGGAAGATTTGGCTTACTACTTCCCATCTTCCGGGTGTACAAAATATTCTACCGAGTAACCACTAGCACTGAAGGACTTACGTCCCCGCCCTCATTTCTGGGGACTACATTGATGGGGTTTACATACTTGAATAAAAGTGCATTTTCCCTCCCATTTAAACTACAAAAAGTTATTAATACTCCTACAAAAATGCCCCGAGGCATGGATCGCGGGGCTCACTTATATAGGGAGATTCATCCTTTTGACAAAGGACTCTCTCAAGTGTGACGAAGAAATACCGGTGGCAGGTGCAATCTCACGTCAGTCCTTCAGTGCTAGTGGTTACTCGGTAGAATCATAACTAAACTTCAATTTCATTTTATTACATTTCGTTTAATTTAGGATTTTTTTTATCGTCTTGACATATTTTCCAGTAGTTTTACCCCTCTTTTAACATAGGATGTAACTGATTTTATTTCTTGTTTTTTAATGTAATTTTCTGTGGTATTTTATGTAATGCAGGTTGATCATTTTTATGAAGACCGCGCAATATATATTTTAATTTATTACTATTTTACAATTAACCCTCGAGCCCAAGTGAAATACGAAAAAAATGATTTGCATCCGTGTTCTATATATGCCACAAAGCCGAAAGCCGAGTTGTACGGGACACAGATGCACTCCATTTTCCATGTTCCACGAGCGCAGGTAGGAAAACAAGTTTATCTTCAAGCAAACCTTATGCAAAGTAGAGATGGAACACGTACGCATGCTGTACACAAACTTTTCAATGGTTATCTCATTGCATCCCATTGTGCATGCAGTAGGCTAAGTTTCGGGCATTCTAGAATAGTGCAAGATGTGGAATGTGATAGACCATATGGTATATGGGATAATACCATACTATTTGCCACTAATCCACTAATCAGGATCGATAATTCAAGTTGGCTTGGAGCATTAATTATTGATACCAACCTTCCACTGTAACTTGAAAACGACACGTCCCCGAATTTCCCGCCAAATCCATGGCAGTGCAGATGACCTGGTGGTCGCCAAGGTTAAATTGACCAGGCCCAGGGTCACAGGTCACTGTCGGCGGGAGGTCATCGTTATCTGTGGCCTCGATGACCCAGTCCACCTGGGCTGATGTCTGACCGGCCTCGACGTGGACAATAAAGACGGACGGGCAGGTTGTCCATCGCGGGCTCTGACGATCTGGAAAATGAAAGATGTTAATTGTCATCATCAGGAATGGTGTCATCGTCCTCGATTAAATTCTATGCCCTTCCTCTGGATTTCACATGTTGAGAAAGCTCAAGACAATGCACCAACAGGACGCCAATCGCTTCTCAATAGTGGCGGGGGGGGGGGGGACACACCTTGATCTGAACTAATGCGAGCACGAAGCCCTAACGGCATTGGGTTCACTCTGTGGTGCGATCTCAGGCATCAATTTACTCATCACTTAAATGTCATTTTTGAGGTTGGAGTTATTGAATCAGCTATTGTGAGTCATAGAATCATATGTAAGCTATAGTTTTTATTCGGGGATGAATCCCCAACTTCAGAAAGATTGTCGCTCATGCTAAACGGTAACCAAGTCGTGGATCATATTTTGAATCATACCCACCAGCAGTGGCTACTTCTTGTCAGTTTGGGAAATTCAAAGGGAGAGGAGGATATGGCTAGAGGCCATCTGACGCAGTGTTCAAACACTGTCAATATCTGACATTTTGATATCTTTTGATATCCATAAAAACTGGGGAGCGTTCAGTCATGCCAATGTGTTTGCATTTGTTCTAGCTTGGCCCTACAAACACGCCAACCTGAAAGGAAACGATGTCGTCATTGAAAGACTGTTGTCATGGCAGCACCAAACTTACATAGAATCTTTTTGAATTTAAGATACATTACTTGTGACTGTTAAGCAAGAAAAATTTGTCATGTGAATTTACTTAGGATGTGAAAAAAAAGCGAAAAAATTTCAGCCCTGACAGAGCCATGATTATGTTCAATGTCACGAGGTGTCGCCATTTTAAATATGGGAATTTCTAACAACTCAGGAAGACTGTTTGCCTTTGTTGATAACATTCATTAATGTTGGTGGCAACCAGCTGGTCCCTCTTGTGCCAATATTCTCAATGCTGACAAACATTAGCACAATTTTTGTGTAACTGTAAGTGGCATTAACACAACCCTATCGAAATTCCATTAATTTGACACGTACATTGAGGAACACATGTAAAAGAGGTTTTATCATTGGAGCTACGTTTGGTCAGCACTGAAATTTTAACTTGAAAGTCAATAAAATTTAACTGACTCACCAACACACTGGATTGTTGAGATGCTATGGGACCACTGCCCGTTGCTTAGACATGTGACATAGTCCATGCCTTGGGGGTCTATGACAAAACCATCATGGACGCAGGATAGGAGACAGTCACGTCCAAAGACTGGGCGGTTGTAGCATACCGCCGGGAGCAGAGAGACGCCAGAGACTGGGCTCAGGATTGGACACTCGGTCTCTGCAGTTGACCAATCAGGGAATGAGCAAAACAAAAATATCTTACTTGATTTAATTTTTATTTTTAAATATGGCTAGGTCAAAAAAGGTGAAATGAAACAAAGGGCCGAGGAGGGCCAAGGACTTTTAAATGAGACTTCCAATCTCATTCTAACCCACCCCCAAATCATGTGTTAAGCACCCCTTTCTCCCCTCCCCCAATTTGTTTTTGCTCAAGAACTGTGCCCACTGCAGGTTCCCCAGTAGGCTAACACCATGTCTGACTGATATTCCACAGACACACTGAACCCAAAAAAGGCAATTACGGAGCAATTACGTGGAACTGTTACAGTCACTCCGAATGATAACCAGGGCCTATTCATCAGGTGGAATTTTTGTGGGTTTTGCCCTTCACGGATGTATGTTTATAAAGACTGAGAGAAAAAATCACAAAATTGCTCGGCGGGCCTCAAACCAGCGACCTCCTTCTTACTAGTGCAAACTTCTTACCACTCGACTATCGAGCCAGCCGGGATCGGTTGGCTGGTAAAGATACAAGTACGATAGAGTCTTTCTTACTCCCCATTCCAACACTCTATTTTCAAAAGTCGACTAGGTGTTTGGGTAGAATTAAATTTTGTAAATATGCTTATATTATTATAGCTACCCATGTATAAGAAATCTTCTCAAATTTGTATCTAAAGCAGTTTCCTTCCTCGAAACTGTAACTCTAGGCCAACACTCGTCTGTAACAGCAATGATTTCCAGATGATATACAAATGGACACATCGTCGCGTCAGTGCAACAAGATCGTATCTCGTAAAATGGCATGAACGCAAAACGCGAGGTTTCAGAATGTCAAGAGGTCGTATGTGGCTTAAAATAACCCGGATGTACATGCAAATTCAATGGACGTCGAGATACGACGTTGTTGCACGGAGCGTATACGCGTGAGATACGACTTTGTTGCAGAATGGACATACGACCTTGTTGCACTGACAAGACGACATGCCTTAATGAGATAAGATGATACTCAGATGCAGCTCCGCGCTGTAGAACAACCACGACTACACTGTAAAACAGACTACACAAGTCCAATGGGAAAAAAGTCCAATGGAAACACAGCATAGACGTGTTGACGTTGTCTTAAGTTTGATGAAATTTATCCTAGGACAAGTCGCGAGTTAAGACAAGTTGCCATTCATAAAGACATCTCAGGATTTCGGCCCCAGGTAAAATTGGCCCCAAGACTATGTAAAGACCGGCAATAACACGCAGATGTTTTTAAGCAAAATCTCTTCACGCTTACCAGTGCAGACAAGATCTGTTCCTGACCAGGTTCCATCTTCCCGGCAGCGCGATCTCCCTTCGTCGGTCGTCTCTGCCCCATAGCCGGTCACGCAGTAGAAGGAACACACCGTGCCGTAAGGCTCTCTGGCTGTCGCATCAATGCTGCAACCAGACTTGACGGCATTCGAAGGCGTGGGCTGGGATAGGCATCGCACAACTAGGGCAGGGACAAAAACGTGGACCCTTTCATTTAGTTTAATATTTATTCCTTATGGTAAATGATGTTATGACACTCCAACTACAGCAACTATCCCAACTGTAGTTGAGCAGTACCTACTGTGGCGAGGACTGCTCCAACTATAGACCTTTCTTTTACTAAATTACTATTGAAGCAGAGAATGTAATGATTATAATTACAGAAAGCTCTTTTGGATTGAGCTAAAACTTTATGTATGTACTTAACATTTAAAATTTCAGAACAATTGGTCATTGCCCTTCTAAATTCAGAAGGGAAAGGAATCCACCAACGTTGGCTGTAGGATGCCCCTCAAAACCCGGCTCTATTAGGGGTAAAGAAGAAAAGACCATTCTAATTAAAACTTACTTGTACAAACAGCAGGTTGCCCATCCCAGTCTGTCGTGACGTTGCTCGTCATGTGGCATGCTCTGGTCTGCGATCCGCTCGTCAAATTGTAACCGGTGTTGCAACTGTAGCTGCACACGGTGTCCACGATGGGAATGGCAAAGTCACAGAGGACAGTGCCAAACATCGGGGCTGGAAGTCTCTGACAACGATGGACTGGTGGAGGGAATTCACAAGAAGTTGCAACATGGGACAAAAGTTACCATAACCTTTTGCTAAGGCCATCTTGACTGAGAAGTGAATTAAGCCACGGTGTGAATAAGAGATGTATGACTCGTGACTCAGACTCAGTCTGATTCAACTCAAGTCACAATTTTGGTGACTCAGACTTTATTAAACTAGGACTCAGACTTGGGACGTGGACTCAATGTAAGTGGCTCGGACTTGAGGTTTGAAGATTCAAATACAAATCTGATGCCAATTGAGCCAAGACTACACGCAGATTGACAATACCATGAGGCCTATAGCACAGCATCAGACTTTATTACCGCATTCTCAATAGTATCTTTGCTCTTTAAGGCAGAGAAATTATGTCAGCATATATAAATGACGCAAAAAAGCTGCAGTAGGCAAGGTGAAAGGGCATGAATGTGATCACGTGCATACAGCACTATGTTTCAGCCCCATAGACCGTGCGTGCATTTAGTTCGTCTTCTCACGCATGCGCAATGGTTTCCTCCGCGTCGTCGGCTTGCAAACAGCGGTAGCAGACGACGCAATGAACAACTGTCTGGTTTTCATGTCTTAAAATGTATCCTTCTCAAACGTACTTAAAAGATGATTCAAACCAAAAATTATCAGTAGACCAAGTGAACAAAGATATAAATTGTCTCTACAGTGTGGTAACGGCGCTAAAAACCTTTTCAAATATATAAAAAAAACAATAATTATGGACAAAAAACGTACAAAATGAAAAGGAAAAACATCGTTCGCTTTTGAGTTTGGTTTACACATTTGGACAATTTGCCGGGTTTACCTTAGATCGGCCGTAGTATCGGAAAGGATGATAGATTATTTTCATTTTACAGGTGATTTGATGTAAGAAGGAAACCTGTAGCTTATAAAAATCGTCATTTTTCGAGTAAACCCATTTTGAAAGCTTCGTGCACAAATAAACTGGTCCCAGTGCCCTCTACGATCGTACTTAACTGCATTTCAGGGCCGGGAACCAGTCAGTTGTAAATCGTTTCAGTTAAATGTATACATTTCCAACGCGTCGACAGATCACAAACGGAGCGCCGTGGCGCGTGGCACGTGGCTAGCCATGTTTACGGGCCAGATTCCAGGGTCTGTGTACAGGTACGTGCACAATAACGTTACATTCAACAACAAAAACTTATAACGTGAGACCTTACTTTTCTCATTTAAAAACGGTTTCCATTTTAAGTGATATTTATACATCGCACTTTCCGTGGCATCCTTTACCATTTTTCAGTGAAGACAAGTTTACAATTCGTCAGTCTCCTGACGATGACTAGAGCAGGCTAGTCGAAACGTTGAGACCAAAGACAAGTTCTTTTAGAACTTACAGCAGGACTGTTCTAAACAGAACAAAAAACTACTTAGCAAAGTTGATAATAAGCAGGACAAGTTCTTCTCAGAACTAATATCTTCTAAGCAGTAGTTATTACCACATGGTGTTACCGCAAACCGAAACGATACCAATACCCCACCATGCAAAGCCTCAAATCTTATATAAGTTTACAATTACTCGGCAAAACTGAAAAATTATCCCCTAAACTGTCCCCTGTTTTGAATTTCTGACCCAATACTTTCGTAGTACACGACACGGAAAAACAAAAAAAATGCATCAAATACTCTCTGTTTTTTTGCGCTAAGGTTTGCAAAAGTGACTTTGATTGCCTTAAATTCCTGTCCACGTGGAAAGAAAAATTTATCAAAGTACTTCGAGCATGATGTTGACTGATACTTCATTGGGTCAAACTGCAACTGCAGACATCCATGTTTGCTGATAATCAGTATTTCATATTTTGAGTGCGCATGCGTGCAAACTAAATGAGCGGCTGAAACACACGTGACAGTAAGAACTGGAAAGAGTATGCTAAAGACAACACAATGGCTACCGTGACCATGGGCGTCGTTGAGGCAAATTTGCTGACAGGCACATAATTTTACCAACAACTAGGATGACAATTTTGCCAACTAAGATGTTAATGGGGGTCCGACACCCCCACCACCCCTCCTCGACAGCAGAGGGCAGGGGTGGTTTCCATTTGCAGATTGAAGCTCTAAATGCCAATTGAGAGAAATTATTGGAAGGGGTGTATCCCCCCACAACCCGCTGTTTACTACATGCCCGGCTGTGACATGAATTGTTAGCAGCTCTTTGGTCATTTTCCTCTAAAGCAGGTCTTGTTAAGACCAAAATGTCGGGCCAGCAAATTTTGTTTATTTGTGTATTTCAGGTCAATCCAGTCAATAAGCAGTGTGCAGCAGTATAATTGATATATTGATGTGTATTTTCTAGTTACCTGTTACTATCACAATGACATCGCACTGGGCAGCGTTGCCGCTGGGATCTGTCGCGGTAAAGGTGACTGTGGTTCTGCCTTCTGCAAAGCTACTGCCTGAGTCAGGATGGCCAGCATATCTGCCAAACAAATATCATTTAAAAAAAAACAATTTGATGGATGGTGCACTGAGTAGATGCAGTTTGGCCTGCTATGATCAATTGCCACTGGAGAAAGTTTTTGAGAGGCTTGCAAGTAAACAAGTCCAAAATGTCTTGGTTCGGACTCCCAGTTTGAATGTCACCAACATATACATTAAGCTAATGGCAGAAGAGACCAAACATGGTCAATTATAGTCCAACCTTTGTCAACAAAGGGCAAGTTCAGGCGAGGACCATTGATCGACTAGTGATTGATTTTTGCGTAACTTAATACTTCTGAGCACTAATAGCAATGTCTCTAGTTAACTGACAGTCAAAACATGTCTGTATATATTCTAATGTGAAAATCTCTAGTCAAAATAATGATAGTTAAGATGTCATCATGGAACTTCTTGGTATTGATTCCCTGCTGTGTATATTGATATGTGTGTGGCTATTGTAACTAGCAATGCAATGGACCTCAGGCTGGTTCCGAATAGTTGACTGGACTAGTACGAATCCATGCGTGAACAAGAGAGGGCACTATTTTTTACCACTTTTGAGAGCCCAGTGGTTTGAACACACTGCATTCTCATACTTGTACGTGCAAATTTAAAGTACCCCAGACTAGCTTGAGTAACTCCAGCTCATATGCTCATTGGGAATTCGACATCGAGTAACTCCATGCAGCTCATATGCTCATCGGGAATTCGGCATCGATGAGCATATGAGCTGGAGTTACTCAAGCTAGCGCATATGAGCTGGAGTTACTCAAGCTAACGCAAAACCACAGCATCTTTGTGTAAGCATTATACAGGCGTCGTTGGCATGTGTTAGAATGTCTCTCCCGGTGGTCTCCCCAAATCTTCCTTTCTTACCGTTGAGTGGGTACGTGTGCACAGAGCCCATAGTCAACTAGCATATAGGTTCAAGATACTCAAACTAATATTGTTTAATAACCATGTATGATTCTTGAGGTAACTTGCTTCTAGACATCACTTACTTGTTCACAGTGACGTTTCCAGAGTTGTCAGTCGCGGTTGGTACGTCGAAATTCACTATCGCAGAGGTGGAGCCAACATCGTTGTTTACCGACACAGATTGCGGACAGCTGGTGTCAAAAACGGGAGGCTGCACGTCTAAGAAGTGAAACAAAATCTGAAACATTTAATTATGTAACTGGCCGGCGGCACTAAAACAAAAACAACAAAAAACAGTAATTGTAAGGATGAACATGAGAATAATGTTTGAAATTATGAGAAAGTGAGCTGCGATAGATCGGCATCCCATCCCACATTTCATATGCCACCGAAACCGTAGATATAATGCTGGTCTGATCGGCCATTGTGACAACCTCACTGTATACTTTACTGGTAGCCTAATATTGACAGTTGAATATACCATAGTCTAACAGTTATTATTATATCTTGTTTTAATACTGAAATAAGATGGAAGAACTAAAATTTCAACTGTAGAAAAAAAAATGGTATATAGTAAACATGTTGGAGAGGTTGAGTTACAAATTCTAACAAGAACGTGTGTGCCTAGGACTAATGTTGTGCAAACCCAACGCAAAACCGAAACCAACCCGACCCAACCCGAAACCGACTTCGGATTGGGTTGGTTCGTCCATCATTTCAGTCAGTTCAGGTCGGTTTCAGTTTTGCGTTTGCAATTTTCGGGTTGGGTCGGTTAAGCTATCTTGGAAAATACTCTGAATTTAACCGAAATAAACCGAAGAAAAAAACTGAAACAGTTCAGGCATTCACACAGTGCAATATTTATTGCAGAGTCACTGTGCCCATGAGTACAACCAACTGTGGTTTGTGGTCTACCCCGCACAGTCTAAAGCACGTAGGCCCACCAGTAAGTCACATTGTGAGTACCATACGGTATGATTCAGTGACCGAGAGACAATGATTTTCTTGCAACGCGGGTAAGTTAAGGCACAAAAAGCGGACACAGTTGCCCAAGCCACATATATATTCAGATTTTGGGGGTTGGTTTGGTTCAGTTTTCATTGAATTTTTTCGGGTCAGCTAGGTCGGGTTGGGTTGGTTTTAGGGAGTTCAGATCGGTTACCATTTGGATTCGGTTTATATCTATAATGTTTCGGGTCGGTTAGGCCTGGTCAACACGACCTGATGTACAACATTACCTAGGGCATTTGTTGCGTCATGGTATTATGCACATACAAAAAATGCATTGGCAACACACAAGTACTGCTGGCTTGCTATACGCATTGCCATACGAATGCATGATTTCGGTGTCGCTCATAACATGAAGAAAGGGAGGAAAAAACCTAATTTCTAATGAAAACATAATGTTACTCTTTTCCGCACCCACAAACGGGAACAATAATGCAAGAAGCTCCCAGTATGCATTGCCGTACAGTTAGTATCGATCATATGCTGCAATTACCAAGGCAGACAGTATTTTGAAGATTACTCCAGACGCCAATTTCGGTACAAGTCTTGACCGCTGGACCGTATTGTTGGAAGCCACTGTCACAAGAGAATTGGCAGGCTGTGTTGAAGGGTAAAGTCTGGGCCTGACTGCAGAGGGCAGGCTCTATGGTTCCATGAGTGATGGAGAATGGACCAGGGCATGTCACCACCACTAGATGAGTAATCCAAAAAAAAAGAAAAAAATGACATGGAATTATATAAAACAAACATATGTCTTACCAGATAGATCATTACACGACTTGCTATGCACTTCTCATTTACACGGCATTGTCATATCAAGCACTATGCTTCAGTGGAAAAAAAACACATTAAAATGTCAATTTTAAGCCTCTTTTTTAAAGTTATTTGATTGTGTATGACTTGACTGAAAGAGGATCGATGCACTGCTAAACATATATTCGCCAATTGTCTGTGTTTGAAAGCAGAATTAGGTGCAGATAAAAGTGTTTCCCCCTCAGAAAAAAAATAATAATAATAATAATTAATAAAAATAATAACCGGGAATGGGTCATTTGGGAGATATTCCGATAGACTTGTGTACAAAGTTTTTCAAACTTAAATGTGCCCTAACCCAATATTCCCTTGTCCTTTTTCCACGAATTTTGGTATTTTTACTAATTAGACCACGAGCAACAAATATAACCTGATTGCGACAGCAAAATTTTGCCCCTAAAGGTGGGCTGTGGAATTAGGGAGACATGAAAATGTCTCCCTAATGACCAGTGTCTCCCTATTGTCGAAGAAATTACGATAACGTGTCTCCCTAATGGTACATTTGTAGGAATAAAGGCATTTATATGGCGCTTTACGTAAAAATATCTCAAAGCGCCTCACAATAAAACTAAAACCTATAGGCAATGAAAATACTAAAATGAAAATGTAAAAGTTACTTAAAGTGCTACAGTGACAAGTACTAAAACACGGAAGCAAACAAATGCCAGAAGAAAACAATTAAAACCTAAAAAACTTTAAAAAGCCAAATAAAAGCATTCAAAATATCAATTATTTATAAATACAACGTTGCACCTTAAGAGTGCTGAAAGTAGAAAACGTCCAATGCAACACAGGGGGAAAATGGCTACAATAGCAAAAAGATACCATGCAACACACAACACCAAACCAAAAAGTAAAATGCATAAAAACTAACCACAAATGTATATAAAAAATGTATTATGCAACACAAAACAACAAACCATTAGAAACAAGAAAATGGCAAAAATGTGGTAGTAAAATCAACAAGCCAAAACTAGCACTAGCACTAGCACTGCCTAGCACGTGTACAATAAACAGACCTAGTACGCGCTATGAGCCATGAGCAACGGCAAATTCTATTGGAGTTTAGAGGGAACAATTCTTTTGTAAATGAATATACCCGAGCCTAAACCTCAACCAATCACAATAAGGGTTATATTGTTGGAAAGCTGACGATCGAGACGAAGAAAATGACTCGAGAGATCTAAGCTCCCAGATGGCGCTATTGAACGTTGTGATGTTAATGTTAATGGACCAGCTCTTGACTGAGCAGGGAGATTTTTGACTAAAAATGCAGTACGTGTTTAACATCATTTCATGAGTGAAAATCGTTGTTATATTCAGTTTTTCTTTCATTTTCTGAAAGAGTGTATTGTTGGCGTCATACTGTTAAAGGTATACTCTGTCGAATAATGAAGTGGTGGCGACAGATGTGAAAAAGGGCCCGTTTTTAATGATTTTTTCGTCGTGTTCACTCATAGAGATTCCACATGAAAACCGGCCCGGTGGGTTAGTTCCCCAAAGGAATCCATATGTAAAGCCAAAAAGGAGTATTTGCAATTACCCGGGAAAGAACCTACCAATTTAAAAAACAGAAACCTTGCTCAAAAGACTGTTATCATTGGTACCATGTGAAATTATTCTGCCTGAGTATACGGTTTGGAAGAAAACTAGCATTGAATCTACACAATCCAGTTTGAGACCCAAAATATTGTGCATGTTTTCTCTGTTTTCTCAAACTGTACATTATTCACTGAGCTGAAATCTCAACAGGTTAGTTGTTAATTACACCCTACTTAAGACTTAGAGCAATTTTGTTGCTTGTAAACGAAAAAAATTACAAGCACGAAAAATCAAAGATCGGTTCTTCTAAAAACCTAGTGTATATCAATTGTGATTCATAAATACCTCAGGCATGCAGTTTAGCTATTCCTATTGGTCGAGAGCCCGTCACATGGCCGGTCTTAAACGGATGATAAAGACATGGCTAACTGGTCTTAAACACTTTTCCAGTGTCACAATAAAATGTGGACTCCTAAAAATCCAGTGCCTCTTACCGTTTCATTGGTTGAACGTTCACAATCCTCACATAGGCATGCGCAACACTACCAGCGAGTCAGAATTTTATTGTTATCAAAGTGCAACGCCCCAGGTGCGTTCTGCGCAACATCGCGCAGAACATGCTAGTCGCGCGCGTCAATCTCCATAAAAGGGTTGTTTACATCTTACTCGCCAGCTGTACACTGCATTATTTTGCTCGAGGGATGTTTCAAAAAGCATGAAATTAACTTGTTGAACAAAATCGGGATTTTTTGAACGAATTATTTGATTTGTTTTTACCGAAAAAGGTATTTATGAATGGGAATAAATATGTGCTCGGTCGGTATTTATCACTCTGTTTAAGACCGCTTAGAGTCTGGGTGCTGATAATTACCCTCGCCTCCGGCTCGGGTAATTATCAGCACCCAGACTCTAAGCGGTCTTAAACAGAGTGATATAAGCCTCCGGAGCACACATTTATTCCCTTATTTATGATCCAAGTGACCACACCAGTGTGAGTTTTTATATATACACTTTGAAATTAAATAAAAATAAGAAACAAACAGTAAAATATCCTCACTTGAGCACTGGAAATCCGGACCACTCCAAGTGCTGTCTGCTTGGCACTGACGTATACTGAATGTCTGTCCGCTGGCTGACCTGTGACCTGGGTCACACCTAAACTCACACGAGTCACCATAAGCAGCAGAGCTGCCTTGGCAACCAGTGACATAACCATTGGCAACAGGTGGATAAGGACAGGTGTTGACTGCATGAAATAAACAAAAGAGAACAGAGAAGACATGAATGGACTCCGTGGGCAAGTATACCCCCCTCAACGGTAACAAAGGAGTTGGGGGAATTAGACGACGGGGAAGGACAATTGAATGCAATTGCTGATGGCACCAGACACTCATGCGAAGATGGTAGGGATTTGTGCACATTCAGAACCAAACATATCTTATGTACTTCGCGTCTTATGCGCATGAACCACTGACCTGCACGTGGTGTGTCGATCCCTCCCACTGGGGCTCACGTATGTTGTTCACACAGAGTCCATATGTTATATCACAACTCCAATAAGGTAATGCGTTAAGTCCAGTGTAACTTAATTTTTTTTAGTTGAATGTTGTAACTTACTCAGTCATTTTAGGTGTCATATAGAATAGAAATTACTTTATTTCTATTTGAGGCATTTGCAATTCTCTTCAAAAGGCTGTTACACTGGGTTGACTTTGTATCTCTAATGCACAAACAGATCTGCCTGATTTATTGTCCAGCTGCAACTAATCCAAAATATGCAAAGAAATTCAATCAAAAGTGAATGAATTTTGTATCACGCCAACAAGTTTTGAGGGGGGGTTTCAACTCGAAAAGAGCAACTTTTACGTACCCTCACACATTGGTTGACTCAAGCTCCAAAAACCTTGGCTACTTTGGTCAGTCACCCGGCTGCACTGCCTCTGCAGTATGGCGCCCCCTGTTGACAAAGTGTATCCCACTTCACAGCTGAACTCACACACAGAGCCGTACACAGCACTCCCTGTACACGTGCCGTGCCCCGACACAAGTGAAATTTGCCCGTTGCTGGGCGCACTCAATCCCAGGCATCTGGTCACTGCAAAGAATTGTTCATTACAACGATTAATTTCTATTTCTCATGAAACTCATTCAAAGAGGATCCTTTCAAATAAACCTCTGAGTGACCCCCGTTTGCTATGTCCCAGGTTTGCAGCACTGCTAATGTTGCTAGCATCCTGACTTTGGTCGTGACCCTAGGTACGTGGCATAAACCAGTTTATGGGTTCTGACTACTTCCCTTGAACAAAGACACTGACAAAATAGGTTGACACAACATTGAGCTAAAAGGCTCGGTTGGTAGAGCACCAGAACAACAAACCAGAGGTTGCAGTTTCTAACCCTGCTTCAGTCAATGTCTTCGTTCAGCTTAAAATCCAAAAGGAATCGATGAAAAAAAAAAGAATCTCAAACCCTACCAATCAAATTGTGATGGCGAATCTCCAATTTGTCTGCGATTTGTTTTGATTCAATGAAGCCAAAACATACTTGAAATACACACCCAGTCAATTATTACAATTTTTAATTGGTCAGGTGACTATATGGTAACTCGGTTATCTTAACTCAGTTCCAATTAAGCACTGCATGAAATGTACACAAACCAAATCTGGCCAAATCTGGTAGGCAGGGCTCAAGGGTGGATCCAGAGAGGTTACTGCCGGGGAAGGGGGGGGGGGCAGGATGGCACTGGCTGTAATTGAGAAAATGTTGGTCACTGCCGGGGGGGGGGGGGGGCAGATACCCCCTCTGCACCCCCTGGATCCGCCACTGGGGCTTGGTCAAAACTGATAGTCAAACTTGTCCTCAAGCACTGCAGGTGAGAAATGTATGCAAACCAACAGCGGGCGGGGCTAATAGCCAAATCAGGAACAGTCGATTACTTTATTGTCGCAATCAAATGACATCTCACCTTTAGCCTCAATTTGCACAACGCATGACTCTGAGTTGCCAGCAGCATCTGTTGCCGTGTAGTCCAAGAAGTAGGTTCCTTCATCAAAGCTGGTTGGCTTAGTGCCATTGAACGGAATTGAGTTGATCGTCAGAAGAATGGCGGGTATGTCAACCCCAGCATCTGTAGCCTGTCAAAAGAATACAAAATTAAGTCTAAATTAAAACTGAGTTTTAAGAAAAACTTTTCAGAAAAGTATGAAGCACATTCATGACAAGCGAGGCTTTATAGTGGGGTGGGAGTTGTCTGGGTCCAATCGGCTTTATTCAGGTGGGACTCGAATCTGTGACCTCCTGCAGCTTACATTGCAGACGTCTTTAACCATTCAACACTGTGTCGGCCAGGATTGGATGACCAATTTGAACCTGATATAGCAATATAGGTGATTTTTTTGTCAGGAAGATGTAATGTTAACATTGGGTTTGCCCCTCCCATCGGACGTAACTTTAAGCAGTTTTGGGGATAAGCAGTTTTGGGGATGAGCATTGCATTACCATAACTGGCTCCCACTGCCATGACACAGTGACCCTGTTTTGACCTTCGCCGGCAAAGATGACCTGGTTAGGAGGGCACTGGACTATGGGGTCAGTCACATCTGAAATGAATAACAATGAAATACAGAAAATGTTGACAAACTGTGTTAGACTTATACATGTTTATGAGCCGTACTTGCTTCTTTCATTGGTTAATGTTACGATGCATCAGGAAAAAAGCTGTTGCCCAACCAGTCAGTACGTAGAACTGGGCAAGTAGTACCTGAGATAGCACCTTGACTTCTAGCTAAGCAACAGTAGCAACCGCAGATTAGGTTGCTAGTGGTTCCACACTAGAAAAAAACTTCCAGATTAACAAATATTCTGTAGGAGGGATTTTTGCCAAATTTTTATAAATGGAGCTTAAACATACGAGGTGTAATGAAACAAATCCAAAACATTGTTGTTGTTTTTCAGGCAAGTAGTGTGATTATTCTGTTTTGATGTCCCAAACAATCTCATTTACATTACATGTATTTTATTTTTGGGAATACATCTGTTACAACAATTACAAACAATAACATAATATACTCAGAAACACACAAGAACATTAGACAAAACTTTCACAGTATAATATTTAACCAGCTCCCGCTGGATCACCCAAAAGAAACATGGTTTCTGTCGAGGGGCTCTCCAACTGATTAAATATGACACACTAAAATAAATAATTGGAACACGTAAAAAAAAAACCTAAACTGCAAACATGAACACATTATGATTTCATGGCATTCAAGTGAGGCAGATTTTCTCTGTCTTGACAAAAATTGTATTGGTGGTGATGACCATGTACATTGTCTCTCAGAACTCATTAGGCTTGTGTCTAACAATCATGTCCAATCACTACATGCACTAGATGCTGCAAATTTTTCCAAAGTTAAAAGCTTTGCAACCCTGTGAACTTTGTCAGAAGCATTCTATTCACATCAAATTGGCATCACACTCAAATTTGCAACATTTGTTTCAATCTATCCAGTTATTTCATCAACCTATCGCTGCCCAAATGCCAAACTGTTTTTAACATTTAATTTATTACATGGCGTGTGAACCCATACCCATGCATTCGGCATTTCTTCCACTCCAAAATCCCGAAACCTGACAGGTCCGACTTGCTGTGCCAGTCAGGGTGTAGCCCTCATTGCAAACTGCAGAGCATGTAGTGTCAAACAGCTGGGGACTCCTTATGGTTGTTTCCTGTGAGTTGCGGATGCAGCTTGAGATGTATCCATCCATAGGGTCAGAGAGAGGCGAGCAAGTCACAGCTAAAGCAAACACACACAAAAGAAAACAAGAACATGATTGCTGATATTGTTAATTATGACCAAGTGACTCACATCGGTTTTGTTTGAAAGAGATATCAACAAGTAGTTATAAAGTTGATCTAGTCAGGTTCCCAGACCAAAAGATTCTAACTTTTGTGACAAAACGTAGAGTTTAGACAAGGTATGTGCTGCAGCACAGGACTGAAATGGGCATGATCATGCCCATTTCTGAAAATGACAGATTTTTTTCGAATATGTTTTCCATTATACTCACACTCAAATTAAGCAACAAAGAGACAATTCATTGAGTTTATGCCACAGCCTAAAGTAGTGTTTTATTTTTCTGGATACCAGAATTGGGCATACCGGTTGTCAGTATTAAAAGTTATTAATAATGCCATTGGGTAACACACGGCCCGACCAGAAATTGGCAATAACACGCCATTGGGCAACAACATGCCCTGGGGCAATAACATGCCCTGGGCACCCAGGCCCAAAACAATGGGCATAACGTGCCCAAGCTACATGTACATGAGCCAAATGCAAGTCAACTTGGTGCTTAAATCACACGTGGATTGACACACAATAGCTTCCAACCGATGTTACATTCAGTCAGGAAAGCATAGCATCGGGAAACTTTTGAGCGCTATGGCAACAATTTAAATTTGCATAACAATTATACATTATATTTACATGCCCCAAAATATGAGTAATTTGGTTACTGGCTGTCTGCATCCGCAAAAATTGCCACACGCGCCAAGCGCCCACCTGGAGAAGGAACCCATAATGCATGCATGCCAGAGGACAAGGGGCATAGCAACTTGCTATGATACAGAAGGGCTAGAAAGATGTGACCAGATACTACCGCATTCAGTGATATGGTAGCAAAATACGGTTGTCCGACAGGAAGGAGGGGGTAGAATCCATCATTCTGATACATGTACAAAAGCATATGCATATGCCATTGCGCCCGACTATGATTGTGTTGGGATGACACTCCGAAACTTACTGGGAAAAGTCCCGCGCCAGAATTGAAACATACTTGACAAAGTATATTACCACATGAAAACTCAGCTATTTTGTCAGGTTTAGTACTAGTAGAATAATAATAAAATGGCCAATTGTTGCATGACATGTACCTATCATGTATGAAAATAAGGTCAAGTAACAAAAGAGTGAACTTTGCGAAGCATGACGAAAATTGGGAGGTCAAATTTAACCAACAATCTACACTCCCTAAGAGCGAGTCATCACTTGCCCAAACTGTTTTTCAAGAACAATAATAAGCAAGTTGAAACTTGTCACAGGACGATGAAAATTAGATATAATGCATCTTGATAGTTCATACAATCATTCGATATTTAAAATTCAAGTAAAATTGATTTGCCTAACATAGCATGATCCAATGGAAACGAGAGAAAAGGCTGCTGGTTGCCTCTTATGATGGTCCATAAGGAAACAATAGTCCCACTGTGTCAAAAGAAACACATTGTGTACTGCCTCAAATTAAGAGTATGTGGGCAATATGAAACGCCATCTTTAAGTACATATACTGGTAATTACCTTGTAATTGCATGCTCCTAAGAAGGGCAAAAAAAAAAAAAAAACCCATATAATGTGGGGACAAGTTGGGAAAATTCCCTTCCGGCCCCTGAATCGGCGACCAGGTTTTCTTTGTGACATAGGTAGTGTCTGAATCATCTTTGTTAGCTCCCTTGGATCATACAAAATACACCTTGAAAATAGGTAGCAAAGCTTTGATAATAAAGAGCACTTTTTATGTACGTTAATTAGAATTTGAAAAATAGAAATACTTGCAATTGCGAGAATTACCAGAATACCATGAGCTATTATCATTTGTCCAAAACTGGCAGACTCAACCAAAACACCTACTGGTGTTGGTACTCGTGTTTCTATGAACACAGCCAAAGCGAAGGTATGTGTGTTGCATATAATTGTGCACCAGGGCAAACATTGAGGCCAGAAAGGATACATTTTTGGGTCACACTAACATACGTGTCACATCGTATACATTTCTAGGTCAAACAGAACACTGTGCAGTGATATGATCTGTCTAATAAAACTTAATAATTAAAAAATACCACATAATGGGAAAATTCCCCATTCAATGCAGATCGGGAAGTGCAGTAAAGACAATATACAAGGACACCACAAGGCCCTTATATTATTTCATTTTATCTAGGTCCGGAATTATTTATTCATTTTTTTTTTTATTTATTTATTTAGTCATGTAAGTACTACTGTCATTGTGGAATAAAGCAACCTGTAAATATGCTACGACCTGTTTTAGCAGTTAAGCTAGTTACTGTGCGACGACTTATTGTTTTTGCATAGGCCTAGCGTCTAGGCCGATATTAAGGTGGACGGTTTTATTTTATTTTCTTATTCACTATTCATTAATAGGCTAATTTATTTATTAGTCTTTAGAAAGAATTGGGCAAAGACCGTAACACGGTGGCATAAAGCAAACTTTAAGCCACCTTGAGTTCCGCCAGTCTGTGCCTGTGGGCGTCGGCTATCCAAGCATGGATTATGAGTACAGGGTAGAACTGCCAAAGAATGATCCAGGAAGAAGCAGTCAGCTGGCAGTGGCGAGCGGAGCAATCCACAGCCGAGAGTTGGAGGGCCATTGCAGATGGAATTAAAACATGAGAAACCGCTGGTTTGGACGGCCCATATGGATCTCAAGATGGCTAGCATGTCGGTTGGACGATACTGAAGAGTATGGTGAAACTAGGGAGGATAGACCTGGCCTTGTACTGTTTAATTTACCCCGGGAAAACGCTGCAATGCCACTGTGGCCAAACTCGCCGAGAACGCCAGGGGTAGTTGGGCAGGCGGGGCAAGGACTACACACCGGGCCCGTTACGAAGAACTTTGGTCCACACTAGCGCTTCGTTGGCAATAATATCAAGCGAAAGTCAGCGCATCATGCTGCCCACAAACTTAAGCGATGGACGACGGACCGAATCCAGGCGGAGATAAATTCCAACATTTGATCCAGGATAAAGTCTCAGTTGCAAAACAAGGCGTTCACAGAATCAGCACGAACAGACCAATCCAGAAAGAAATCCAGGTGCAAGTCACAGTTCTCAGAATCAATATATCCATCAAAGAAATCCAGGTAAAGAGTCGCAGTTGAGAAACATACGATTGTACAAAGACGAGTAAATATTCCAGCAATAAGTGCTATGATCAACAACTTTTTAATTATTGTTCAGCAATAAATTCAAGCATAAAGCTAAATGAAAATTGAACTAAAATTGAAAGAACAGACTTTTTGTCTGTACACGCTTTGGATGGCTGTGACAGAGTGGCCGTATGATTACAGCCCGCCGAGCGCCCAGCGTCCCGACGCACACCCAAGAATCTGATTGGTTAAAAGTTTTCCAGCGCAATTTACATGCCCGTGAACTTTAGCCCTTTGCATAACTATCCCTTATTAGATGCCGACCCGTCCGAGCCTGTAATAAGCTTAGTGCGCCACACAAGATACAGCAAAAAAAATTGGTGAAGTATATCCTATTTCATGGGCAGATCAGACGGACTTAATGAATAAATTATTTAACACAAGATATAAATGAGCAACAATTCAAGAAATTATTTATTCCTGGCAACAACAAACTACAGCGCACAGTACATGTGTGAAATGCAAACATACCCAAATAAGTGCTCCATGCACTAGCTATATATTACGCGCACACAGTACACAGTACACAAACATGGTGAGATCGTTGGTCGCAAGTAAACTAACTGCCGTTAAAATACCAACAAAATATTCGTCGTATATTTTTGAGTTTACCGAATCAAGGCTTACATCTACAAATTCTCAAGCATAATGCCCAGTAGTTATTGTCCATCAGGACCTTTTGCCTTGAGTATACACTCAGATGACAGCAGGGCTTTGCTGTGCATCATGTTCTATTTTTGAATGTGACAGTCACCTGACCTAAGATCCATGCTATTTTCAAGTTTCATTGCCAAAACTAGAACGGCGAAGCCGCCATGGCTCGCTGTCCAAGGCAGGAAGGGAGGCTATGAAGGTAGGGTTGGGGATGAGCATGATGGAAGGGGATCAGGATTCTTGTTGATGTGCCTAGGTGTAGGGGTCAGTTTTTAAATGTCAACAGATTACCTAATAAATACATGTGTATATAGGTTAGCCGTCACTGTATTATTGTGTAGTCGCCACAAATGCAGAACAAGAATGGGTATACATGTACATGTAGACACAGCACCATCACCACCTCCCCCAAACCTTACCCATCCCAAAACCTTACCCCATCCCCAACCCGCCCCCTCCCCCACCCAACCCCCTATCCACACCCATTCCATCCTCCCCTAACCATCCCCACCCTATCACCTACACATCCCAACCCCACCCAAACTCCAATCCCTATCTCCTTCCCCTCCCCTGACCCGTACCCTCCCCTACCCCAACCCCCTACACCCACCTACCCTATCTTCCCCTATCTGTCCTTACCCACCCTACACATCCCCACCCTAACCCTTACTCGAATTCCAATATCCCGCCCACCCCATTCCCCCACCCATACATCCCACCTGACCCCCATGCAACCCCTACTCCATAGCTGCCAACATTTCAAAATCCCAATTAGTAATCATCCTGCGCGGTCATTTTCAACTTCTCGTTTTATCAAAAGCTTTACCAACATCGAGTACAGGTACATGGTTTACATGTACACATACATGTGCATACCCTTCTTGTTGTGAATAATAATGTACTGTAGGCCAAAAGATAATTTAAAAAAAAAACAAGTCAGGTGTGTTTACAAACACAAATGCCCCGCAACCGTGACTGTTTCCATGACATAACACCACTCTAACATCAACTTACATGTACCTTGGTCAAATGGAACGTTCATTGACAGCATTAGTGTCTTCTGTAGGTTTTATATGAATTAATCCCTAATCCCTATGATCTCAGAATAAATACAAGATTTCTATTGTTTTAGCCACTGTGACCTTGACCCTTGACCTTTCGACCCCCAATGCGATAGGCTCCTTAGGATTGCCAAGGACAATCCACAAACCAAATTTGAAGTTCATATGTAAAGTATATCTCAAGTTATCACGCTGACAACATTTCTTTTGTTTTTGCCAATGTGACCTTGACCCTTGACCTTTTGGCCCCAAATACAAAAGGCTTCTTAGGATTGCCAAGGACAATCCACAAACCAAATTTGAAGTTCATATGTAAAGTATATCTCAAGTTATCGCACTGACAAAATTTCTATTGTTTCAGCCACTGTGACCTTGACCCTTGACCTTTCGGCCCCAAATGCAATAGGCTTCTTAGGATTACCAAGAACAATACACAAACCAAATTTGAAGTTCATATGTAAAGTATTTCTCAAGTTATCGCGCTGACAAAATTTCTTTTGTTTTAGTCACTGTGACCTTGACCCTTGACCTTTTGGCCCCAAATGCAAAAGGCTTCTTAGAATTGCCAAGGACAATCCACAAACCAAATTTGAAGTTCATATGTAAAGTATTTCTCAAGTTATCGCGCTGACAAAATTTCTATTGTTTCAGTCACTGTGACCTTGACCCTTGACCTTTTGGCCCCAAATGCAAAAGGCTTCTTAGGATTACCAAGGACAATCCACAAACCAAATTTGAAGTTCATATGTTAAGTATTTCTCAAGTTATCGCGCTGACAAAATTTCTATTGTTTCAGCCACTGTGACCTTGACCCTTGACCTTTTGGCCCCAAATGCAAAAGGCTTCTTAGGACTACCAAGGACAATCCACAAACCAAATTTGAAGTTCATATGTTAAGTATTTCTAAAGTTATCGCGCTGACAAGATTTGTCCGGACACACACACACACCCACCCACCCATACTTGTTTCACATGACTAGTGTGGACTTTCCATTGCTTTCATGTAGTTAAGAAAAACCAGTGAAAAAACTCATTTTTCTCAAACTGTGAAAACTCTTTCAACCCAATTTTTATGCCCCGCGGCGAAGCCGAAGGGGCATACTGTTTCCGCCTTGTCCTTCCGTGGGTGGGTGGGTGGGTGGGTGTGTGGGTGGGTGGGTGTGTGTGTCCGGACAAATCTTGTCAGCGCGATAACTTGAGAAATACTTAACATATGAACTTCAAATTTGGTTTGTGGATTGTTCTTGGTAATCCTAAGAAGCCTTTCGCATTTGGGGCCAAAAGGCCAAAGGTCAAGTTCACAGTGGCTAAAACAATAGAAATCTTGTCAGCGCGATAACTTGAGAAATACTTTACATGTGAACTTCAAATTTGGTTTGTGGATTGTTTTTGGCAATCCTAAGAAGCCTTTCGCATTTGGGGCCAAAAGGCCAAAGGTCAAGTTCACAGTGGCTAAAACAATAGAAATCTTGTCAGCGCGATAACTTGAGAAATACTTTACATGTGAACTTCAAATTTGGTTTGTGGATTGTTTTTGGCAATCCTAAGAAGCCTTTTGCATTTGGGGCCAAAAGGCCAAAGGTCAAGTTCACAGTGGCTAAAACAATAGAAATCTTGTCAGCGCAATAACTTGAGAAATACTTTACATGTGAACTTCAAATTTGGTTTGTGGATTGTTCTTGGCAATCCTAAGAAGCCTATTGCATTTGGGGTCAAAAGGTCAAGTGTCAAGTTCACAGTGGCTAAAACAATAGAAATCTTGTCAGCGCGATAACTTGAGAAATACTTAACATATGAACTTCAAATTTGGTTTGTGGATTGTTCTTGGTAATCCTAAGAAACCTATTGAATTTGGGGCAAAAAGGTCAAGGGTCAAGTTCACAGTGGCTAAAACAATAGAAATCTTGTATTTATTCTGAGATTATAGGGATTAAGGATTAATTCATATAAAACCTACAGAAGACACTAATGCTGTCAATGAATGTTCCATGTGACCAAGGTACATGTAAGTTGATGTTAAAAGAGTGGTGTTATGTCATGGGAACAGTCACGGTTGCGGGGCATTTGTGTTTGTAAACACACCTGACTTGTTTTTCTATGATTCCCTTTAGTGTTTCTCTTCATTCTGCTACTGATAAACCTAACCCAAAAATGCCTCTAAACCTGTTTTCCAGAAATGGGGAAACACTGTGTGGACGTGGGGCAAGTCCACACAACGTCGGTGCTACCTACATTATGTGGACGTCTTTTGTTCGGAAGTCCACACTGCGTATGTAAGACAAACTCACCCACCCACACACCCACCCACGGAAGGACAAGGCGGAAACAGTATGCCCCTTCGGCTTCGCCGCGGGGCATAAAAAAAATATATATATATATATATATTTTTTAAAATTAATTTTGTTTTAATGTCTGTATTTGTTTGTTGAAGTCAAATAAATAATAACATCAATAACATGTGCGCATATTTTTTTGGAGATGCATGCTATCGAAGTTAAGTTTCAAGTTCGTATCATGTTTTTACACACAATGATCTATGGCCACCGTATGCAATAGAAATATTCCGCCAACATACCTTGCAAACGCATGCTGATTTATCTTTTCTGTTCGTTGTGACAAACTCAAATTCTATTACCAATTATTCCAACCATACTCTTATTAAATTCCATGATTAAAATCTCGCACTGATGGGTCTCATCCCGGCAATAAGCGACTAAATGTGCTCATGATCGTCACTGAAAAGTACTCACATACAGTACACACAACCACACATCCACGAGATGCACACAAATGACACACCATTGAAAAATATTTTTAGTCTGGTCCTCAAGTACTCCACTGCGCACACTGTATTGATGTCTATCAGGTGCTTGACTGCATTCTTATTAGACTTGTCACCAGTCCATCCTTTATCGGGACATTTCGCCAGAAGTTTTCGGTCAAAAACGATACTTTACATTTTGTTTTTCTTCGTTAGGTAGAAAATGGGAAATTCGTAATGTTTTAGTGGCAAATCGTATTTTCGTAATTTAACAAACACTTCGTAATAATTACGAAAAAATCGTACTAGTTGGCAGCTATGCTACTCTGATCCTATATACTGCCCCCTCCCCTTATCCAACCCCTACAACAACCCATCCCTACACATCCCCAACCCAACCCTACTCCGATCCTATATCCCGCCCCCTGCCCAACCCCCTCCTAACCCAACCCCTACATCCATGCCCACCCTCTCCCTACCTGTCTCTCCCTACCTGTTCGCACCCCACCCCTACAAATCCCCACCCCACCCAAACCCAGTATTCCAACCCCTCTCCCCACCCCACCCCACCCCAACCCACCCCGCCCCACCCATCCTAGCTCCTCTACTCATCCTACTCACACAAACCCTAACTCCAACCCTATCCCCCAACCCACCCTACCCCACCTTCCCCTACCCCATCCCTACTCCAACCCCATAAACTAAAAGATCAAACCAGAAGCTCATGCACATCCCCAAAATGCATAATGTACATGTACATGTTATACCGGTATACACACATGTACATGTTATACCAGTATACATGAACATGTAACAATTAAAAACTTTAACATTTCCTTGAATTAAAATTCCTCAAAAAAAATTATTGAATTTACTGCAATGATATGAACCTAACTAAGTTATAGAGATGATACATGACAACTGCTTTTAATTTTTTTTCCCCAAGTTAACTAGAACCAAAAACTTCAACATTTTTATCTGAACGCGGACGGCCGGACGGACGGACGGACGGACGGACGTCAGGGCGCCCGGACAGACGGACGGAAATTGGTATTACATAGGCTCGCATCTGCTTCGCAGCTCGCCAAAAAAGATGTTTTGTAAATTGTTATTTTTCTAGCAATTCTCTTTGTAAGGAATATTGTTGTGACTGGATAACAATGTTGCCAAATCTCATTTGATTAGACATCATTTTATACTATGGTCAAGGCCTCACCTGTACAAGAGATTGTTCCACCGGACCAGACTCCAACATTGGTTGCATCACTCAAGCACACTCTCTGTGTTGTCGTACTCGGCACGTAACCATGGTTACAGGACAAGGAGCATGTGGTACCATATGGCTCGTGCTCCCGAATACATCCGCTCTTCACGCCATTTAATGGAACTGGTAGATCACTACTTGCACAGGTAATTTCTGTTAGAGTTTTTGTAATAAACAAGATCAAAAGAGAAACATGGCCAGTTCATACTTCACACAAAGGCAAATGTAATGCCAAGACATTTACAAGAGTTGAAATAGATTGACGGAGGGAATTATACTCTGCATGACAACTTAATATGCATTTTTATTGGCTGATTTGAGCCCTTACAATGGTCCATTAATACATAAAACCACCACAGATTCTCTATTGGAACTTGTTAACAATTAGTCTCACAACAAAATTTGGTATTACTTGCATTTCACACCATTTTTATCCCCAATTCATCTTTAAAAACTTGTTTGCCCTATCAGAAAGGTTGTCTTTATATCTCCAGAGAAGTTTCAGGTTTATCTACACAGAAAGTTTCAGGCATAAAATTTACAAGTTTTGGGTACCCTGCATTTTTATTCAGGGAACTAGTATTTGTTCAAGTCCTACCTACCTCGGCACTGGGGCAAAATCTGTAGCCAATTGCCTTCTTGTCCACAAGTCAGTGACGAAGCTCCTTGTATAACGTAGCCCTCCTGACACTCATAGCTGCAGACACTTCCAGAAGGTACGGTGTTTCCCACAGGACATGTGTCTGACTGGACCTCCCTCAGACCGGTGCCCAGTGGCAACTTCTGACACATGTTCCCTGTGTTAATGTAACATCATTTGTCAGTGTTTGCCTTGAAAATACAGGTTAGACGTCAGACAAGAGAAATGTCACAGACTTTATATTTTCACTTTTATTTCCATCAGCAACGTTTTCGGAGCTGAAATTGCACCTGTTTAGTAGGTACTTAATTAGGGGGCTATCCATGAATTGTAATTCCCACAGGACCTGTCATTTTCCAGAAATAAAGAGGAAAATTAGAGCCCGGTGCACATATGCAGGAACATGAAAAGTTTCTCTTTCACTTCCCAACGGTAGCGTCGTCTGCACGTCTGAACAAATTAACACATTTAACAGCTAGCCGTGAATGGCACTCTGTTATCAGTCTGACTGGGCCTGGGCCAATTAGGCACAAATAACCCATTTGCCATATGGCCGCGTTCGGCAATAGAAGTACGCGTACTTAGAGACCTGTCCCTACACTCGAAGACAAGTACTCGTTCTCGAACTCGTACTCGGCTAAGTACTCGGTACTCGGAAAAAAGTACTCGACTACAACACTGTCAAAATACAATGAGATGTGACCTACCTAGAAATTGATTGATGTTTAGGGGAATTTCAGAAATTCCTGAATGTCAATCTGCTGTAACTTAATTTGCAAGGGTCATTCGTTCACCGCACACACTATTAATGCAGCTATGTTTGTTTGTTTGCGTTATTTGCCTCGCTTTGATTTTCAAGATGACAAACCCTTGTAAAGGTCTATTAGCGTCAAGTAGCGATCACCACAAGTGCATGTGGATAGGGTCGTGGGACGAGCGAACGTAATTTACTTTGGCATACGGTCATCGTGCCATCCCAGATTGCAGTGGTCTGGCCGGAGTGCGCAGTGCAGATTCGGTATGCGCTGCCCACGATGCCGTAACCAGAATCACAGACAAAGTAGCACCAGGATCCGACGGTGACACCGCAAGGCTGGGAATCTCTGAAGTTGCCGTTCTCCGGTGGGTCCAAAGGCGGGCATTGGAGTACTGCCGGGTCAAGAAAAATAAAATTTGCCACATTCAATTTCAACAATAGACTGATCCACTAGGCTCCACTTACAGCGTACGTGGGTCAACAAGTGCGACTCCCTAAACCAGTGCCACTGTGACACTGCATTTCTCATCTGCATTTGTCGTACGTGCATGCACATATATCAGACTTTTGTGCACGCATTTCGCACATTAACCACAGCTGATTCGTTAATATACTGTGGGGTGGAGCCTACTGCATCAGTCTGCCAAGCTGATCTCAATCTTCTCTTCCTTCCTCCCCCCCCCTCCCCCAAAACAAAAAACTACTACTAATGAGAATAATAATAAATTAAAATTTAAACAAGTCAGGTGTGTTTACAAACACAAATGCCCCGCAACCGTGACTGTTCCCATGACATAACACCACTCTTTTAACATCAACTTACATGTACCTTGGTCACATGGAACGTTCATTAATTGACAGCATTAGTGTCTTCTGTAGGTTTTATATGAATTAATCCCTAATCCCTATGATCTCAGAATAAATACAAGATTTCTATTGTTTTAGCCACTGTGACCTTGACCCTTGACCTTTTGGCCCCAAATGCAAAAGGCTTCTTAGGATTACCAAGGACAATCCACAAACCAAATTTGAAGTTAATATGTAAAGTATTTCTCAAGTTATCGCGCTGACAAAATTTCTATTGTTTCAGCCACTGTGACCTTGACCCTTGACCTTTCGGCCCCAAATGCAATAGGCTTCTTAGGATTACCAAGAACAATACACAAACCAAATTTGAAGTTCATATGTAAAGTATTTCTCAAGTTATCGCGCTGACAAAATTTCTTTTGTTTTAGCCACTGTGACCTTGACCCTTGACCTTTCGGCCCCAAATCTATAGGCTTCTTAGGATTGCCAAGGACAATCCACAAACCAAATTTGAAGTTCATATGTAAAGTTTATCTCAAGTTATCACGCTGACAAAAATTCTTTTGTTTTAGCCACTGTGACCTTGACCCTTGACCTTTCGGCCCCAAATACAAAAGGCTTCTTAGGATTGCCAAGGACAATCCACAAACCAAATTTGAAGTTCATATGTAAAGTATTTCTCAAGTTATCGCGCTGACAAAATTTCTATTGTTTCAGCCACTGTGACCTTGACCCTTGACCTTTTGGCCCCAAATGCAATAGGCCTCTTAGGATTACCAAGAACAATACACAGACCAAATTTGAAGTTCATATGTTAAGTATTTCTCAAGTTATCGTGCTGACAAGATTTGTCCGGACACACACACACACCCACACACCCACACACATACTTGTTTCACATGACTAGTGTGGACTTTCCATTGCTTTCGTGTAGTTAAGAAAAACCAGTGAAAAAACTCATTTTTCTCAAACTGTGAAAACTCTTTCAACCCAATTTTTTTTCTATGATTCCCTTTAGTGTTTCTCTTCATTCTGCTACACATAAACCTAACCCAAAAATGCCTCTAAACCTGTTTTCCAGAAATGGGGAAACACTGTGTGGACGTGGGGTAAGTCCACACAACGTCGGTGCTACCTACATTATGTGGACGTCTTTTGTTCGGAAGTCCACACTGCGTATATGTAAGACAAACTCACACCCACCCACACACCCACCCACGGAAGGACAAGGCGGAAACAGTATGCCCCTTCGGTTTCGCCGCGGGGCATAAAAATTAAAATTCTACTTTTGCCAGCGGATGCCATTGAGCTTTATTTAAAGTACTAGAAAAGTAACTGCCCGATTTGGGAGAATATATTAAAGGGAGATGGAATGGAATTTCTCTGGTGAGCTTTTAAATGCAAATATATGAGCTCTTAATGCAGATATATACAAATTGAAATACAAAGCTGTACAAAATTTGAAGCTTTCCACAGGTTCCGTACAGCGGCTCTATACAAATTTCTGAAATCTGAAACATTTAAAACTGCATGGATATAAAGTACTCCACTGACCTATAATCAGAAGGCACAAAGCTCACCTGCATTTTGCTTCCTTTTTTAAATCCAAGATGCATTGAGTGTTTGCAAGTTGGCCAGCATAATACCACCACAGAAATTGCATGTTATTGAGGTCACAGATTAGTCTAGATGAAGCTTTAAATATACAAAAATTTCAGGTTGGCAGATTTGCACAAAAATCCAGGTAGGACCATAAACACACAATTAATTCAGCCTAAAAAAAAGTGATATCCTGGATTTTGAATATATTTAAAAAACAAATGTGAATCAACGTACGGCCACACGTTGGCGGAGTTGGGCTCCATGATGCATTTGAAAGACAAGTGGAAGTGTTATTTCTGATTGGCTGGTACCCTGCCTCGCATCGGAAGGTACAGGTTGCCCCCTTAATGTAGCCGTCAGGACAAGTGATTACCAGTCCCTGTGTGGCAACTAAAGTACTGCAGGTGATCACTGTAAAGAGAAACAAAGAAAATTGATCAATTAAGACATGATTCTACAAAGTAACGTATTCGTCCAAAACCAAAATTTTCAATTTGAGATTTTTGGATATTCATACATTTTATGATGTCCTCTGCATGATGTACCAAATTCAAGACACAAAATTGCATTGTTTGTTAATTATGCTAATTACACAAAGTGTCAAATGTGCAGCAACTAAGTGATGAATCTGGATTTGTCACTTAGTCTCAAAGTGCCTGCTTTCGGAGCAAGCCTATACGGCTTGCATTTTGACAAAGTGACGAATCTGCGATCTAAATATATATTGTATATAAATCTTATATACACGCACACTGACTGAGTCACTGACTCCATGACTGAGTCACTGACCTCCTCCCCGAGTCATCTACTGCCTGACTGAGTCACTAAACTCCTGACTGATGAGTCACTGACTGCCTCCCCGAGTCACTGACTGCACGACTGAGTCACTGACCTCCTGACTGAGTCATCTACTGCCTGACTGAGTCACTAAACTCCTGACTGATGAGTCACTGACTGCCTGACTGAGTCACTGTATGACTGACCTGATCACTGATTGACTAACTTGAGTCGCTGATTGATTGACTGTTTCACTGTCTGAAGAAGTTACCGACTGATTGACTGACTCCCCTGGTCACCTGACTGAGTCACTGTCTGACAGAATGAGTTACTGACTGACGGACTGACTGATGACTCAATACTAAACTGATTAATGTCTAGGTCCGTACGGTAGGGCCGGGAGGGCTGGGCAGACGCAAGAGTCAGGACCAATGAAAAGGTGTGACTATATACAAATTGGTCTGCACAAAAATGAATTAAATCATTGCAGTAAATCATTCCATTAGCTAAATTTCCTCTATGGACAAAAAAAAGTGTTTCTTTCCGAAACTCACCCCGTACTGTCACGGTGAAGGTGCACTCTGCTGTGTTACCCTGGCCATCTCGTGCCTCGTAGGTGATTGTATGAGATCCCTGGCTGAAGAGACTTCCAGGGGGTACCCCCTGGGTTTGGTAGACTGTCAGACCGTACGGCACATTGTCGGTTGCTGTTGGTGCCTCCCAGCTTACATTGGCACTTGTTTGTCTATTATCGGCCTCCACCGAAAAGCTGCTTGGACAAGACGTGAACCTTGGTGGCTCAATATCTAAAAACAAATCAGGGGAAAAAATTATGTTGCTGTGTTAGAAGAATTGGTTACTAAGTAATTGGTTACTCATTTATGGAATACAGTCTAACAGTTGATGATGGCCTCTAAATTATCTACCAAATTTCAAGACACAAAATAGCATTGTTGTTAATTACGCTAATTATACAAAGTGGCATGTTGAAATTTTCGCGAAATTTTGAGGAAGTGATGAATCTGGATTTGTCACTTTGTCATTGTGCTCGCCTTTTAGATTTGAGCTATCCTATATGGCTCGAAAAATTGGTTACTAAATAGTTGGTTCCTAAATAGTTTGTTACTAATCAACAATTGTTGACTGCTGTGATGTAGGATGCTATGCACCCCTCGGGGCGCATAACACCCTCGGCTTCGTCACCTCGGATGCTATGCACCTCTCGGGTGTTCAAAACGTCATATCCCCCATCACAGCAGTCAACAATTGTTTTGTTATACCTCCGTCTTGGATTCTTTGGATTTTGATGCAAAAATCACGAAAACAAACAGCAGTATAAATACAACAATTATGACATTATCTAACGTCAACTCACATGCATGTCGCATGCTCAAAACAGCTGATCGTCTGCTAGTTCCCTGCTCCAAGTCATGTGTGAAAACATGGTGAAATAGCGTGGATATACCAATGAAACAAGCGTTTCACACCGTACGCACCGTACATACGTGATATCCCACAGGAAGTGTTCCATGACTTTTCATAAACTTAACATGTGATCGTTCTAGGCCAATCAAGACAGAGGTATAACAATTATGAGTGTGTGTGGGGGGTGTAACTATGTTGGATGGGTAGGGAAGGCCTGTGCCCCTTCACCCACACTGCCCCTGCTCAGAATTTGGAGATGACCATAAAAGAGATTTGTATTGCTTGAAACCCTAGTACCCCGTCCAGAAATGAGGCCCCTCCTTGTGCATACATGTGTAAACAAGATGTGGGGGAGGGGTTAAATTTAGGGGAGGAGCTAGCAGAGGAAAGAGAAGAAGGGAGGCGTAGCCGTGCATCGATACATTGATTGCGCTCTCTGCACACGGCCAGCTTGCACGTGGCATGCGGTATGCAGGTATGGCTTAAACAATCATAGCCATCTGGCAAAATTGAAATTTATGAGGAAAAAAACTTGGTAAATAGCCTGCACCTCCCCATTAAAGATTTCTCTCTACGCGATGCACCGTTGCATGCATACTGTGACATAAAGACGATGCATAAACCAATATGTTATTACATACAACCCAATACACACAAAAATATTCTTTGTTGGCATCGGGATTTTGTTATTTGTTGAGAGCAGTCCTCGGAAGTAACGGAACTATAGGAAATTGTTATATTATAGGAACAAAGGGAAACACAAAGCCTTGTCCTCGAGAGTAATGGAAAACATGACTGTGCACACATGTGCTCCTGTTTCTTATATGCACTGTCCCTCATGTGTAGGCCATAAAGTGCCCTCTCCACTTCCCACATGGAGCCTATAAAACTTACCAATACAAGTTGGCATACTTCCGGACCAGTTTTCCTGACAGGTGCGTGATGTTGCAGTGTTGCCATTTTGAAACCCATATCCACGGTGACTGTCACAAGTAAATGTGCACACGCTGTTGTACTGGTTTGAGTCAGAGCATGTTACTCCTCCATTGGGGATTGAAGTTTGCGGGGGACTGCAAGTCTTCACTAAACAGTGAAATACAAAAAAATGTATTACTATTTGAAGTCAATTGGCACCAGTGGCATAGCCACGGGGGGGGGGGGGGGGGGGGGGGGGGGGGGGGGGGGGGGGGGGGGGGAGACAGCACCCACCCCATGAAACCTTGTCGCCCACCCAGTTGCCCCCCACTGAGATATTGAGTTTCTAAAAAAAATTATCATTGATCTACATGACGCCCCCCCCCCCATGAAATGTTCCAGCCCCCCCAGCGCCCCCCACTGAAAAATTCCGGGCTACGCCACTGATTGGCACTGCATAGGCCTACACTGTATTTATGCATTGTATTTAATACCTTCACTATCTATTCTTACATTGTTTAAATGAGCCCTCAAAAATTACTTAGGGCAACCACGACAGGGTGGGGATTGTAAAAGGTTAAACAATAAGGCTATCACATTTTGGTTGTGTGGACTGGACAAGGCCCACACAAGGCTGCCACCTCACTGGAAAACAGTTTTAGAGGAACATTTGGGTTATAGGGTTATCTGTTGCAAAATGTAATCGAGGTATACTAAAAATTATGATCACAAATTCGGGTTGAAGAGTGTTCACTGTGCGAGTAAAATGAGGTTTTTTTCCTGTTATCTTTTGTTAAGTACATGAAAACAAAGGAATATCCACAAATAGGTATGCAACGTCCTATAAAAGGGATGGAAGGGGTGGGGTGGGAGGGAGGGGCATGGCGGTAAGGTGAGACAAGGTAAGGGGAGGGTGGGGCAATATTACTTTTTTGAAGTACCGGTGGCAATTCTTTACCTTTGCAAGTTGGGAAATTACTAGACCATGCGCTGCTGCTTTGACATGCCAATGTCATTGAACCACTAAGAGTGAATCCAGTCCCACAATGGAATTCGCACACGGATCCTGCAATGTTGGTCTTGGTGCAACTATAAGAGAGAGCAGAACTTCCTGGGATGATCGGGCATCGTAGGACTGAAAACAAAAAAAAGGGGGTAAATTTACTGTGCATCAATTCTTGATTCACCTCAAAGTGCAGTCCCAAGTTGAATTTAGCTCAGTTGATTTCCGTATTTTTTGCTGGACATATATGAGGCAAACAGATACCGACTGAATGACTGGCTGGCTGGCTGGCTGGCTGGCTGGCCATGGCTGGCTGGCTGGCCATGGCTGGTAATTGGATGGCTGGCTGGCTGGCCATGGCTGGCTGGCTGGCCATGGCTGGCTGGCTGGCCATGGCTGGCTGGCTGGCCATGGCTGGCTGGCTGGCTGGCCATGGCTGGCTGGCTGGCCATGGCTGGCTGGCTGGCCATGGCTGGCTGGCTGGCTGGCTGGCCATGGCTGGCTGGCCATGGCTGGCTGGCTGGCTGGCCATGGCTGGCTGGCTGGCTGGCTGAATGACTGAATACACAAGCTGACTGACTCATACCGACATTGTGGCTGAATGGCTGACTGGATCATCTGACTGACTGACTGACTGACTGACCGACTCCCCAACAGACCGACTAAACGCTTGAGTCATTGGTTGTGAATAATGTCCTTAACTGAGAATTCAACTTTATGTTTCAAGGGGCGGGGGCCTGCTCTACTATTGCAGTCAATGCATAAAAAAACAATGCATGGAGCAATGAATCAAGATTTCAAGATTTCAAGCCAACCAATATCACCTCAGATCTGCCCTTGTAATTGTCAGAATGACTGTGCACCCATGATACCTGTTATGGTGATACGAAATGTGCAGTCCACCTTCTGGTTGGCAGTGTTGCTGGCCACATATATTATGGTGTGAACTCCTTCGCCGAAGTGACTGCCTGACATTTGTCCACCTGATCGACTGTAAATCGTAAAACAATTAAAAGTCTGCTATATTCAAACAGAAAAAGCAAAGTTTGAATTAATACTCGCAGTTTCACAGTAATATGCGCCACACAGGAATATGCGTTGCTATATAGACACGGGCGCATTTTGGAATGAACACATGAAGACTTGGTGCAAAAGTTTTCAATTGATGATCGATGCGTACACAGCAACGTGCGCCTATAAATTTGCCTGTCATCAGCAAGATGGCGCATATACATGTATAATACTGTGAAAGTGCTAATCCAGAAGAATCCATTGTAAGAACAAAATGTGAGCCAAACAACATCATGACATTACAGCAAAATAGTGACTATTCTGCAATGTGGAATCTCTAACAGAATTATAATCTAAACCAAAGTGCGAAGCCTAATTAGAGGGTACTATGCACAGCTGTTTTCCCACAGTAAATGACAGTATAAGCTTATGCGAGATTTGACCTCAGTGAGGTCATGTTGTGCATCTCTCTAGGGTTGACCGACCCATAAGCTCTACAGCTCTATAAGCCTCTGTACTAATGACGTCACACTTTGTTCACATGTGCACTTTCCTATGGAGCCAGTGGGGGCCCGGTCCACTGAGCACCATAGCAAAGTGCAAAGTGTGACTTCATTAGTAGAGGCTTATTGAATCCAACAGACTCTGTATTAGTTAATGATCACATGGTACAGCGCCCTCTGTATGTACACACACAGGAGTACTAGGGGGCATGACCGTCAATCCTGGGAGAGACAGGGGGACATGTCCCCCACTTCTTGAAGGATGGAGGCACAATATCAAATGTCCCCCCCCCCCCACAGATTTTTGAACTCTCATTTACAGGGCTATATTGTGTACTAGGCCTACATGTATTACATCTTTAAGCCGGCACTTAACATTGAAATCTTAGTGTCTAAACATATATTTTCATTTGGATAGTGCTAAATGGTTAATTTGTCCACATACATTGCGGTGGCCATCTTCTAAGCCACTTAGGATTAACATTTTGGCGTCCAAACATACATTTTCAGGGTAAAGGAATGCTATACCACTTATGACAGTGTCAAATGAACAGTTTGTACACTATTGTGGCCATCTTTGATTTTGAAGATGGCCGCCAGATAATAATTGCATTTACTGATATTTCAGCTAGTACCCACAGTCTAGGTGTCAAAACATAAATTTTCAGGGTCAGGAAATGCAACTCTTTTATTCAGAAGAGACCAAGATGATTTTCGTTATACACACAAAATAGTCAAACTGAAGATAAAATCTCTAACACTATACCGTTGATATATACTGCAGTCACCGAAAATACTGTATGAAGTATATAAGTAAAACAACATTATGTGATAATGAATTTCATCACTCACAAAAGTTTAAAGTGCTCGCCCTATAATTCTCAAGGTGTTGCATACACGTCTTGCACCGCATACACTTTGATTCTTGAAGCCACATTAACTAGTTCACTGCAGGCTTTGGAGGCCACTAGGTAACATGGTGCAGACAGGAACCCATTACTGTTTTGTTCATGTTCGAGTGCCAGATCCTAAACAGGCTTGTCCCCATTGCTCAAGGGCGGATCCATTTTTTTTTTTATGTGACATCGCAATAAAGGCAGGCAATGAGTACACCACCATCTTTTCCTCAAAAAACATTGGTTAAAGTGGTCAGAATTTGCCTCAAATCGCACCACAGAGCATCTAGAATCCAAAAAATTTTCGGGGCCCTTAAGCGGGCCCCGAACCCCACGCCCTATTTTTTTGGACCCACTTTTGGGGGGACCAAAATTTTTTTGGGCCCCAAAAAATTGTGTTCTGGATCCGCCCTTGCCATTGCTGAAACATCCCTTATCCCTCAGCAACCTGGATTGCGACATTGCAAGTCAACAACAAGCCAACTCTTAATCTGGCACAGCACACTGAGGATGGGTCTCAAAACGACAATGAGCCATTTTTGTGGATCTTTCGGTCACATATAATACTGTAAACCACTGCCGCCTTCTGAAAAAGATCTTGGAGTTGTCCCAATACCTCGCATTTACGGATCATCGGAGCCCTTCTCAAAGACAGATGCTTGTTTGTTGTTCAGAACAAAACAAAAACGCTGTCGACGGCAAAAAAACCGGCCTACCTCAAGGCACTGTGCTAGCTCCGTTGCTGTATAACGTCTACACAATATCACAATTCTGAGCGTTTCATCTACGCAGACGATCTTTGTGTTACATCTCAAAACTTCCGTTTGAAACCATAGAAGCAAAACTTACCTCAGCACTTAGCCGTCTCTATGAACGCAATCACCTCCGTACCAATCTCGTTAAGACCCAAGTCTGCTCGTCCATCTCAGGAACGTTAACCGCAAAGCCTTAACATCAAATGGTCCGGAACACCATTGGCCCCTTGGTCCCTTGTAGCCTTCCTGTCTACCTTAGGGTGACCCTCCATCGTATCCTGTCATTCAAGTCATCCAAATGTAGTTCCCCATAACAACATCATAAAGAAATTGAACAGCCTCCGAAAGGGGAACCAAACCACACACCAATTAACCGTTTTGGCTCCGCGCCATTCTTCAACAGAGTATGTGTGCCCCGCCTGGGAGACATCAGCCCATACCATGAAACCTGACCCAGCTTTAAGCAACATGCAGTTTGATCACTGGATGCTTGAAACCCACCAACACAATTAGTAATTTGCACCTCCTTGCTGGCATTTCCTCTTCGGATTTCCAAAGGGAAGTTGCCAGCTGAGCTAAGATGTCCAAATATTGTTAAATGACGAGTGTCACCTCCTCCAGGGACGGGGCAAGCTTCGGCACAAAAGGCTGAAGTCAAAAAAACTGAGCTTCCTCAGCAATGTTCCACTCCTTCACAACATCCAGGGATCGAAGACTCCAACACTGGCAGCAACGACTGGGAGCAAACGCCCACCGATTGTCATGGTTAGACTATAACAACGGCGGAAAACCTCCCAACATCGACATGTGCTCAATGGAAAACAATCAGCCGCTTGAGAACCAGGACGATCACAGACCCGCCTTAATCAAATGGAGCTACAAAACGGTGGTTCATCAGCTGCATGTAGTTGTGGCATGGTATTGGGCCGATACCATCTAATTATGGGTTTGTTGTGGCAGTATCATACAGTTTAAACGGTACAAGACCAGAGCGGGCTAATGCTGGCTCGATTGCGCCGAAACGCGCCCTATTAAATGGCAAACGGTAATGGTAACATCGTCAGATCAGTGCTGGTCTTTTTAAGGCAAAAATAAAGAAGCAAGACAGCGCACAGCCTGAACCGGTCATTGCAGGTCCTCTTACGATAAACCATGATGAAAAGACGGTAAAAGGCCTGAATCTGGCCAGTGTTGGTCCCTTTAAGGGAAACCATAATGTCAAGACGGTACACAACCTGAATGGGACCGGGGCCTTTCAAGTCAAACCATAACGGCAACTTAAAGGGTACATAGCCTGAATCGGGCCAGTGTTGGTCCTTTTACGGCAAACCATGTGGCCGCCGTATTCAGTATCTGGACAAACTGACCATTTGACACGATCCTAAATACATGTAGTACTAATCCAAATGGGGGGGGGGGGGGGGGGGAAGGGGGAAAAGTTCTGAAATGGCCATTCTTAAGTTGCCCTAGGTCGGATGGGGAACAGGGGACCATACCAAAGTCAAATGTCAAAATTTAAAGGGCTCATGACATGAATTTTCCTTGGGTGATTTTCATTCTAAAACGTCTCGTCCCTAATTTCACTCTTTGGAATTTAGAGAGTACAAAATGCAACAAAATACAGAAAGGCAGCAATGAGAGCATTTTCCAACAGAATGCTTCAATGTAGCAACAATTAAGGTCACATTTTAGTAGGACCTCTTTATAAAAAAAAAATTTAATAAACTGTCTGACTTCAAACATCCATTGAATGTACCTGACTGAAAACCCTGGTGCCTGGGGCGTGGGATAGTTTACTCTCTTTCCATTAGCATCATCAGTAGTGTGTGCTATATCACTGGGACAATATGTAAAACTGGGTTCCGGAGCTGGAAAAACAAAACAGTTTTATTAAAAAATACACTTTTTATGTAGAATTTGGTGATGGTATTAATTGTGTGTTAGATTTGTGGACGAACAATTTCTTACCAGGGTGGTCCTTATTTAAACTCGCACCTTCCTAGCTCCATGCTCGCACAAAGGGTAATTGTACCGTATAAGCCTAGCCCTGTGACTCCCTGCCTCCCTACGTACGGAAGGAGGTATCTTCACCGGGCTGGACTTATGCAATGAAGACAATCGTCCAACCTGGGCTACCCATAAGTCCATCTTTGTCTGACTTTAGTACAAGGAAAATTCCAAAGAAGAGGGATAAAAGGAGAACAATGCATGTATGCCCCTAATAATTTGCATTTTTCCAAAAAAGTAACCTAGGCCTACCGAATTACTAAAAAGATTACTTGGAATTGGATCTGGTACTAAATACCTCGTGGAATCATTCCGTCTGGCTTGCTGTCATTTAGAAGAAATCGAAAATGTAACGTTAGGCCTAACGCCCCTAAGTCAGTATAAGTGATTCTCAACGACCAGTCAATTGACTGATTTGAAATGAAGACAGTGGCGTATCCAGAGGGGGAGTGGGGCAAGGGGGAAGGGGGGCACCCGTTGCCATTACAATGCGCCGTGAAAATTAGCCTTGACCAAGCACGTCAAGCCGCAAACTTTTTCCCTGATGAACAAACGGTCCGGCAGCCGTATGCTGTGCGCAGCACCCTTGCTTGCTAGCTCCGCTTTGCCTGTGCCATGCCACAGACACAAATCAGCACCGTTCACGGACGTGCAGTAACCTTGCCGTGGGAGTCACGGGTCTTTCGCCTCGATCGCGACTGCGGCCGCGTCGTGACGCGTGGTTACTGCATGGGGTGTACAACCAATCGTTTTACTGTTTTATATTTCCTCAAAAACAAAAACAGTCAAAAATGGTCGACAAGACTATTGACCGTTTTATCATTGTCATGGACGTTTT